TAACATGGATGAACCACTAAGTCAAGCTACTAATTCAGTTGTTCAGGCTAGGCTAAACTGAACTCTGAAAGCATCCATCTCAAAACGGCCACAACTTAAGAACAGATCCTGGAATTTGATTTATTTTAAACTTTATTTTCCTGAAATAGATAGCTAAACTGTCCAGTGCAATCATCCCACACTGCAAATAGCAACACTCAAACTTAGTTAGGTAAGCTAGTGGTAGGTTACAACTAATTATTATCCCTGTGACCGATTCAGTGTAACATCTGACATCAGTCAGAATCAGACGACATTATTGACAACGACACTCGTCGTGTCGTTTCTTTAATTTACGGTATAATATAGTATAAAACATCTACCATATCCATAATAATGTTCTACCACTGCACCTAAACAGCAGAAAAAAGCAAATCACCAAATTCAAATCACCAAGATTCGCACAATATGACAAATTATTTATAAATTAAAAACAGTATATCTTCTGTGCCAGTAGTTAATGCGGGATTGAACTTCAAACAAACAAACAAACACACAAACTTTCACATTTATAATAGTAAGATAAGATGTATTAATTAAATATTAATTACTAGCTGTGTGCCCGTTCTACGCACGGGGATCCTCTAGTGGTCAGTTGAAACCTTCCTAAATAAAGAAACACTATTGTGACGTGGGGCCCATATCCCACGCAAGTCGAGAAGACTGCTGAGACAGCATCCCCGAGCCGTGGTGTCTTGGACGAAGGCAGAGGCAGTGAGCTGCGAGACACGGGGCCGAGAAGGTCTCCGAGTACAGAGAGCGTCGGTACTTCCGCGTCGCGCCGACACGGGAACGGGTAGAGGGTCGGTCGGTACCTTGATGTTTTAGCGCAGGGAATTTTATTAATTGTTTTTGTTAGAGTTTAAGTTAGGGAAGTTCGTTATTAATTTTTTTTCAATAAATAGTTCGTTCGTCTGCTGATTTTGTTGTGCTGTTTTCAACCCCTCACCACCTCTCACCCAAACGAGCACCCCCCCCCCCCCCGTCACAAGGGTAGACGTGACACTATTGGTTTGCATATTTTCAGATATGCTAGCCAAACTATTATATACAAACAAATACAGTATCTGACAGTTTCAAGTAAAAAAAAAAATGCGTAATAGATCTATGAGGGGTACACTTCCATATCTGTTGGCACAAACAACTAAATTAGTAATATTGATTATTCGATTGTTTAATTCCATATATCGTTTGGTTAGTTAGGTTAGGTTAACCTTACCTAACCAACCAAACGATATATAGTTAAAATACTATACCTCAACCTCGCCATTAAACAGTCAGGTTGGAAATTTCACTATCAAAGGTGCTCTTGGCCTGTCCGTACGGAACACTGAGTTATATGCGCTACCAACTTATGAATAATTGTACGAACCCAAGAGATGGATAATTGGTCTGTTGGACGTATGGTCCAGCGAGCAGCACATAGCGTTGAGAAGACACATTAGAAATACGATTTGAGCATAATCCGTAAACCTCTGTTACAATCACCCACTGCAGTTGTCTCTAAACACTTTACACAACCACCATTGAAGTGCCGTCAACGAGTTGAAACCTTATATGTAAGCTATTGGTAACGCTTATGTAAAAAATGTAAGTTTCCCAGGCATATAGAACACTGAGTCAAAGTCTTTTCCCCGGTTATAAACCCAAAACTCGATAGAAATTCTATACACAAAGAAGCTCTATTTTCATTTACGGTTACCCTACACATTATTGCACTTGCGATTAATTAAATCCGTTATGTAAGGAAAAACGGTTTTAATCCAACTTGGTTTGGATTTGCTTTTGAAACTTGATCTGAAATGATTGCGGTATTTGTAAACAATATTCAATGTAAACATATCAGTGACAGCTAGAGAAAAATAATCTTGATCCGAACAGCTGTTCGCTATTTCATATGATGATTATGTGATAAACATTGTGAGAAAACTTGACAAAAATCACACAAAATTGGGTTTTAAACGTCCGTAAGTTTTTTTTACAAAGTAGCGAGGCATATTAATAGCTAAAGACACTTTCGCCAATCCAGTGAATACATTAAAATGATTCGAGGATCTTGATAGGCACTCTCGTTTTCAGGAGAAAGCCGCGTAAAATGGCCTTTGGACCGTGACAGACGGAAGATAGACAACAACGGAATTGAGATAATAATTGATGATTGAGATAATAACGGAATTGAGATGAAACTTTTTTCGGATTCTTGAATGTTTAAAACGTAGAAATAATCTAAAAGTTGATGATTCTGAGCAATGTACAGACAAAACTCTAATTTTATTTATATAGATTAGTACCTGTGGTGATTTTTATTAGAAATTTATTGAAGTAAATAAACAGCAAAGTTAAAAACCATCTGACCAGTGTTTTTATTTAAAAAGTACGTAGGCCTATTTGATTGGCTTTGTTTTCTGAACCAAAATATCTATTTCCTGATCTATTTTTAGTTCCTGTTTTCGAAACATAATTTGGCAAAACAATTATTTATTCATTAAACAACTTGATCGAAAAATAATTTCTAAACATTGGAGGACAATTAAAAAACTTTTGAATTCTAATAAATCTAGCTGCCGTACCTGTGTTTTACATCGGAGAGGATTTTGAAGAGAAAAAGTTTGATACACGTCACATATTTCAAATCCCACTCCAAACACGTCATGTTAATACGTTTACTTCCTTAAATTAAGAATGTCAGAATCTCCAATTAACAGGCCCGTAGCAAAAGTTAAAAGTTTCACAAATCGAATCGTTTCTACCTTTTGGACCGCAAAATCAAAGAACTTTATTGACAGCATTTAAAGCTGACTTCGTTAAACATTCTGTTATCTACATTCTTCAAAAATGTAAACATTGTGAAACTTTAGAATCCCATGGGGCGTAACTCAAAGAAAACACGTTAAATGTAATCGGTATATTTGTTAACCAGGTACAGGGCTACCTCTTGAATTGATATAGATAATAAATCGAAAAATAAAGAAATATAAGTTGATTGATTATTGGCTCTTACAAAAGGGCAAACAATCAAGGAACATGATTTAATTAAGTAACCACACATCACTGAGTCTATATCTTCATTCTTTCTTGTAAAAATCGCTTTGATTGTGGCTATATAAAATAGGGAAGTAATATTTCACTGTACAACGAGCTCAAAAAGCTCGAGAACCAGCAATAAGATGGAAATAACCGGCAGAACCTTTAACCATCCACTGGCTCGCTAGTCGCTACCCCAGGTCGGTCGGTAGCCGGGTAGCCCATCAATGGAACCCGTTAGGCTCGCCCCTACCTCTCGCCACAAAAGAGACAAGAATTTTGCCTTGTTCCACACGCCTTTGATTGTTTGAGGCGGGAAAACTATTTGTGTGCTACGGCCTGCGCAACACAGGATATTGTTTTCGTATTAGTTGGCCTTTTTCCAAGATGACCGTGACCGTTAACTTATTTTATGGACTCCCTTGGAGAATAATTCAAAACTACAAAGAACATTTCTAATCCCACAGTATACTAGCTATTTAAATTATAAACACTTTGGTGTTTGAAAAATATTTTTGGACGATAAATTTTGCAGCTTTTTGAAATCATCCAAGATGGCCGCTTGCCTCCAAGGACTCAACAATAGGCCTAATTGTGCGACTATAAAGCAATAACTTCCCACCTTACGCTTGCGAATTAGTACGGTACATATTTGTATCCACAGTTGCCAGGACGACTATTAAGACGACCAAAGATTACATTGACATTTAGGTATTTAATCTGTAGAATAGTAATTGTTAAGTAATCTGGAAGACAACTAATTAAAATGAAGTGCGCAAGATGGGTTATGAGAGTGCTCAATGCCTGAAGCATAATCCATTTGTTTGAGGTGCGGATTTTCAAGCTTGTAGAACAAATAAATATCACAAAGTAGAAGGGCAGGGGTGAAAGTGACTGAAGTGACGGGATACCCGGGTGGATTTTCAGTGACTGGATTCCAGTGGTATGCGGTAAAATATATAGTGACTGGCTTAGCAGCACAAATTTTACGTGACTGGCTTTCCCATGCAAATGCGGTGGTGACTGCATTAGCATAGCATTTTTTACGTAATTATTTTTTAGTATTTTTAAGAAAAAAAGAGATATATACGTTCAGATATGTCTAGGCTTAAGATATTTACCAACATATATTATATATATATCATAGTCTTGAAATATATTGGGGGGTGCAACTGACTGACTTCCAGTGTATATTTTATGTGACTGGCTTCCCGGGCGCGGCCGTGTATAAATATATATATAAATATATATATATATATGAATTTGAACGGATGGTGTTTTTGGCCTCTGGGGACCTCAAAACGAAAAAGTAAATCGGTCCCGGGTCAAGGTCTTACCATGAGACCTACGGTAATAGCTTATTCCCTATATGGGAAATTCGCTAAAAACAGAGAGACCTTTTACACAAAGAGTACAAGGATGTTCATCTTAACAAAAAATAATTTGATTATTAGTTTGTTTGAATATTAAAATAAGTTGTTTTTAGCTTTTTAGGGACTTATGTCCCTATATGCCACTAGTATCATAGAACCAAACTTGTGTATTTGAAGCAGCTGAAAAAATTCTTTTATTCCTTTTAAATATAAATACTCATAGGGTTGACTTGGGTTAACATATGGGAAACCCCCAATCTTTTTTTATGCTCTATAAAAGTTGAGAAATAAATAATTGCAAAATTTCATGATTTGGGGGTCGAAAACGGGAACACATTATTTCCCCGTAAAACCCTCTCCCCATCAGGACTGTGGTACGCGGTTTTTATGTGATGCCTATTTTTCTCTTCCTTGTGACCCCAAAAAACTTTATTCCTCTTCTGGGCCCACTTATAAATGTGTCCCATTGTCCAACCATACTGGTTCGCGATTAACAAAAGTTTTATATTAGATAATAACAGAACCATGGCTGGGACCATTTTCTTAAAAAAATTTTGTGTTTACCGTATGATTCTGTGAAAGTAAAAAGGCAGCAGTTTAAAAGAACGTCTTCTAGTTCCAATCTCTTCCAGAAAGAAGTAAGCAATGAGTGTTCCAGTGATAACTAGAAACGTGTCAACTGCCAACATGGCATTCTGCAGCGGACTGAAGATGGGTCTCGGCATCTCCTGTAACAGATATGAACATAACTAGAGGAGAAAATACATTGAAACTATCAGAACCATACACATCACAACTACTCAGTTCAGAAAATGATTAAAGCCAGAAGAGGTATAACTATTCAAATTTTGATACTGTAAGTGACAAAATAAACATACCAGTTACCTTCTTTGATAAGAAATTACAGATGAGTGTTTTGTTTTCTTACCATGTAAGGAACTATCCAGTTAATGGATGGCACCAGAAAGTTCAACAGTGTGTGATGGCCAAGGATCACCCAGACCATGGAAAGGAACCTGAGACCTCCGAGGTAGGCAAAGGAGCGACGAGGGTCGGACGTTGAGAGCAGACGACGGCAGTTAGACACCATCGAGAAACTGAGCAGTAAACAACAGCTTGCATCATCTTCAGCTAGAAAAGTTGCATCAAAGAGTTTAGTGACTACTGGTATGGTACTGCCCTACGTCCTATGGGACTTGCTGAGAAATTATAGTCAGTCGTTACAATATTGGCTAAGAAACTAATCAGTTATTGCTTTTGTTATTGCACAGAATATAAAATTGTTATTCAGTAAATGGCTCTGCCTCATACACTTGCAACTTCTGTTAACTGTTCTAAGCTTAATTGTTATTGCAAAACCGCTCAAACATGATACAGGGTGTTCTTTTAACGCAGTCCAAATTATGAGTACCATATAAGACACTGTTTAACGACAAACAAGATCACATTGTGGTATTCCTGTATTCTTTATTTCATTGCCAATTTAGCTGATATTCATTGTTACATCTATGAGTTTTAGTGTTATTGGGAATCTATTATATTAATATGTATTTTATTGTGAATAAGTCTCAATTTGTCGTTTTTGCAAGCTCTATTTTATCATGCAAAAGCAATAACAGCTTTAGCAGTAAAGCCACGTTTACACGAGACCAGTAGAGCAGGCAGGTTACTTGCCTCTAATATTTCAAGTTTCTTGAGGCAAGTAACCTGCCCGTCAACTGGCCCCGTGAAAACAGGGCTTGAAATGCACTTTGAAAAATAAAAAAAATTAATTTCAAAGAAATCTTTGAACTATCTAAGATTGTTGTATGTTTTGTTCTTTATCGAGTTGTCAACTTTGCAATTGGATTTTTAATTTTGCATACTAATGATAGAACATGTTATTCTTAATCTTTATACAGAATGTCCCTGAATAATGTTGTGGTTGGTAAGTTAAAAAATGTGTTTAGTAATGCTGTTGGAGACCTTAGAGTTTTATCGCTCTTTTAACATATTTTAAAGAGTTATAACCTTGAGAAATATTTCGGAGAAATGTTGGACTACTTCAATTCCCACAGAACAATTAATAGGAATCAGGAAGTGTCCAGAAAAAAACAATGAGAACTGACTCCTAATTAGGGTGTTTTAATTTACATATCTACAACTGATAAACTAAACATGGCACGAATTGTAAATCAAGTTCATTGTTTATGTTACATGATCATATTATCTATGAGGACATATAATAACTATATTCCTAAATTATTCGTAGGTAAGAAGCTTATCATTTTTTTTTTCAAATCCTTTTCACAAAATAAAGGTGTCAAAAGACAGAACTTTTATGTTGTAGCTCACAGTAAGCACACATTTTGTTGTTAAATAATAATTTTCACCCATTTTTGTGAGTGAACAAATATGATCGTGAATGTGTCTCATTAGGTATACTTTGTGAATTACCAATTTATAGCCGTAAACAAATGTAGGTAATGTTTACAGTACTTTTACGTACCTTTGCTAGGATACCAAAGTTCATATGCTGTACTGAATGTGAGTAGAAGAAAGATAGTACAAGACACCAAACTGTAAAAACACAAAAAACACTCTATTTTATAAGTTAACAGTAATTAAGAGGCAACTATAACAAATATATAATCTCTGCTTGGTCTGAAACTAAAATAATAAACGGTATCAGCATTCTGACACATACTTTCTCCCATAAGTTTGTCAACAACCTTTATCATGTGTAAGCGGTGAAAGTAAATATATGGAAATGTAATTTGTACGATTTTGTTCAGAATTTAAAGGACTACATACTAATTTTTTTCAAAATCGTTCTGGCCATTTTTGTGAAAATCAGATTTTTCCGTTATTTTATGGTGTTTTTATGGGAAAATAACATAATTTAAAATAACTTTTAAACCGTAATTTTTACAGAAATGGGATTTGCACAATTTTTTCAGAATATAAAGGACTATAACATACTAAATGTTTTATCAAAATCGTTCAGGCCGTTTTTGGGAAAATTCTATTTTTCCGTTATTTTATGGGAAAATCCCCATTAAAAATCCAAATTTCTAAAAAAATGAAAAAACTATCAAAATTGTAAGGACCATAACATACTATGTTGAATAAAAACAGGATTTTTTTTCTAAAATCCTATTTTTTGTTATTTTATGGGGTTTTTATGGGAAAATAACATAATTTACCATAACTTTTGAACCGTAATTTTTAGAGAAATGGGGTTTTCACCAGTTTGTTCAGAATTTAAAGGGCTACAACATACTAAATTTATATCAAAATCGTTTGGGCCATTTTTGAGAAAATTCGATTTTTCCGGTTTTTTATGGGTTTTTATGGGAAAATCCCCATTAAAAATCAAAATTTCAAAAAAATGAAAAAAACGCCTGGAGATACCATGGATTAGAACCTACATACCAAATTTCATCGAAATCGGACCACAGGTGTAGTCTCTAGGTCTGTACACATCCAGACACACAGACACACACACACACACACACACACACACACACACACAGACATCACTTCGAAAACCACTTTTTTGGGTCCAGGGGGACCCAAAACGAATATATCCACTCAAAACTCAAACTCGAAAATTTTGACGAAAACAATACTTTCTCCATATACTATGGTATAGGGGGAGAAAGTAAAAAAACGGTAGGATTGAAAATTGAGGAATCTTTTTAACTAATTAAATTTATAACTTTTGAAATGTCTTTTGCAACTTAGCAAAAAGAGGATAGTGGTTTTACATTGAAAATTTTTTGTTTGTCTCTGCCATGGGCAGAGACTACTCCATAAAAAACACTCTTAAGGGGGAAACCAGTCAAATGTTCTATACTGCTTTTTAATTACGAATCAAAAACCTTATACTTTTATCAGCGGACAATCTTGTTTTTTAAAAAATCCATCATTGTTTAAAAAAAATAAAAAACTACAAGCATAATCTTAATTAGCATCATATTTAATCAATACAAAAAAAAAACCTTTAAATGAAATAAGAAGTCAAACCCCAAGCTGATCTAAAATACACTAAAGCAGTTAAAAATAAATTATTTGAACAATTTGCTGTAGCTTTAGACAATAACTATACAGGCCTGACCTGGGACCTTTTGAGGCCCTCAGCTAAATATTCTGTAAAGGGGCCCTCTACTAGGAAAATGCTTTTTAAATTGCAGTCCTGAAAACAAGTTTTTATCCAATTCAGGCACTGACAAAGAAGAAAAACCAGCTATAGGTTTCTAACAATTTAACCTGCCGCATGAATGTTCTCTAGGAATATTTTATAAAGAATTTGTCTATATATTGTCTATTGTCTAACAAAATATTGAATTATGCAATTTATTCACTTCATTATTATAAAAAAAAACACATTATTGTATGATACCTTTACACTACCAAACACCTACTATGTTCACTGTTGTTGCACCTTGTTGTTTTGTATTGTTGATTTGCATGGATTATGTAAATTGAGCACAACAGTGGATTTGTATTTCTTTGTAAAATGGATTGTCCGTAAATAAATGAACATGAAAATTAAAACATTCTGTATCCTACAACTAAACTTCCAAAGCATACGACAAAGTTTAAAAATAAAAATGCAGTACTGTATTTTATTGACGCCGAAGTGTTAATGAATTATGTCAAAATTATTTGCATGGTAAATAAAATAAAAGATAAAAACTTCACTTTCTCCCATTAACTTGTCAACAACCTTTGTAATGGGTAAGCGGTGGGAGTATCATGTTACTTTATGGGTAAAATATTGCAATAAACTTGTACCTTATATTGTTCAGAGTTAAAAGGTCATACACTTTTTTACATAAACTACTTATGAGAGTTAATACTAATTCCATAAATTAGCTTATGTTCTAAACAGTACAGCACATAAACATGTTAACTTGTAAGACCAGAATAACAGCACAAAATTCTTGGGTATTATTTATTTATTCTACTGGTTAGGATTGGTTCTGATGGTTTATACTTTGTAAAAAAGGAATTTCTAATAATGTTAGAAACTTACATTGCCATCCAGTCTAGTGTGTCAAGAGGAACAGACTCCAGCTTGGAGCAAGAGTATTGTTTGACTCTCGCAGAGATATTCCACGGAGATAGGACACGGGTGAAGTGAATTTCTACATCAGTGTCCATACAGGAGGCTGGCAGGCAAAATGATAACTTCGGATCCTTAATGAGCAGCGGCAATCCACCAAGGGTAGTTTCCTGCATAATTAAATTTTATAAACAAATTTAGTTGTACAAAAATTCATGATGAAGGTACGTCCCCAGACAAAAGGTTTGGACACCACTGATTGCTGATCTAAGATAATAAAATGCATTATAAAATGTAAAGTACAATATTTGTTGCCAGTTCAATCCTGAGATTTCCTAAACTGGACACGTCTGTCCTTGATCTGAAATAAACTAATCGTTCTGCTGTGCTTCGCAACCAAAACAGTTACACACTTACAACGGATTACAGGAATATTTCAATCGTACTTATTGTTAAATCAAAACTTTTGTGTGTTTGCATTAAAACTGAGTGGCTGAAACAAAACTAATAAACTTTATTGCAATGTAAATCTATGATGAGAATCAATAATTGATCAAACTCAGGGAAAAAGTAAACAAACAAACTGTAAATAAAAACAAATGTATAATGGCTATTCCAATATTTTGAATGAGATTAAATACAACCATGTGGTTTATTTTCTTTGGAGAGGTTTATAAAAAAAAACTTATATTTTTTGGGGAAGTTTCAGATCACGATATTTCATTCAAGTATGCGGTTGATGGGTGTGCGCCTTACAGTTTTCTCACCAGTTTAGTGATACTTATTACCTTTATTTATAGAAGATAGATTACCCTAGCTGAACGAACAACCAGCGGCTGATCTTTGGGTAGAAACACACATACAGCAACTCTGGGAGCGGGGCGGAGAGGTGTGATTTAGAGTGACAAAATCAAACCTATACAATCAAGTAGTAACTCGCACACAAACAGCTGTTAACTGTTAGCAGAGCGGAGCGGTTAACTTTGGAACAATCTTGTTTGTTTTTCTAGGGTTTGGGAGCGGAGCGGGCAACAATCTTGTGGACATTTTTAGTTCCACTTTTGCCAGTAGGCCGCTCTGTACGCCCATTCTACCGGAAAAGGAACTTACCCAGAGCATTTTGCAACCTTCTCTTTTTGTATTCAAATGTAGACATTATTCCATGAATCACAATTAACTTCATCAACAATTAACACTTCATAAGAACTGGAAACAAATTGTGAAATTCACCATGTACCTCCCTTCCTCCATTCACTCCATGCAACCACTCCTATCGGTTTGAAGCACGCAAAATGAATTTGGCTGTGCTGAAAATTGCGTACGAATTTTCTATGTGATATCTTAGAAATGATCAAACTCCCGCTCATGTCGCTCTCGCTAGTCGCTGCATGTGTGCGACGTCATTCGGTCTCAGTCGCGCCGCTACAGCTCGCATCTGGATCGCCCCGCCCTGAATCGTTGTATATGTGTTTTTACCCTTAGTCAGTAACAAAGCTATCTCCAACACTGACTTTTGACTCATCTTCCCATTATAATTCGCACCTAGTGTGTCAGGATCGTAGAACTAAATCAAACTATAACTATGTAAGCCAATTTTTCTAATACCAACCACTTGAGTATGAACAAGGCTCAAGGGTGCAGAGAAGTTGTGGATGTCAACAAGGCAGAACTGCAAGGGGAAGGGTGCATCAGCCGTGGCCAAACATTGATCAAAGTTGCCGAGGTCGTGAAGGTGACCCAGCATGAGTCCAGAGGGAAGCTTAGACGAGGAGTCCAACACTGTTGTGAGGGTGAAAACACAACTCCAGATAAAACATTGAAAACAAACATATTTGTTAGGTGGGAGGAAGGGAAAGCAAACCTTGTCTTAATCAAACATTCAAACAATAGACACTTTTTTGATTGACTTCAGAAAGGTGCCAAAACTCTATTTAGGAAGTGAGGTATTATTATATCGGTACAGTATTATTTTTGGGACTACTCCATAGTCACCAGTGGCATTTTGTAATGATGAAACTCAAACGCTTTGTAAATATTCTGAGGTATTATTTTAACATTAGGTAGGCCTATATGAAAAATTCCCTTTAGAAAGGAATTACGACCTTAACGCAATTTATGAAATAATGGATAGTTTTGTACAAGGTTTCTTGTCATGACGAACATTTCAAGTAGGCTATATGTTTTATGGGGGTGTGACTTTTAGTTTTCTCAAAAGTTCATGGGTACTTTGGAATTTGTATATGGATGCCACCTGAACTGTTAGAACAAGCAAATGAAATAAATAGCGCTGAATGTGTTTTCTTTTAACTATAGCAAGCATGAAGACTAGCGGTTATTAGACACTCACTCTGCAAGGCCCATGGCTGGAAGGACTTCAGCCCAGATTGGTAGGTTGCAGCGTCTCTGAGACATTGCCCGCTGATGGCCTGAACAGGACTATAGAACGTCACGAGCCAGGGTGGAAGCCCAGCAGGCAGCAGTTGTGACAGTTTAGAAGGTAACTGTTGTAGCCTTTTGTCATAGCTATCAGGGAAACTGGCTGAGGAAGCAAACACATATAGAATATACTACACTAGAATTATATGTAAGTAAATTATCTCCACATTTTGAAAATACTTTGCCAACTTCACGGCTGAGAACTGGGTTTATCTAGGGTTGAACTCTGCAGGAAAAAATTCTAGTTGTGTCTTTTATAAGAAAATAAACCTAATAAGAGAAATGTATAATTGTATTTATTTGCTGATATATATGAAACAGTTGAGTAGTAAACCGTCCTTTTAAAATATGTTGTTAAAAAATTAGAGGTAAGTTACCGCATAATTTAAAACAAACTTTGATACACATAATGCAGATATTACACTTATTGCCTACTTTTTTAAGAGTGCCACTTTGGACTCCTTGATAATCTATTAGGTTTAATAATACAAGTACAGTAATTAGGTTTTAGCGAATTTCCCATATAGGGATTAAGCTATTACCATAGTACTTGTGGTAAGACCTGGACCCGCAGGACCGATTTATTTTTTCGTTTTGAGGTCCCTAGAGGCCAAAACCACCATCCGTTCAAATTCATATTTATATATATATATATATATGTGTCCGTTAGCGTTGATAACTCGAGCAAAGATTATCCGATTTTGATGAAATTTGGTATAAACCTGTAAACCTACATTTATTCTAACGAGTTTGCGAAACAGCATGATTGGACTATGGAAACGGGTGTTTATGGGTGGTTTTATGGGGTAAAAATTGGTTTTCCCACTTTAGACCCAAAAAACATAAAATTTAGTAATTTCTTTCCAAACCATTTTGTAGAGCTTAAAAAAGCAATTAATTTACTGTAGTATATCAAATTGTTACTATGTGTCTATTGGTTACAGAGAAAATTCAAAAAAATTGTAAATTTAAAATTCCCATGTTATTCTTATGGCCTCTAGGGACCTCAAAACAAAAAAGTATGTGTCCCGGGTTCAGATCTTACCATGAGTACTACGGTAACAGTTTATTCCCTGTATGGGAAATTTGCTAAAAAAATGTATGGTTTTACATTTTTAGTAAGTTGTGTTGATTGAGCGAAGCTCTTATATTTTTAAAATATGTTAAAAATAATATCCAAATAAATTGAGTTTGAAACTAAACAATATAGTTAAACATCTTGAAATACTTCAAAAACTAAAATAGAAAGGGGATTGTTTAAATCTAGCATGTCTACAAAAGAACTGAAACATTAAAGCAAATACTGATACCAATAAGATACTATTTTAAATGTTTTAGATATGTATTTAAAGCTGAAGTACTGACCAAAACCTAGGAAGAGGTTAAATTTCACTCAGATTTATGCCAAGCCACCAATAGTGATGCTTATATCAAGTTATAGGCTACAAAGTTTCTAATAAAACTTGAAAATTTTAGCTTAAAATAAATATAAAAAACATTTAAAATGGTCTCTTATTTGCTATCAGTATTTGCCTTTAAAATGTTTCAGTTCTTTTGTGGACACTCTGTATGATTGAAATTCATCATGACAAATTGAAATAGTTACTTGTTACCTATGAGGTAGTTATTTCCATATTATAAAATAACAATTTTGTAATGTAAAGTTTAGAAAATTCCTATTTTTAATTATAACTAGCTGTTACCCACAGGCTTCAACCCGTTTGACATCATAAGTATTAATAAAACTATTGATTGGTTAAGTTAACCTGAAATAAACAAAATACAGTAAAGGAAACAAATAAGTACAGCTGAGGTATTTTTAACATTAGGTATATGAAATTTTCCCTTTAGAAAGGAATTACGACCTTAAAGGACATAATGGATAGTTTTGCGCAATGTTTCTCGTTATGACGAATATTTTAATTATATGGATGATGGGGGTGTGACTTGTAGTTTTCTTAAAAGTTCATGGGTACTTTTGGCTTTATGTATAGATTTATAAATCTGAGCCATGCGAACGAGATCATCTTGAAAATTAAGAAGTTAAACGGGGCAAAGTCCGCGGGTTACAGCTAGTAGATTTATAAATCTGTAATATTATTGATGACAATACTTTGTTGCATCACAGTTAAGTGATGATTTATTTTTTCATTTCAAAATTTGACAATCCAATACAATTGATTTGTAAAGCTTCTACTGGTGCAATATTGTGTCAACTTTGTTGGTATTGTTGCATTGTTGTTACCAAATACATTACAGATGATTTAATAACACTCATTGTTTATCACAAAATGTTACAAGATATGTTGGTGAAAAAAAGTAGATAAATAAATTTGTGTATTTTTACTCACCCCTCGCACTGAAGTAAAGAGCTGCTAATACAAACAGATGACATTGCAGCTTCATAGCTAACTAATAAAGCTGCCTAATCTTAAGTAACTGGCTTGTTGTCAGTCAGCTGTGAACTAACTGTTGAATTCTCAAGCTCCTGGTTCATTGACAGTCAGATGTTAACTGATCTCCTACTTCATTGTTAGTCAGATGTTTACTCACAGGTGCCTTCAAGGTTATTTACATCCTGCTGATCAGTAGAACCTATCAGCCCTTTGTATGCTATTCTGAGCCACTGTGGCAGGAAATAGAATAATTCATTGCAATAAAGAAAATTTGTTACATTCAGATGAATTAAGTTTTAGATTAATATTTTTCCATCAATGGAGAGAGTTTTATTAGAAAATTAATAATTTCTAACTGAATTTTAAACAAAAATAATATTTAGAAAGAACATTGTTTCCAGTATAATAACATTAGTAGTAAATTAAATAAATATAGGCCTACTGTACATTTAATTGTCCGGGCTAAAATAAAATAAAAACAAAAAATACATACATATATACAGTATAAACATGGTGAAAACATAAATACTTCCGCCCATGTCCGGGACCCCAGGAAACCTGCAGATTAAGTGAATAATGTCCATTTACCTGGCTGGATTTCTACTAAATTATTCCCTGAAAATTGTCAGATTTATTTCCTAAATAACATTAATTTTAATGAGTACCTAGGTTTGCTGCTACAGGGAAGGTACGTTTATTATTGAAATTTTGATAGTATGAAATAAACAAAATTGCCAAATTTGATCAAAATTCAAAATATACCCATAAGGATGCAAACTACAACAGTTTATTTATTATCCATAAGAGTAACATGTGAATTTTAGATTTAAAGTTTATTTAATTATCTCCAGGGTCACTATTATCTCTATATAGAAACGTCCCATTACCTATATTATCACAAATAATACACGTTCCTGCTAGTGCACATGCGCGGCACTTCTTTATCCAAACACTCCTCGTTAAACCCGGCCCTCTACCGGCGCTAACTCGTTTTTTGGTGGAAGGTTGTTGCCTCTGACCATACAATGTGGCGGGTTGTCGTGGTGGCACTTGACAGTGACCTTAACGCAATTATCGTATCCAACCATAAACATGGTAAATCCTGACTGAAGCGAGAGGCGGTTATCGCTTCCACAATGCAACATTCTCCCTAATAATGTATGCCACAAAATCAGAATTATAAGCTATGTACAACAAAATTGGAATTAACTATAGGCTGCGCCTCTATTTGAACATTATAAGTTGTGATACTTAAAATGTCTCATAAGTTACATTATATGATGGCACTAAGGTGAGGTTACACCGGTGGTTTGGAATACCCCCATGTAAGAAGGGGGGGGGGGTTTCCGGGAAAAATAGTTAAAGTTTGGACCTGTAAACTCTCGTTTTAGACTATTCACAGACATATAAAATGTATTTTAAATTGTAGGAAAAGAAAATTAATTGTCAAAAAGTCATGTTTTAAGGTCAAGGGGGGGGATTCAACCCCCTAAAACCCCTCTCTGGATACGTCACTACATTATAACGTTGTAGAGAAACTGTGTCATAACTTTAATTTTTCGTGAAAGTTTAGCATATCGTGTACCTAACATATTATAATAAGATAGGCTACCACCATTGATAACACATTCTAGTCTAAGTTACCTCATACATCACATTTTACATTTCCTCAGTGCCACAAATTCCTGATTATAGGTTATGCCATTAGGTATGAGAACTCACGATGAAAAGTCAAATCACTAAATGAAATTCTATGATCGATGACCGAAACAATTTTTTTTGTGCGTTTAGTTATCTGCCGTTTACTGTATCCAAACAGGATGACTCGATCCACAGCCACCTCTAATACGTAAAGTCGTAAAATTGTCTGTTCTGTTGTTGTTCGTGTCGTCTGTCATTTCAACTTTTAGGTTATGTTGAAACCAGATTTTTACATCATAGACTAATCGTATATATTTTTTATTTTTTTGAGATTCAGTATCTAATTAAACGATGAAGTGCTACTATGAAGTTTTAGGAGTTCCAAAAGATTCTGGAGAGGAAGAAATAAAAAAGGCGTATAGGAAATTAGCATTACAGTGGCATCCCGATAAAAACCCCAGCAACATTGAAGAAGCTAAAGAACAGTTTCAGTTGGTACAGCAAGCTTATGAAGTTTTAAGTGATGGTAATGAAAGGGCGTGGTATGACAAACATCGAGAATCCATTTTAAAAGGAGGTGCTGGCGAAAACTATGTTGATACTGCTTTAGATGTTTTTCAGTATTTTTCTTCAAGTTGTTTTGTAGGTTATGGCAATGACGAAAAAAGTTTCTACAGTGTGTATAGAGAGGTTTTCAATAAGATAGCAGCAGAAGATTCAGAATACTATTCTGATTCTGATAGCGAGTTTGAAATACCTACATTTGGCCAGTCTGATAGCTCGTTCGATGATGTTGTTCAGCCGTTCTATTCATACTGGCAAGGCTATTCGACAAAAAGGTCATATGCATGGTTGAATGTTTATGATATTAAAGAAGCCCCTAATCGTAAAGTTGCACGACTAATGGAAAAGGATAATAAGAAGGTCAGAGATGAAGCGAAGAAGCAGCGGAACGAAGAAGTTAGAGCTTTAGTGCAGTTTGTCAAAAAAAGAGATAAACGTGTTCAAGCACATGCATTGTATGTGAAGCAAAAGAAGGAAATCAACGAGAAGAAAACTGAAGCAAATCGACAAATGAAAATTAAAGAAAGAAAAGAAGAAATTGCTAGCTGCCAAGAGTCAGAGTGGTCCAAGTTTTCTAATTTTGAAAAAGAACTAAAAGACATCGAAGCCTCCTTGGTCGCTGAGTTTGGTGATACTTCTGTGTCTGAGAAATCAGATGATGATTCTAGTTCTGAATCATCTTTCAAAAATGATACTTTATATTGTGTTGCATGCAATAAAATATTTAAAACTAGCAAAGCTTTTCAAAATCACGAGAATTCAAAAAAACACAGAGAAAATGTGTCTATTTTAAAACTTAGTGTCATAGAAGATGATGCAAATTTTGAAGAGGAAGAGTTTGTTGAAGATGTAGAAAAAATACCTAGCAGACTTTCTTCCCCTGGAGAAACCACCTATTTAGCGACAGATAATTCTGAGGAAGAATTATTGAGTTGTAGCACTCTTCATCTTGAGAAGAGCGGTGTAACTGAAGAAACTAAAGTAAAGAAAGATAAAAAGTCCAGGAAGAAGACCAAACATACCAATTTACTTTGTTCAAGCGAGTTGGCTAGTAGTGTAGATCCATTGGAAGATATTAATTTTGGTGCTAGTAAAAAGCAAAAAAGGAACCTGTTCAAACAAAAGATTCTCCTTGAAAAAGAAAACAAACAAATAGACCACTCAGATTCAGACGTTTCAGATGCTGATGAGGATATTACCTCAAAAAGAAAAAATAGAGCACAAAAATCCAAATCACAAAATAAAAATTATAGAAAAGTTGATGAATGTGATATTAGTTCTGAAAACAAAATCGATTCTTCGTCTATGGTTTTGGACTCAGTCAATAAACCTGACAACTTGGGCCCAGTTAAAGAGAGTGAATGTAGGCCTAGTAACGAATTGACACACATTTGTAAAACATGCAACAGTTCTTTTTTGTCCAAAAACAAATTATTTGATCATCTTCAAAAATCAGGTCATGCTGTGCTTTTAGGTCAAACAGCAAAGAGTAACAAAACGGACACCAAAGCTAAAAAGAAGAAAAAGAAGATAGCTTAAAATTTTCTTGGCAAGTAAGGTACATGTACATTTTTTTTTAAATAGATGTGTATCTAAATTGCATCTTATGTATATATTAAACTAGTAGAGATTTTATTTGTGTTTTTAACTGCCTGCAAATCTCTTAGTAAAACAATAATTAGGCTAGAACACGGGAATAACATAAAATAATAAGTTGTTCACAGAAAAGACATCTGATGATGGATTATTTCAGTATTTAAATGTCTGTTTAATAAAGCACCAAACAAAAAATGAAATCTATAGGTTCTGATGGTCTTAATAATAGGCTACCTACCATAGACGTTGGATAGGCTAGGTACTGTAACTTCAGACTTCTTATCGTATTCTAACTGAAGCCATTTCTGATGTGTTTCATGCCTGGCAATGCTTTTAGTGTTTTGAGTTTTTAAGTCGACAAAATATTTTTTTATATTAGGATACATTATACAAGACTCTAATGTGGTTTGCTCATTGATGGGTATAATACCAAAGACGTACAAGGGACTCTCAATTTTATTAATTTTGATGTTGATATTTGACTAAATAGCCTATTGTTTTTTTTGAGGTAGGCCTATAATTTATTCGAGCAAGTTAGGCTATCCAACCAATTGCTTTAATATAAGCAAATCCAATTGTATGGCATTTTCGACCTAAAGCAGTTTCAGTTACATATGCTTGTGGAGAAGAAGGATTGTATTATTTATTAAACATGTTAGGCTAAAAGCTTTTGACAGATCCATGAAGATTCTTACACATTTGATTATTTTCACCAGCATATTTTCTTTCAATGAGAGTGTCAATTGCAAATATTGTTACTGATCGTAGTGATCTACCATTGCAAAAACTAAATTGTCTTTGTTTTCTTTCAAAACCTTTTGGAATTGATTGCTAGCTCACTTTTCATAATCTTCTATAAGTAGTTGGTCACAGAGATAAATCTAGCCATGTTTGTATTATAACTCCTACGTGGATTTGGAAATATTAATAGCTTAGTATAAAATAAATAAATTTGCCAAGTTTGATCAAAATATATCCATAAACAAGCAAACTACAACATTTTAAAATATTCTCCATAAAAATAACATGGGAATTATAAATTTACATTTTTTTTTATTTTCTCTGTTACCAATAACTGTACAAAAACACTTAAATATAGCCTACTAAATTATTTGTTTTTTAAGCTCTTAAAAAGGTTTAGAGAGAAATTGGGAAATTTTGTGTTTTGAAGTTCAAAAATGAGAAAAAAACATTTTTTAACCCATAAAACCAATGGTACGATTACAAAAATAATTTACAAAAATTACTCAAGTTATAGCATTTATGGACGTATATATGTATATATATATATTTATAAATCTATATATATATATACATATAATATACAGGGTGAATAAAAAGTCAAGACCCCCCCCCCTCTAACATTTTTCTAAGTAAATATACAGAGATATCCTTTTGGTGGTAGTGCAATCTTAGCAGGAAGTTTCATTTGATGATTTTGAAATGTCCCCCAAAAAGGGGGAATTTTGGGGGCAACTCAAATATTTTAAAGGTAAACCCTCTTCAAGTGACACCTCACACTATATGGGCTTTGGTTTATTTAGTTTGATTCCTATTAATAATTTGTGATGATAAAAATCAATTGGGCAATTAAATATTACTTGCTGACATAAGAGAACTGCCCGAAAAAATTCTAAGAAAAATTTATTCAGTAGCCTATATTTTTCTTTTCACTTTCATAATACGTTTTATTCAAATATTTATACTAGCCTAAGTAACCAAAACCAAAAATTTTAAATGTAAACCCCCTTCAAGTGACACCTCATTTTGAAGTGTTTACAAAAACTTAAATAATGGTGAAAACCAGAGTTCGCTATCCCCTCTGTCCAAAATGGTAGCCAATATTACAATTACGAACCAATATTACCATTTATTTTCCATAACATATTACGGGCTACCATTTTGGATGAAATGAAATGAAAATCCTTCTTTATTGAGGCGAACTTAGGACCTCACGGTCCTTTCTTACAGTTAACCTCTAAAAAACTAACAATAATGATAAACATTAACAAAATAAAACAATAAAGATTGAAATAAGCAAATAGGTGTAACAACATTACATAAATGTATTTCCCTAACACACAATCACACACACATACACCCTCTGTTGCACCCAGGCCTAATGCACGCCATCCCGCCACGCCACGGCCATCTGGTTAAGGTAATATTCAGCGCCACCGTCAGTCGGGATCGGCTTTCTAAGGATTTAATGGGATAAGGTACAGAGTTCCAAAGGTGGCATGCAGTTACTACAAAAGATTTGTTATAAACAGTCGTCCTGTGATGAGGAATACGCAGCGTGGACGAGCCAGAGCGAGTATTCCTTGCGCCTCTTTCATGCAAAAATTCAAACTTGTTGGCTCGATAATTTGGAGTTCCAAGATTAATGGCTGAATGAGTAATTTAAAGTATTCGGATTTTTCTGATGTCATCTAATTTCAAAATTGATTCATTTATATAACATGGTGTGACATGATCGTCACTTCTAAGATTGAACGAAAATCTAATGCAGTAATTTTGAACACGTTGTAATTTTGTTGCCAAAGCCACAGTCATATCATTAACCACAGTGTTGCAATAGTTGAAGTGTGGAAATACGAGTGATTTGACCAGTAAGAGTTTAATATGAAACGGTAGGAGTCGTTGCATCTTTTTCAGTGTGTGAATGGCGGTAAATACTCTTTTACAAGTATTTACCACCGCGTCAGTCCAGATAGAGATGAAATAGCAAACTCTGGTTTTCACCATTCTTTAAGTTTTTGTTAACACTTTAAAATTAGGTATCACTTGAAGGGGGTTTACATTTAAAATTTTTGAGTTGCCCCCAAAATCCCCCCTTTTTGGGGGACATTTAAAAATTTCAAAATAAAACCTCCCGCTAAGATTGCACGTCCACCAAAAGGATATCTCTGTATATTTACTTAGAAAAATATGATTGAGGGGGTCTTGACTTTTTATTCACCCTGTATATATACATAATTATACAAATTTGAATGAATGGTGTTTTTGGCCTCTAGGAACATCAACAAAATGAAAAAGTAAAACGGTCCCAGGCCTACGTCTTACCATGCCACCTACGGTAATAGCTACTTCCCTAAAAGGAAATTCGCTAAAATCACAAAAGTTGCAATAACTTTAGAACCGTAACTGTTGCGGCAATGAGTTGTACTATTTTTTAGAATTATAAGGACCATAGCATATTAATTTGGATAAAAACGAGCTTTTTTCCAAAATAAAATTTTTTTATGGGAAAATGAACCGTAATTTTTACGGAAATGGGATTTGTAACATTTTGTTCAGAATTTAAAGGACTATAACGTAATAAGCTTTTATGAAAATCGTTCGGGCCATTTTGAAAAAATTAATTTTTCCGTTATTTTATAGGTTTTTATGGTAAAATCCCCATTAAAAATAAGAACTTCAAAATATTTTCAAAAAAACCCCTGGAGATACTTTGGATGAGTACCTACATACCAAATTTCATCAAAATCAGACCACAGGTTAGATCTGTAGCTCTGTAAAAATACACACATACAGACAGGGCCGGTTTAACCCATACGCGAACTATGCGGCCGCATATGGCGCCACGATAAAGTGGCGCCAACGGAACAATTTTTTTGCGTGAACAACGTAATTTTGTTTATTTTCGCTCAGAGTTCAAGTATTCAAAGCACTACAATAAAGGCATTTATTCTGTTTGTACCAACAGCACTTGAAAATGCGTATATTTGTACAGCATATAAAGTCAATTAATTATACAACTCAAGGACTCAATGCCATTTGCAGTTCCGATTTGTAGTGAGCTGACGCTCGGCAGCGTACGGCGTGGCGCCTGTGAGTTTCATTTCACGACTCACTCATGCTCGAGATAAGGTAGCGCGCAGCGCCACTTGTCACAACAAGAAACTTCCCCCTCCCTTCTGCCTCGTGTGCTCTTAGTCTTATCCTAGAGCAGAGCATTACGTTGTATTACACTCTTTTAGTTTTATACGTATACCGTATATCGGTATCGTATTGGCATTGATTTGATGATTTATGATTGTTGATAAGTGAATGATTACGAGTGTTTTAAGTTTAATTTATAATTAGCGCATTAAATAAGAAGAAAGTATAAACTAAATAAATGAGTAAAACATCTTGCGAGCCGATACTAAGAAAACAATGGCAGAAAAAAAGAAAACGTCTGGCACTTACAAGCCAAATCAATGAGTAGATTTTTGTTGAAATCATCTGGTGGCGAGTCCAGTCAGCCCAAAGAAGCCACGATAGAAGATGGCAATGACGTAGGTATTTATTTATTTATTTTCCAAGGAAAGATTAAAACAAGCAGCTGATCACAAACGGCAAACATTACGTCATTGCCGTCTTCTATCGTGACGTCATGCTTGACGAGCATTACGGCCTGTTTTTTTTTAGTGTGGCCTTGGTTTTGCTTAAGTTTAAATGATGAGTAAAAGTGTAAAAATGTTCAATTTCTGCGAATAATACACAATCTTTTATTTCAAGTATTCTACTAACCTACCCGCAGGGGACCCATGCTTGCGTGGGTACGTGGCCTGGCGACCACGCGGACCCTAGCTCTCCCAGAGGGGAGGTAACTGCCCGGTGTCAGACCCGGCACTTCAGGTAGACCACAGTTATGGACGACTGGTAAGCGCCAGCCCCTTATGGGGAGCCTCCAGTGACATTCCCTCCATTCAGGGTGGGGGGGTGTTTAGCTCTCAGTGACGCCGTTAATTCCGCCTCTCCTCATCTACCTGTAATTGTGGTTGTGACACTGTCCTACCTGTTGTGTTCGACTGACATTTTGTGAGGCATATCCTCGACTTTGGAAGTAGCCTCGTCCTGGGAGGTGAAAAACCTAGCCCCCAAAGGGGAGGTAACTGCTGCAGGTGTTGGTATCGGCATTTTCAAGTAGGCCACAGACATGGACGACTGGGCATTGGGTCCCAGTGACATTCCTTTATCCAGGATGGAGGGGTGTTTAGCTCTAGGAGAGATGGAAGTGCATCATATTCTCTAACCTACCTGTGTCTGTGGTTCTTTGGGCTTCGGCCTGCTTGTTGTGTGCGACCAGCATTCAGTGTGGCAAATCCTCGACTTTGGAAGTAGCCTTTCCTGGAGGTGAAAACGGGCAAGTACCCGTAGCTCACGGGGACACTCAAGGGCAACGTAACTTTCCGCAGTGTGAGGGTAACGGTTTGTAGGCACTTATGCAAACCAATCCCTGTCTCTGAGCACGGACGGTATGGTTATCTTGAGTGTGGGGGGTTCTTTCCGGAACTTCAATTGAGTCAAGGGTGTCGCCACCTCTGGTGGATAGGTTCATCCGGGTGGGTCCCACTTCTATACCTGCCTCCTTTTGGGAAACCCTGATGGCAGTGATGTTGGGTCTGACGGGCAAACGAAGTAGATCGGGTGCTGGGTCCGAGCCCGCCAGGGGTATCTGGGGATCTATCGCTCTGGTTATCTCTGGTTTCCCAGCAATGGGTAAGGCCTCGATCGGGTAGTGGTGTAAATGGGAGGTTGGGGTTCCCCCCGTCAGCGTGCTGACGGTCCCCTTCCTTCTGGCTATGATGGCGGGTTCTGCCTGTCAGGGATTAGATAGGTCCCGAGTGTTGCTTGCACTAAATGCGTCGGGGCGCTCCATTATGGTCCTCTAGGGCTTGTACCTGGTGGAACCCAGGTGGAGTGACGCTTAAACAAGCAGCCGGAATCCCTGGTTAGGATTGAGGGGCAACCCTCTTTCCGAAGGGTCTGCTTCGGCAGCCGGCGAGCCTGATGACCTTAAGTCATCCGCCCATGATGTGCTAAAGGTTGATGCGTAAGCTTCGGCCTACATCATGGGGCCCGGGTATGTCCTCAAGGATAGGTACCGGGTACGCAGTCGAGGGGGCTTCGGCTCTCATGACAAAGAAATAATAACTAGAGGTCGTCCAGTGGTCGAAACTCGACCAAAAATATGTAATGTACTCACTTCTCTATTTTCACCCCACACTGTAAATAAAACATGTGATTGGAGTTTCTTCCATTTGTTTTGATTTCCTGTTTATATTTCGTTGTTATTTCGTCACCAGCATGGCAACGCATAAGATCCATGTTAATTTTTTCAAATCTTTAAACTCATTTTTTGGAGACGTAGGAATTGGCTAACTCAGGAACTCACTAACTCGGTCGTGTGTCGGAACTGGCTAACTCTGGAACTGGCTAACCATCTCAGTCAGGAATTGGCTAACTCCGGAACCCGCTAACTCGATTTTGTCTCGCGGCGGAATTCGCTAACTCTGGAAGTCGCTAACCCGGCCGCGCCCACTGCACGGAGCGTTGCCAACCTTGTTCGACGAAATACTCGTACACTGCCGTATTTCAAAATGTAAGTGTCAATGAAGATACAGTAAATGTTATTGTTTTTTGTTATCAATTTCAAAGACAATAAAAAAATCATGAAAAAATATTTTTTATTTTTATTTACTGTACAATGGCTAATTAAATGTTTATGATTTCGATCTTAAATATAATTGCCATCAGTATAAAAGAAAATTATATAATATGAAAAATATTTAAAATTCAGTTTAATAGGTACTAAATAATTAAACCTCTACGAAATTAAGCTAAAATACACGCAAGTTCTCAAACACGGAAAACAAATTTTATCGTAATGTCGTAATAAACCAAAACTATTAATTAATACAGTCATGAACCATCGTAACTTTCATAACTAATTCATAGACTTAAAATTAAATATTCGTCGTTGAATCGTCCAACCTGTACAAATATGACATAGACCAAGTTTCATATCAACTTATAGAATAGCTGTAGGCCTAATGGTTTAAACCAAAGCATTTTAGGCCTACTAGTAAATAGTTGCCTAATTCTAAAATGGGTTGAATTTTTTAGTAATAATGTTACATGTTTTAAAACAGTTTTTAGATTGTACACCTAAGCATCACTAGTAAATAATAGGAGAAGATATAATATTCATATAATAAAACGTGAAAGGTTTATTTTAATTCACGATTTTTAATCAACGACTTGACGGATTTTCCTGATTTGAGTGTTGGGTTTCCTTTATATTGCTTTCACAATCGAAATAAACTATACTAAGCCATTGCTCGGTTCCCTGTTCCCCGTTACTGAGCTACTCAATAGACTATAGCTTTGTTTTTGGATAAGATCAGGTAATTTTAGCTATGGCCACCATTCATAAAAATGATAACAAACAAGAACGACTGGGTCCATTTAGAACCATAAAAAATCCACACTTTTAAAAAGTAGGCCTACTGAAAGACGTAAAATTAATATTATTTAACAAAATTAAGAGGATGACCCGACTTCTAACTAATAACCTACGATAACAGAAATTTACAAGTTGTATTTATGCATATACAAATTTGTAATGCAATCCACGAATACATTAGTCCTACCACTTTATAATGTATTGATCAATATTTATTTAAATTCAATAGCTCTATTTAAAAAAAAAAAACACTACCACTACAATGTATTTCTGTAATGACGTTTAACGTGTACATTTTATCATGATTTATGATTCAATTTTATGATTCAAGGTTACAAGCCCAGTATATAAAATACGAACTTAATAATTCTATTTGCAGAAGTTCACAAAATGGTATTTATTTCAATAAAAGAAACAAATGGCGGACTACGAAAATAGATATTTCATAACATGTAAAAGATCAAAATTAAATGTACAGTAATATCTTTTTGCATCCCAATAAGGTACTATTTAAGTGAGAAAACCACATATAAAACCATAGATAAAACATACCGCCTTATATTAGTACATTTCTCATCCTTATGGATCAGCTGAAGACAGTTTTATTGTTAGATCTGTCCGGTGCACTGTCTTTAGAGGTCGTGTTTTGTTTACAATTGTGTCTTGTTTTCAGTCATTTAAAACCTCGTTTAACCAAATAAATCGTTCTAATCACAACTATTAACACGTCTCCTAGTTATATAACCAAACATTAAAGAACTAATCATAAAGTTAACTATAAAATAATAGAAACACAATTTCGTCGACACTAGCATCAGTGTCACCGGACATGAACTAGACACGAAATACGAGCTTCAAAGTTTACTTGTGTTGGTTAGGCTATGGTAAGACTATAATACATTTTCCACTCTAATAATCATAAGAATAATATTAAACATACTTCTAAATATAGTTTATCGACTATCAACTATAATGTAAGGTATATTTTTTTGCGATTTTATCTCTTTTAAAGGAGTTTTATCTAACTACGTTGCTCTTAATCCTATAGTTATTCGTAGGATACGACATTATGGTACTGATACGATATAGGTACCACACTTTCGGCAACACTGGCTATAAATCTTCGTGCTTGGCTCCCATTGGACGACCCGCGAGGCTTCTGATTGGGAGTTAGCGAGTTCCGCCGAGGGACCGAGTTAGCGACTTCCGTACGAGGACGGAATTCGCTAACCCGGCTCTAGAGCGGGTTAGCGGGTTCCGGAGTTAGCCAATTCCGAAACCGAACAAGTTAGTGAGTTCCTCTCATCGACCAAATTTGAAGATAGGGCGTTTAACATGGGGTTAGCGAGTTCCAGAGTTAGCCAATTCCGCGGACCCATTTTTTGTGCTTATCTTTGAGCCTATTTAAATTTATAAAGGGATTCTGCACACCTACAGGAAAATAGCTTTCTAACGGTATGCGTAGATTTTCCCTACGATGCACACGAGCTGAGAAAAAAGGTTTTAAAGAAACATGCTTGCCTATTAATATATAAATAATAATAATTCTTCTAACCTAAACTAATAAAAAGTTTTCTTCCCAAAATTATTGGGAAAAAATTCACAAATACGGTTAAGTTATGTTCGTGGGTTGGGTGGGAATTCTAAGTGGCGCTGATTCGGGTGTTCGCTTAACTCTGAAACATTCCTAGAACCGGCCCTGCATACAGACACACACAATTGCATACACAGACATCACTTCGAAAATCATTTTTTTTATTTAGGGGGACCCAAAACGGATATATCCACTCAAAACTCAAACTCAAAAATTTTGACGATAACAATACTTTTTCCATATACTACCTATGTAATGGGGGGAGAATGTAAAAATTACCCATTATACAATTAACGAAAACCGTTTTATAATGTCCCCAAGACTAGTAGACCACAAACAAATTTTCAAAAAGAGTTAAACATTTTTAGCTTCAAAATGTTTTAATAGATTGCCAACTAAAATAGAAAATAAATAGTTTTAGAGTATTGAAATCTAGGCTTAAGCATTGTTATCTTAATGAATCCATTTAAATATTGATTATTAAATTACTTATTAAAATTATTGTTTGAGTTAAAATTATTATCACGTTATTAATTTTTCTGGCAAAGTGAGAATAAATTATTGCATAGCTCATTTGCTTAAGTAGTCAATTTATTTCAGCAATAGTGGAGGTTTTGAATGACCAACAATTTAAGCTTAAAATATAGATTAACTAAAACCTTATCACTTCAGTTAACTTTTCTCTTAACAGTAAGGTAAGATAAGAAGAAGGCTTTAAGGGGGATTACACGTGGTGGAAATAAAATCAATACTGCAGTTTTCAAATAAATAAATTCATATAATTACACGTCTTTTAAGTTAAAACAAAATTAGCTATAATACAGTGAAAATAATGAGAGCTATTTTCAAACAAGGTATGTTTAAAATAATGTGTTATAAAAGGTCTAATACATTTGTAAGTAGAGTATAAGACTAATGAGTAAACATATTTAAGGTTACTTTGGGTAGGCTTCCGTATCTGTTGTCAAAAACAACGGAATGAAAATATCGATCGATATATTAATTATTTATTATTTCATTCGATGTATCATTTAGTTGGTTAGGTTACTAACCAAAGATATAGAATGTAATAATCGATAAATGGAATAATTTTTCATGTGTTTTTGACTACAGATACAGAAGTGTACCTGTTACTTTACACAACCTCGCAATCGTTAACCTAATATATTACATTTGCAAAATAGCGGCTTAGCAGCAAGTGGATTTAGCCGGTTCGGCTTCGACTAGATTACAATCAAATCCACTTGGGCGTGTGAATCCTGTTTTGATGCCATCCCATCCGTCTTCTAGCTTGTATTCTCCGGACTGTATCCTGTTGTATACTTCTTGTGTGATGGCTGTGAATGCCTCTTCTACATTGAGACCTGTCCGTGCCGAAGTCTCTATGGAGAAGAGACTATGCTTTTCTGCGAACGCTTTGACCTCTTCCTCACTCACCTCACGCACGGCTCCTGCACGCACCAGGTCCAGCTTGCAGCCCACCAAAGCAAACACTGGCCTGTGAGGCTCAATGTGGCGCTTGGCCTCTAGCATCCATGCCGGAATGTTTTCAAAGCTTGTGCGGTTGCAAATGTCATAGACAAGCAATGCTCCGACAGAGTTCCGGTAATAGGATTTGGTTATGGACCTGAAAATAGTTTGGCAAATGAATATTAAGTGAAATATATTTGAGCTAATACTATAAGGCATATATCTAATTTATATGACATCTTAAATGTGATTTTTCATAGTCCAGTTGTTAATGGCTGACACTTCCGTACATTTGGCTGTGATGAACTGTTTGTATATGTTAACAAATATTGTGAACTAAGATAATACTTTAATACTTTTCAATGAAATGGCGACCATACAAAGTAGGTATTTTAAGCCAAGTATGGATGGAGATCAGTGGTGCGATCTTGTAGTCTTGTTAGTGACTAAGACCGACATTCCTTAGACACAGCTGTAAATTAATAGCCCATACAGCTAATGGCAACTAAGAGACCTACAGTTTATAGTGAAATCCGAACCACATTTTTGCCTTGGTATTAACCAATTGGTCTAATTATCAGGATAGTACTCACTAGTGCAGACATTAATCCACACCAGGGAGTATTGTAACCACTGTGCATGCCTATAAATATCCACAATTCAGGGGTTGTCAAAATTAAATCAAACCACAAGATAGGGTTGTCTTAATTACACAAATTGGCATTTGATACACAAGACTGAACAATAAAGGTATAGAATGAGGTAGGCCTATTATATTATAATGAGTTGGGCTGTGCTTAAAAAAAACCCGTATTTCACACCTGGAAAACAGCAGATTCACCAGAGTTTTTTAAGTAACAGCATTTTTTGCTGTAGATTACGACTACTTCCTTGATAAACATATAATATTAATACAAACAGTAATACATTGGACTCTATAGCTATACTAGCTATTCTAGCCATGCTAGCTGTTCCAGCACCTGCAGTGATCTTGGTAACTCATAATTAAAAAATAACATAGGTATTCGTTTGTACCAAAATTTTATCGAAATTCAATCTTTTTTGGTTGCATTATCATGCTAACATACACACACATACCCAGGTCTAACCCTGAGAGCTACTGTAGTAGGTAGCTTATAACAAGAGAAATTCGCTAAAAGGATGGGATACTGACCACTTAGGATATATTTTTAATTTACGCTAACAAATATTGAGGGAGCAGTTACTTGTCAGATCGTATTAGCAAGTCACCTAGACAGAAATGTCAGCAAGTTAACAAAAACTACTAGGTACATTAAATTTGAAACCATTCAACACTTACTCGTTGTCGGGACGGTAAAAATTAAAAAGGCCATAGTTACCTGAATCTTTCTTGCCCAGCTGTATCCCATAGCTGAAGTTTGATTCTAGTCCCATCTTTCACTTCAATCAGTCTTGCAAAGAAGTCCACTCCAACAGTGGGGTCAGACACCTGTTACAAGCCAGTATATTATTGACTGGTTGTAATTTGTAAAGCTTAAGTACCACTGTTTGATATAATGCTTAATTTGTTCTACTGTATATAACAAAATTGCACTTTTTGAACACACATTCATAACTATGAAGGTTATAAGGAAGTTCCCAAATGACCTGGGAAGATCAAATATATAAATGACTCAGTTGCTCTTTTGGATGAATGGAAAGTGTTGTTGACAGGATTAGGCAGTTATGAAAAGCTATGAGAAAACTGAACCAAGAAATTTTGGATTTCAATTTTTAGTTGTGTATTATTTAAGTTATGGAAACAAGAAATTGCCTTGAATAAATTTTGGAAATATATCTTTATCAGATCTCTGTTATTAAATAAGAATTGTAGTAAAGTAATGAGGAGCAAAGTTTTACCCTCTCATATCATGGATCATTGTTTTGCAATTTTTGTTGTTTTTGTTGTTTGTACAAAAATTGTTACTATCTGCATAACGTGACCACAAAATTCACTGCTGGCAACACCAGACGGCGAGTATTTGTCAGTGGCTGGCGAAGTCAGACACGTTCAACTTTTGGTAGCAAGGTAGCAACGACTAGAGGTCACGTGATCACTCACACTTGATGGTGCTGGCAAATAGCATAGTCTGACCACATCTAGAAGCGCACCAGCGGTGACCAAAGCAACACGTGGTTTGTTGTGTACCTACTTGTTTTGTTTTACTGGATCCATTAATCGATTAGCCTATGTTAATAATTTGAAGCGCTGAAATGACTGAGCTAAAGTGGTCATGGAAGCAGGTTATTGATTTTTAAATGTAGGCCTAAACTTATTTCAAAACTCTTCGTGCATGTGGGACGTTTCTTCAAAGGAGGAACTTATTTAGATAGGAACTCAAAAAAAAAACAGCTTACAGTAAGTTGCAATACCTCACAGCTGTTCTTTCAAACATCCTCAATAATCGCTTAAGTACTCGTTTGCTAGGACCCACAGACGACATAGACACTAAACACTGAGCTTTAAACTAGCCAAATAGTGTGACCGGACTGCCAGCCGCTGCTTGGTGGTACTGTTGCCAGCTGCTGGTGATCAGCGCAGCCTAGTGTGACTTTAGCATGCCTCGCCCTATGGCCCCGGGAGTTTTACCCCCCTCCTCCCTCTATGAGATGTTACGATTTGACAAAAATTGTAACAGATCAATGAAAAACTTAAGGCTTGTTTTATTACTGTTTACTTTTGATCATATAAGAGTACCCGAGTTGTAAAGTAAAAAACGTTAACCATCAATTAAATTCAATAAGCTTGTTTCATAAAGACTGCAAATAAAACATGTGTTTTATTTATTAGGATATTAATTATGATCAGCATCAGATCTAAACAAATATAGTTACCGTATTGCTTTTAACTTCTGACAAAAGACATGTTTAAATAAAGTCTTATTTAATTTAGTTCTTTCCTGATTAAATTATTGTCACAACAACTACTGTATTATGGTCTAAATACAAAGCTTAACTTTTACTGACATAAGATAACTTACACATTTTCATTTCCAAGGACACTATAAAAAGATTGAATTCAAACAAAAAATTATGCTTTATTTAATATTTAATTAGCTTGCAAACATTTACCATAGAAAATTTGTCATTAATTTCCATGACTTTACATGACTATCCATGACCATTTACCATTGATTTGCATGACTCACAAACTTTAGTTGAAAACTATAGCCTAAAATATAATATTAGTTCACACACAAATCCATCCATCAAGTTGGGGATTTCCATGACTTTCAATGATCAGAATTTTTTCCATGACAACCCCTGACTTTCAAGAATGTGGACACCCTGTATGCCTAACTCATCACTCAACATTTTACATGATAGGAAAATTGTGTCTTTTCCACACTTTTTTGGCAAACTCATTAGGGTAAATTTTTAGAGTAACGTCACTTTTAATCTACACATGATCATTAACTTAAACGTTTTTAAAGGGGGAATGCCCGGACGGGGTAAATTTTCTCCAGGTACATTTTTTATGTGAGTGTAAGTAGCCTACGCGAAAAGATACCCCATGCTTCCTACCCTTCCAGTCGACTCTTTAACTTTGGAAGACCTTGAAATCTAAATTGGTAGTTTGAGATGGTAGATATTAAGTTGTATATGCCTAAAGTTAACTTCAAGGGCAGGTCCAGGGTTTATTTTCGGAGGGGGCCATTCTAGAGATCGAGTGTGTGGGGTTATTCTAATTCTAGGCCAGCTTGGCCACAACTTCCGGGGGGTTGTGGGAGGGGAGTCCGGGGTCCTCCCCCGGAAATTTTGGAAAAGTTATACTTACAAAGTCGACATTTTAAGCACTCTGACGAAGAAAAAGTATAATCTCTTGTAATCTGAAAGGGAGAGTTTAAATGCAAAACTTCCTTAAACCATTGATAAACCTTTTTCTGTTCTTACCGGCCCTGTAATTTCACCTATCTATTTTTAAATGTTTTGTTTCATAATGTCGACGCGCATTGTATTCCTTTAACAATGATTGTTTTCAGAAAATAAAAAAGTTCCTCGCTTACTGCATTTTTGACGTTTTTAGTGCTGTTAAAAATAGACCATCAATCTTAATTTGCCTAAATTAACTATAAAAAAATATGTTAAGGTTCAAACTAACTACACAGTAATAAGCACTGTCTAAAAATATATAAATTTGAAATCTTTATGTTAAAAAATAAGTGTAGCAAAGGTATGTTTGTGTAAAAGAGAGAGATCCATACGACCCGCCGGTGGCGCTGGCTGGCCTCAGTATCCCACCATTTTGAATGGTGGGCACGGCCCGTTTTCCCACCACACAGCACGCCAGTATCGCATACTCCGTATTAAGTTACAATAGATGATATCTGTACTACATTTCCCAGCCAGGCGGGTGAGCGTACGACACTGTGACGTTGATGATGTATACACTTGAACGCACATGTCTTCGTACGTGAGTGAATACTCTGTAGAAACGACAGTGTGGTAGTCAGGTAGACATCGGTAACGTCACACTCGTAGTACTTAGTACTGTAATGGCGGTAGCTCAATCATCAGTCTAGACTAACCTAACTTAGAAAACAGCTAAGCAAAGCTTAAGCCTTAAACGCTTCAATTACTTACCATTATAATTTTGTCATGTGCTTGTGCTTAAGTGGAGGGATGTACATAGGTTGAATCTTGTAAAACTGTGTTACTAATAAAAAAACCGTAACAAAACAAATACTCAACTGACTACTGAGCCGCATTTTTTTTATAGTGGGTAGTAGGATGTACTGTATGACTGACGAACTGACGTGAGGAAGGCATAGGATGGTGGGAAACGGGGATGTGCGCGGCAATTTTAAGTCAATTTTTGAAATTATAAAGCTTGACAAAAATAAAAAAAACTGATTCTCGGGGGGGGGGGGGGGGGGGCATGGCCCCCTCTCTGGAACCGCCACTGGTTAACTTAGTGCTGTAGGACTGCCAGGAGACTTGTTACCCCTTATGGGTAGGCCCTATTGGTGTTAGAACTTAAGTTATATGATGTTTTGTCTGCAGTGAGCAATACAGTACTTTGCATGGTAAGTTAGACATTGGCATTATGGTTGCTAGCTGGCTGATGGATTTTAGGGCACGTCTAACAATCAAAAGGTTAACAGTTCAAACCTTAGAAGTTGGTTAAAATTGTTGAGTAGAGTGAGTTTATCATATTATAAAGTGGGCCTGTAGGGTGTGTATTATAACTTAATAGCCATAGGATGATATTGGTGTGTTGTTTTAGTTATAATTTTTTAACTAAATTAGTTATAGCCTGAGTTATAAATCTAATCCTAAAGTAGGCCTGATTAAACTAAAACTAGGTCTAATATTACCTCTGCAAATTTTCCATCCGTGAAGTATTTTAACAAGGAACTTTTTCCAACAGTGCTGTCTCCAATAAGAATTAAACGAAACTGATAATCAAATATTGGTTCAACCATTTTGCTTTTAAGATTAGTTTAAACGTTTAGCTTCCTGTAAACATTTTAAACATAGTCCACAATAACAATTTATAATTATTACAGTAATAAATTAAGAACAAAATAGAAAATGACTAAATGACAACACTTTTGTTTTTCCGGATTATTCATTGTATTATTATTACTCTTAGAGTCAGCTGATTTAATCATGAGTCCGACTCTGACGTCATTCTTATGTTCAGTCGCGGAGGTCGGGATAAGAGCCATGAAGTGTGACTATGATGTATCATAGATTATAACAAAGATTCGTCATAATTGCCATTGACGTTGGCTAGTGCATAGTCAATGATACTTCTCATCCTACTGTAAAAAAATAGACAAAACCAACTCATTTTAAAATTTCAAAATTAATAGTAAATTTATGGTTAACAGTGTTCCATGGTGTAACATAACTATCACATAAACATGTATTGTTTTTCACAAATATGAAATGGACTTTGTAATTTGATGTATCTTTGTCGACTACAATAAACGAATTATCATATAACTTGTGGCCAAATCCTTGGCTCTATGACTATGACACATATTCATTTGAGGTAGGGACCCCAAGAGATCCAAGAGATTTATTATACCATTAAGTAAATAAATACAATATAGGTAACGTCAAACTATTCTAAAATAAACAAACCAATGCATACAACTAATTAAATGTTCATGATTACAAACCATGCTGAAATAAAAAAATGGTTAATCTTCACAGCAAACAAAACAGCAAACCATGCAGTTATGGCAAACAAAAGAAAATGAAAATTGTGACACATACCTGAGTGTAAAAATAAAATTACAAACTAAAAACAATGGCCAGCCTTCAGAGCATCAAAAAATTCTATAGTTTCATAAAAAGGATTCATTTCAAGCCAATCTTTTACAATTTTTGTGAATTTTGACTTCCGCAATGACCGTACACTTTCCGGGAGAGCATTATAAAACTTTTTGCCTGTAACAGGAAAACAGTTATTAGTTTTACTCAATCTATTGCTACTTAAATGTACATTGTTTCTATTTCTTGTAAAATATGAGTGGACATCCTTGTTACAAACCAGATCTTCTTCCATGTCCTTAATAGCTAACAAAGATTGATAAATATATACATTTACAACACATAACCACTATAACCATAGACAAAAATCTATTACGTATTTTAACTCATCATAAAATGAGTAAAGGGTGATTGTAGATTCAAATGTGACGTTTCACTATTTGATCATTCCTTATAAAAAGTTTGCATTTTCACAGTACATAATCGTAAATAGTGTCACAGTGAATAATTTAAAAATATGCACAGTGGGATTATGCTCGATGACATACCACGTGCTTAAAGGAACATGAGAGAGCTGGGCTTCATGATTTTAATTTATTGCGCGCTCTGTCTCTCTCCTCAGTTGGCTTTGTTTTGCCAAATAATGTTTGTGTTTGTTTTGTTTGTTATTAAGTTGGCTGGTTAGTGGTTTTAGTTAGTTCATGGACTGGACATAACCAACCTCATTCTATATTCTAATATCTCTTCCTCATTAACTTAATTATAAGGCTAAATTTATATTGACTAGCCGAGAACAAATATTGCAGCCGCGTTACTTTATTTTTAGTTATAGTATTATACGTTTTACACCATAATATAGGCCTAGAGTAGTATTTATAGTAGGCCTAAGTAACCAGGCGACTGTACCTACTACCTTTAAAACAGATCTCAGTAGGCCAAAGGTAGGTACTGTGCAATTTTGAATTTAAATTTACATTAGTCTATTCTGTTTTGAATGTAGGCCTAGGAGTTTATTAATAATCTCTTTGTGGTCAAAGGTAGGCCTAGCCTTCATTAATTTTGAATCTACCACAAACTTACTGGAGGATTTGTTGGGTTTACATTTACATGCAACTCTGGAATCCTCATCTGCATACATATTTTTTTCTCTGTAGGCCCGATTTGGGCTGCACTTAAGTATCGGGTCCTACACTCATTCAAATGAATATACCCTATTGATCGATATATCAATTATTCATTCGGGTAGTTAGGTTAGGTTAACCTAACTAACCAAACTTGATATAGGCTATCAAATGAAATAATCGATATATATAAGTTATGGAAAATTTAATTAGAATGAATGTAGGACGGATACTAAAGTGCAGCCCCAATTTTTTGTTTTGAGATTTGACCTGTAGGCCTAGGCCTAACTTAAGTTATTCCTTTCTTTAAGTACAATGTGAGCCATCAATATAGCCTACACATGGGTAATTATTTAGCATATCTAACTTACATTGGGATAGGATGTAATTTTTAGGGGTAGACTTTTGTATCTGTTGGCACAAACAACTGAATGAAAATATTGATTATTCGATAGTTAGGTTCTAGGTTAACCTTACCTAAGTAACCAAACGATAAATCAAATAATCGATATATCGATCGATATTTTTTTATTCGGTTGTTTGGGCCAACAGATCCGGAAGTCTACCCATGTTTAGATGTATACTTACAGTTTTTTCACGCTGAATCCAAAAATACAATCTTTGTTTCTGAACACAGTGCCTCCCCCCACCGCGGTCTGGCTGGCTTCAACCAAACTTGAGTGTGTCCTCTCCTCATCGAAATTGGATCAATTTTGCTTGAGTTATCATGCTGCTATCGGACACATGTATATATAAATAAGAATTTGAACGGATCGTTTTTGGCTTCTAGCTTTGACTCTTCTAGGGACATCAAAATGAAAAAGTAAATCGGTCCCGGGTCCAAGTCTTACCATGAGATCTACAGTAATAGCTTATCCCTATGTGGGAAAACCGCTAAAAATGTCTGTAGAGGCTAATTTTGCAACTATGTTTACCAGAGTGGTGTCAATCAAAACTGAAGAATCTCCTCTTTAATTGATTCTCATCCGGTGATTGATAGGTTGGATAGTTTTTCATTTATAGAGTTCCAGAAGTGTAACAATAATTAAAGCCGGGTTTTCCTAGGCGCGTAGTCGGCCAGCGGAGAGAGGAACGCGGAGAGCGGACTCAGCTTGTCTTAGGTAATTTAATGTTACTGTTTTCCTAGCAGCGGAGCGGAATGCCATGTTAATTTCAATTCCGCTCTCCGTTGTCCGCTCTCCGCTGGCCGACTCCGCGTCTAGGAAAACCCAGCTTTAGAATCACCCTGTATAAGAAATTACAAACAAATAAATTTGTTAGATACTGCTTACTTCTGTTCACATCAACTAGTTAACCAAGTGTAATGTGAACATAAGTAAATAAATAAAATGGTAGGCCTAATAGTGTAAAATAGTAAGTAATAGTGTAAGTGAATGTCTGTACAGTTGAGCACTCTGGGTTAGATCCTTTGTTTACAACACACATAATTTTGACCAATTTAATGCAACAACCTATCTTAAGGTTGTCAGGTAGGATATCGTTTTTAAAGTATAGGCCCTAACAACAATGGTTTCATAAACTGTGATATAATAGTCTTTCATAATAATGTTATTACTGTCAATGTTATTTAGAAATTTATTGTCATTTAGTTTTAAACTGTATCTTTCTGCCAATTTTAGCCCTAATTATTTTTATATAGGCACTTGCCCAACTTGTTTGACTATCAACAGTATTATTGCCATCGTTATCAATGCATCTGAAATACTTTTATGTATAAAAACCAGTACCGGTATTATTAGTTTATTTGTATATATATAGCATGTTCATCACTATTTACACTTGACACTGTACATTGTACTATGAATCGTATATTATCTCCATTGACCTGGCCTATTGTATGACATGTAGGCCTACTTAATGGCAATAAACTACCTATTTGCATTTGAATAAGTTATATGGCTGAATTGTGATCAATTTGTAATCAACTCTTGGTTTTAGATGCCATTACACAAGCATAAGAAAAAGAAGAAAAGTCGCAAGCGTTTAAAAAGACATTCATCCTTGAGCTCTGAAGATTCTGGCCCTTGGAGGGTTCTACTATCCGACGAAGATAGCGAGGCACCTTCAAATGAGGAACAGCTGACATTATTGGTAAGACAAACATAAAACAATAATGGTTCAGAGACCCTGCAATGTATGCAAAATCAAAAATGTTGGAATACAAAAAATATTACTTGATAGTTAACGTAAGAGTTATTCTTACATTAAATGTATATTCTTCTGCATGATTAAAACTATGATTCAGATTTTATTGTTTGAAGGATTAACAATATGTACATTTAGTTTTAAATTACACACTTACCAGCAAAACCCCATAACGTCATAGTAAGGGTTACTATACTTTTTTATGCTAAGCAATAACGATGCATATTGTAGATTTCCTAACATAAATACTCAAGGGCGTAGTTAACCCTTGATAGTCTCATTTAATAGTCCAACACTGGATAATCAAAAGCTTTAACACTGGATAATCAAACGCTTTGTAGAATGAGCCATTAATTTAAGTTGTGACAGGAGTCTTGTGTGTATCCAGTCGCTGGGGTCAGTCCGATTCTGCCGTCCTTAGAGTGAATAGTAGGCCTAGTGATAATTGGGTGGAATAAGTATTATATATGTTGACTAGGTGAAACCCGTCAAAATCGACGGTTGCTTTAAAGGCTTACGTTAATTCTTCTAACTGCGACAGAGTGAAAAAAAGTGAGGATTTAGCATTGTTTAATGAGTAATAAATTGGTGTAGAAACAATAATGACCATTGCGTTGTATTGTATTACCCAATCGAAATATTTAAAACGATTGAAAACATGTATATAAATAATCTCATGAACCTATGATGATCTGTCTTGAATATGACAAAATATTGGCAAAAGTGGTCAAAAAGGCGGACACCAATCCATATAATCGATATAAGATAATTCAATAAGAAATCATTTTAAGAACTACTGTAATATTAAGATTTTTTAATGATTTCATAATGGAACGTTATACTGCAAAACATGAGATGATGCAGAACAAAATAAATTTTAAAATCAGAAAATTACACTGCAAATACTTCTTTTTAACAAAGTCAGTAACACCCTATAATATGTGTTTTTTAAAATACAATTTAAATATTAACAGCTGTTTCATTAAAAAGTAGTGATAAATTATCCATATGATGATAATGTAAACAAAGATGGGAAGGGAACTTTAAAGGCCTCTAGGGCATAGCCCTAAGGGAATTTACTTTGTTTTTCTTTTAATGGCTCATCTACAGATTGAGACCTTTCTTTGGACACTCTACCAAGTTTCTACGCCCAGATGTTCTCTCAAATTAGTGGAGACAAAGTTTCCAATTAAATATATTTAAATTCCCCCATGTTAATCTTGTGGGAGAAAACCCAACTTTGATGGATGATCCTGCCCAAACTAATAAAGATTTCAAAAAATGGCTTAGCGTATTATATAGAAGATGTTATTTGATGGATTATTATCTCATGAATGTCCTATTTGAGTTAAGAATACAGATTATACTTAACCATACATGCCAGCGAGATGCAGCTGTATGAGAGAACAATAGCTGATAAGCTGGATCAAAATAATATTTTTTTGCACCTAGTAAGGACTGTTGTTTTTATGATTTGTTAAAATACTTAGTTTTGTTTATACACCCTATAGTCAATTTGTTAAAATACTTAGTTTTGTTTATACACCCTACAGTCAGAGAGCGTCTAACAATCTCCTTAAGTTATTTTTCTTTACCATTACTTTAAATTTGCTATAATTTTCAGTAGTATAACGCTTTAGTATCAGACAATGTTCCAGTCCTATTAGGGATGGATTATTGAGCGCCAACTGCACTTAGGGAATTTTTATGTTCAAACATCAAACATGTAGGTTCAACTCTAAAAAAGTTAGTTATAATAGAGTTCAATGTAGCACCAACTAACTTTTAACATAGGTGGTATTCTCTACTTTTTAAAATGGGAATGATTTATTTTAGTTTCTCATTCCAGGTGCGGAAAACCTATGTTAATCATCTTAAAGAGGCTCTGAGATTTAACTTTGAAAACTGCAGCCAGCATTCAGATGTGCCTGGTTCAGAATCTGTAGAAGAAATGGTCCAAAAGTGGTCATCGGCCCTGGAACAGAAAGCTTTGAGGTCATGTATGATTTCCGAGTTGTATCGCACAAGTATGGTTTCACTTGTAAGTAGTAAATAGTTTTCACAAGTAGAATAGGCTCAATAATTGATTTATTTCACATATTTGCCTACTAGCATATAAAATATGAATAGTTATTTTCACTTGTGTTATGGTGCTTTTACTATTTCATCATAGTAGGGAATAACAAAAGAAAACTGAAATTAATTTCAAAAAGAAAAGTCTGTAATTTGGGTTTTATTTTTTGTTAGCGTGTTATTGCATATGGATTAATTTAAATCATAAATATTGATATGTTACCAAGCCCAACTGATTTTGTCAACTGAATTCATTGCTCCTTTTTTATCGTAAATCTTTCTATTATTATTTTGATTTATATGTGACTAGCTGGTCGACAGACGTCGTCCTGTCCTAATGTGGTTTTATGTCAATGCTCGTTCATTTTCAAGATGAGCTCGTTCGCATGGCTCAATTATGTCCTGGATGAAGTTTGTTCGCTAGCTTACTCACCTTTAGGTTTGAACTCGTTCTCTGCGCTCACTTGCCTTCAGGTTAGCTCGTTCGCTGAAGGTTGAAGTTCGTTCGCTACGCTCACTCACCTCTTGGTTGCAAATTAGCTGTTGTCATAAATTTAAAAAAATAATAGTGCTGCACCCTGTTGGTAAACCGATTAACTTTTTAATGCTATTGATCATCACAGAATCAAATTGTTTAGTTGAACCAGATTTATTTCAATTCCTTATTAAATTCCGAATCACTTGTGGTGCAAGTCCCGTGCATCTACGATTTTTCTTGTCAGCCCTATGTTTTTCTACACAACATAAAAAATGGTACCACTTGTCGGGACCGCAAAATTTGTGAGATATTTTGTTCTCTGAAACTGAACTTTGTTGTAGGTAGTTCTCTAAATGTCCACTACAATGAAGGACAATTAATTTTTTGGAATAAAGTCTGATTATAAAGTGAATATTAGAAATGGGACCTCTTGTCGTTATGGGGAAATACCATTGAGCGACAAGAGGTACCTTTTCTCAGACAGTGCAGAGGCTTACAAAATGATTTATTTCAACCTTTTACTTCTTCCATTCGATAATTTTTACCAACACTGTCCTGTTCTATTTTAAACAAGGTAGGTATAATAATCGATAACAAACCGAATTTCGATATTTTTGACGTTGGTTACTTATATCGGCAGTTCTAAAAATTTTGCATCACCGACAAGAGGTCCCTTTTCGCTTTCCACATCACATATAATGATTTCTGTATGTTCTGTTTGTCTAAAATATATCTATCTTGTCATCGCCCCCCACCTTTTATGGACCCCTACTTTATGGACTCTTCCTCACAAAATAGTCATACAATTCCAAAAATTGTACAGGGTTTCCAAATGAGTGAAGCTTATTAAAACAATATTTCTTAGTAACTCACATGATATAATAATAAAGCTAATAAGGATCACGATCTTTTGAGAAAACCGTAAGCCGCACTACTATCAACCGCAATACTTCAATGAAAGGTCTTGCTGTGAAACTTCCTTGAAAAATATCAGTTTTTGATAAGCCCTCTCCTAAGGGCACATACCTTGACTGTATTTAATAACATTTAAAATATTGAAGATGCATCAGCTGTTAGATTTGTTTTTATTTAGTTTATTTGTTTACTTTTCTATGAGTTAATTTTTTGATTCTCATTATAGATGTTAACAATAAAGTTAATTAGTTTAGATTCTGCCACACTGTTTGATGGAAATCCACGAGATTTTCATTTCATTTAAATAAGCAATAAGTACGATTGAGATGTACATGGTAAGTGTGCGCAATGTGTAGCTAGTTTTTAAAGACCCACATTATTCTGTTAGGCGAAGCACGGGCAGAACAACTAGTTAAAGTTCAATATAATTCTGGCAGCCTTGCAAACTTTCTAGTCTGATTAAATTTCATCAGACTAGAAAGTTTGTTGCTTAATCTCCATGTTTCCTATGCCGAAGAGTTATTTTTAATAAGTTAGGCCTTATTATTATTTGTTTTTTATTAATGTTTTTCAATAAAAGATTTTAAATATTTTTGTCTATTATTATTATTTTTGTATTTAACCAGTCCGTCATAAATCAGTAGGTATTTAAAAATGTTAAAAAATCAGATCAAAATGTGGAACGTGCATTTCCCGTTATGTATGAGAATGGAAATCCCGTCTCAAAATTTTATGAGAAATAAAAAATCCCATCTCATCTCGTCTCAAACTGAAAATCCAATCTCGTCCATCCCTACAGTTTTAATACGCTCAGAGCATCATTTTTAGCTTGCACATCTCTTTTAGTAACATTAGAACTCACAGTTAATCAACATTTTTATTTAGCATCAGTAGATATGGGCTAACAAGTTCATCTACTTCTCTAATGGTTAGTTTTTATATGATAAACTTGATATAGCAATGTCCAAGCTTATAACAAAGAAAAGCAATATTCAACGCTTTTGCACTCAAATATAGAGATAATTTTTTGGGCTGCATTCAAGTAATCTAAATATATGGGGAATCATTGATTATTGATTTATGAATTGATTAAAGTACAGAATGACTCACTCCCACGCACGGGTTCTCCCATGTGGGATTAATTTCGTTTAGTTAAAGTACTCAGTTATATTCTTATGGTAATTTGATACTGTATTTTGTAAAAATGTAAAAATGATTACTTTTACGAAATAAAGACATTTTGATTTGATTTTGATTTGATCAATATAAACGAGACCTGTTAACATTACAAGCTTGTTAACTATAGATTATTAGGCAATAATATATCTGTTTCAATAATATTTGCACAATTCCTTAATACATTGAACTTTTAGTTTGAATGGAATGTTGAATGTGTGATCTTGATCTTGATGATTTTTTTCCAGATAAAGGCAGTAAAAACAAGCACAGTTGATAAAAAGCTGTACATTGAAGACAGCTCAACAACCAGCATGTCAAGGTTGAAATTAAAAGTTCCAATGAACAAATCATCTCAGACTGAGTTTGTAAATTTACGCCACGAAGCTGAAACTCAAACAGACTTGGTAACACCATCTGTGTTGCAGCTAAACTTAGCTGAGATGAGTCCTTCAGAAAGACCGTACAATCCCGCAATTGATTTTGATGATATAGATTCAAATAATGGTGGAGTAAGTAGCTCTCTAGGTTCCAACCAACCCCAGTCAAATACAGTGAAGAGTAAGAACCATGATAATTGTAATATCACATCCACCTCTGATCTTCTTGATTTTGCTGATCTGCCTACCCAAGAATACAAGGTGAATGTAGACTCTGCAGACAGTTCGGGTCAAAAAAGGCTGATAACTGAGTGTGGAATTCAAAGTAACATGTCGATTACAGAACCTGATAAATGCCAGACAACCTGCTTAAACCATGACAAATCCGATGGAAAACCTGAAAATTTCTGTGACGAGTTCCATACCGGTTCAAAAACTTTTATAACTATAAAAAAGCGACGAACGAGTTTTGAAAAAACTTCAAAGATGAATAAAAATCTTGATGAAAGACTTACTGAACTTGGCTTAATGGTAGAAAATGAAGACGATAGTTCATTACAGCAGTTGGGCAAGTCAAAGAGACTTAGTAACTGGTTTGCGGAGGAGACAGCTCAGTCTTGTAATCTTTCCAGAATATTGATGAGAATGACAACGAAGCAAAGAGAAAAAGTAATGAAAAAAATCAAGGATCTGTTTGGAGATGATCATTGTTCTCAGTTGGAATTATCAGAAGCCAACATAGCCATTTGCAGGAAGAGGATTGCCTCTGTAGTTGTAATGGAACTAACTCCAGTCTATCAGGCAAAACGAATTGCCTCGAGGCATCTGTTTAAGTTTCTGGCAAAAAAAATTACTCAGTCCATAATGGAGAAATCACTTGCCCCAGGTAAGCATATTGCTTATAGTTCAATTCAATTCATATAACTTTATTCATTTCAGTACATCAATACAGGAATGGCGTCAAGAGTGATTTAATAAAACTAACTAAAACACTCATCATTATCATGCATGAGGTAACATACCATCAATTTTAATAGCTTTTCAGCGCAAATAAAGTAAAAAAAAAATAAAAATAAGTGCAATATACAACTTTTTAAATGCATTCATAAAACTCAAAATTAAAATAATAAATAAAATTATTTTAAAACCAAAAGTCTAAATAAAGTAAAGCAAAAAAAGAAGTAGCCTACATAGATTTTTTCTTTTTTAAATTTTATTTAAATTTATTTTTGAAGTTTTAAATTTGATTTTTTAGGAAGTTTGTTATAACATTTGGAACCGGCATATTTAGGTGAATCTTTGTGAAAATTTGCAGGATATGTGAGCTTGTGGTCAGGTTTTCTCGATTTCTATTAAAGTAATTTGTGATAGTCTTCAATAAGTTGTACTATACATTTAATCTGTCTTTTACTGATAATACTGTTTTATAGACATACATTCCATAAAAAGTCATAATATTTTCAGTTTTATAATGTTCTTTGACTGTAGTTCCGCGTTTTAAATTGCATAATATTATAATAGCCTTCTTTTGCATGTTTGGAATTGATTTGAATTTTTTTAATTATAATAATGCTTAGAGACTTTAATGTCTTTTCCGAGAAACTTCATTTTTATAAAACTACTTATTCTTCACCGAGTCATCCTAACCAATTAGAGCATTTATCTTACTTGTCTTTGCGTAATGATTATAATATTTAGGAAAGGGACCTGAAGGTCTCTTCTCAGGTATTAATTTTTATAAACAATTTCTATTGTACAAAGTCATTCTAATTTAGTCAGGCAATTCTGTTCCAGTTTTTTGTTGTTTTAATATGACTGTTTGCTCCAAACAGACAGAAATGTGTGCAAATGTGTATAACTAAAATTCATGTTTTACATAGCAGTCAAGAAACATTTTTTAAAAGAGCATAATACAAAAATTTATTTTCGATAAATCTTTCTTTAATGAGCTAATTTTAATTTCATTTAAAATTGTTATTTTGTTGCGAAACCTACAAATATGATGTCAATTTTTGCTCAATGACTTTCTTCTATATACTGGTTGTTACATACAAGTACACACTATTGTGTTTTTATGGTGTTTTAAAGTTAGTTTATTATTAGGTATTCAATATTCAGTTCCGACTCAACCCTGTAGCCACCAAAACTTGTACGTACCTGGAAAGGAGTATTTCTGTTTGTCGAAGGTTAGGAAAATAAATAGTTAAATTTGCTAATATTTCCAACGAGGTTGGCAAAAAAATATCAATGGTCCTAGAATAGACCCTCAAGGTACTCCACATTTCATCTTTTTACATTTTCCCCTTTTACATAGTATATGAAGAAAATAGCTATTGTTTTGAGTTTTGGGTAAATATTTCTCTTTTGGGCCCCTCCTGAACCCAAAAAAGTGGATTTTGAAGTAATCTGTGTGTGTTTGTGGATGTCTCTTGGGGTCTGATTTTGAAGAAATTTCTTATGTGGGCACTAACCCATGGTATATCCAACTGTTTTTCCATTTTTTTTTATTTATGGTTTTTAATAGTCATTTTCCCATACCGATGTAATTGAAAAATCGGGTTAAAACAGCCAGAACTATTTTTTCATTTCTGAGATGGAATTTTAAAAATTAAATATTAAACTTATTATTTTAAGTACTGATTTGTGTGTGAAATTAATCTTGTGTTTTGCTTTTTCCAGATACCAAAGATATCAGGTGGAGGGTAAAGAAATATTTTGATGACGGAAAAGTTATTATGTCTGAAGCAGACTGCAAGTAAAATTTTTTAGTATTTATCTTATCTGTGATATTATTTACTTAAGAATGATTGTAATTATATTGTGTACCCGTTCACCCAAAAATGTGATACTCCTAGCTAATAAAATAATGTAAAACACTATTATGGCTGTCTAATGTATTAATTACAGTTTTATTTAAAACCTTGCGCTAACACAAAATAAAAATAGGGTAGTTGAATTAACGGTTGTAAAATACTCATATGTATAAAATGAGAGACAACGTTGAATGTTATTGATTTTCATTTAAGCCCCTCAAGCCACAAAGATTGATACATCAAACATCGATAAAACCTTTACTTAAATAAAAAAAAATGTTGGACTTGTAGAACACTCTAATGGATTATCCTGGTATGATTTAGGAAACTATTATGCTAGGGTACTGTATTGTGTTCTTTATTTCAACCGTAAGGGGAATGCATCACCAGGGCACTATTGCTAGACACCACCTATCCTCTGTTTGTTACTTCTCTGTGACAAATGTGACGTAGCAACCTTTCTCATCAACTAATTATATATACAGTGTGTAAATTAAGTATGGAAACAAATCTGTATTTTTAAAACCGAAATAGATAGAAATATTCTATTTGTGGCAATAATAGTTAACAAAGATTCCGCAATTTTTCACATGAAAAATATTTTTTTACCCCCCTAACAGGGTAGGTGGTAGGGGGTGACTTATTTTTTTCAAATAGCAACCCCTATTGAGTGACCCCTCATTTGGAAGAGTTTGTCAAAAGAAACACAATGACGCAAATCCGAGGTGAATATCTCACTCCTAGCCCAAATGGCGGATATTCCAAAATTTGATTTATTGTACGTGAAAAGCACCAATTTCACAAATAATGGAAAGAAATCTGTATTTTTAAAACCGAAATAGATAGAAATATTCTGTTTGTGGAATTGATTGTTGACATAGGTTCCGCAATTTTTTTAATCAACAATATTTTTTCAACCCCTTTAACAGGGTAGGGGGTGGGAGTGACTTATTTTTTTCAACAACAACCCCTATTGAGTGACCCCTCATTTTGAAGGGTTTGTTAAAAGAAAAAGAATGACGCAAACCCGAGGTAGATATTTCACCCCTAGCCTAAATGGTGAGTAATGAAAAATTTAATTTTTGTAAAAAAAAGCCCATTTTGGAATATCCGCCATGTTAGCTAGGAGTGAGATATTCACCTCGGATTTGCGTCATTGTGTTTCTTTTGACAAACCCTTCAAAATGAGAAGTCACTCCATAGGGGTTGCTATTTGAAAAAAATAAGTCACCCCCTACCACCTACCCTGTTAGGGGGGTAAAAAAATATTTTTCATGTGAAAAATTGCGGAATCTTTGTTAACTATTATTGCCACAAATAGAATATTTCTATCTATTTCGGTTTTAAAAATACAGATTTGTTTCCATACTTAATTTACACACTGTATACTGATTATATGGTTACATTTGAAAATAAATTAGTTTAATATAAAACAGCAATTTTGTCGATCTGTAGGAAATCGGGGGATAATTTCCTTGCTAGGTTTTATATACCTACACACCATGTTCCCATTGCATGTTTATTGTTAACCTACCTAGCCTAAACTTTGTGACCACTGAAACTTAAAGAAGTTTTTGTCATGCTACAGCAAAAACAGCACGAAATAGTGAGCGCGTAACATGCAGGCAACGTCGGATGCGCGCGAAATACGTTGGCAGCACTGGCTGTAAATCAGCTGGTCAGCTGTTGTACTGTTGTATTTGTCACTTCACGTTAAATGTTATATTAAAAGTTCACGTCTGTGTAAAAATAGGTTATGTTTCTTCACCAATTTATTTGTTTTATGGTAACTGTAGGAAAAGTATAATGTGCAACTCGAGTTCAAAGTACAATTGCCTCACTCGAGAAACCATTCCTCACTCGCCTACGGCTCGTGAGTAAGGATTTCTCTCGAGTGAGTCAATTGCTCACTTTTCTCACTAGTTGCACAAATAACTATTATCCATTGATCTATTAGGTAAGGTTTTAGTTTATTGTTGCATTCTTGTCAATAGTTTGACATATCGATGGTATAATGTACAGCAACACAATCATAATAGACAAAATTATTGTATCAAGTATTTGTAACAAGCTGGAAGTAGTTTTGAGAGGTTATCTTTAAATTAAAAGTATTTTTGTTTTCAAGCTTAGTTTGTTGAGTAATGATGCAGTATGGAAAAAAAATATAGTTCATCCAATGGGCAAAAAGTGTCTTTTCAACCCTCGCTCATTTTATTACCTCAGCTTTGCCTCGATCGTAAAACTTGAGCTTGGGTTGATAAGAGTCACTTTCACTTTACGCCCTAGTGATGAAATATACTATTTTGGTCTTGCCAAAAATTCAGCTCAATTCTTCTCTTTGTTATCAACTACCTCTTCTAATATAGACTCCAGTCTGGAGGTGTCTTTCACTGGTCTTTTTACTTCATTGTTAGTCTATCCTTTGGTACTCCTTGGAATACAACTTTAAGTTCTGTCTTCCTCACTTTGCCAGCCCATATTAGCCTTTCACTTTTGGCTGTCACCGGTGTGTTTAAGCATATAATTTTTTTAACTCTGTTTTTCTCACCCTCCAACCATCGTTATTGTTTACTGGTCCATATAATTATTACCTCCAACTATCGTTATTGTTTACTTTCTCACCCTCCAACCATCGTTATTGTTTACGGGTCCATATAATTATTACCTCCAACTATCGTTATTGTTTACTGGTCCATAGGAATGATAGTAGGAAGGAGTGCCTACATGCACTTTAAGTAAGCTAGCTGCTATCCTCCTTATTCTACAATTCAAAATTCTGGCCTAGAGCTTGAACAAAACTAACATTACAAAGGTAAGTTGAAAGTTAAAAAAATATGAACTACAATATAGTCTCATACAAATTTATCTTTCTAGTGCTTATTTACATTCCATGGATCGAGAGAAAAGAATTTATTTATAAAAATAAACACGTCTGCCTTAAAAAATTAGGTTGCCAATGACACAGAAAAAATATATACTATTAAAGGATTATAAAAGCTATAAGACTGATTAATTTTGATATTTGCCATACAAATGATTTCTCATTACAGCAATGAACCTCTTAATGTTTCATGGATAGTAATTTTCAAAAAGGATCTGTCCAAATCATATTGTTTCCAAAAGCAATACATTTCATAAACGTATATTATAAAAATAAACATTACTACTGATTAACAACATTACTCATGTGCATAATCCATTGAGGGACAAGAGTTCGTTGAACAACATAAGGTAACTTAAATTTTTATATTACAACTTAACTACTGCACTAAAAAAGCTAGTACACCATAATATGGACATATGGTGCATATTTTTAGGAAAAGGTGGATTAATCGGAACCCTTATTTCATATGTTAATTATTTTTAACCACGCTAATGTTTTGTTTTTAGCTGTTTTACAAACGTTAATTGTAGGCTGAATGCTGGAGTCATATTCCTCATTCTACTATACAATTATTGGATCCCTCTTTGATTTTATACAGTAACATTTTCCTATAGGATATTACTTTGCTTAATCACTCTGATTTGGTTTGAAAAAAAAAAACTATATAATGTGGATGCTTTTGTCCGAAATTAGCAAGTTGTTAATTAAAGATCATACAACTACTGCTATGCCGGTCCTCTTCCTCGCTTTCTTCTTAGCTGTCCTTCAATGTGTATCACTGCTGACTCCTCCACTCCCTTGCAGCCAGAAGTGGAATATAGTTGCTCATCTTCAGGTCTAAAAGTCATATCTTCCAGAACTAGCCTGCATCATCAAAACACATCAAGATAGTAGTGTGTGAAAACGCCACTGTCTGAGAGTAGTTACATTCATAAGCGTATGCAAAAAGGCCACATATACTTTTATACAGTACATGACTACTAAAATATCTTAATTATTTTGATTTATTCTCAATTGGCTATCCTTGGTTAGTAAGTAAGATAGAACACAAGAAAAATAGTTGTATACATACACACTGTTTGATTACTATCATCCATAGCCTATAAAAGAACTACTTATTTATTTTACCTGCGATAAAATGATAACCATACCTATTTCATTTTTCATTAAAATATGACGTTAATTTAAATTTTCTCCCATCAATGTGCTTGTTACTGAAAATAAAACCTCCCTAATTTTAAATAAATAAATAAATTGAAAACAAATCTCCCTAGTTTTATAACACACTTTGTTAGTAGGTTATTTTAAGTTGATGTTGGGCAGACTAAAATCTTTATCTATTTAAATTCATCCAATTCTTTTTGGATTGCCATCCAAATTGGCCATCTAGATAACTAGGTGGCGTTCGCAGAGGCATCCACAAAATTGAGCGGAGTCATCAAGGGTTTATATTATATTGTTTTGGTCATACTGCAGTAATACCAGTCGTTTTTAATGCATGTGTTGCGGGTCTAAAGTAGCATTTTTACTCTTTAGGAAGTAAAAATAGTTTTGATCCTCTATGGAGTAAAAATCAGCTGTTGTCAAATCAGTTGTAAATTACTATTATAAACGATTGCATGTATCGAAATATGTATCGATTCGTGATTCGTAATTATTTTAACCTACAGTCTAGAGTCTCTTCACATAGTGTTTTAGCATTGCAGATACATTAATCCATTCCCACACACAATACGCTCACCTTTACTACTTCCTTCGCCACCCCCTACGTCGTAGACCTATTTCCCTCTCTTCCCATAGCATTTTAGGATTGCAGATACATTAATGTAATTGCCAAAGACAGTTCCCACACTCTGCACTGCAAGCCTTACTACTTCCTTCACCATTTCCTACGTCATAGACTTGTTTCCTTCCCTTCTCATAACATTTTTGGATTAAAGATACATCAATCTAACTGCCATATACGGTTTTCACACTATGGTTCGAACTATGGACACTATGTAAGTATTTTAGATACATTAATCTAATTGCCACAAACATTCCCCACACTCCGCACTGCTAGCCTTTACTACTTCTTTTACCATTTTGTATGTCGTGGGGATGCTTCCATCCCTTCTCATAGCATTTCAGCATTGCAGATACATTAATCTAACCGCTACAAACGGTTTCCAGTTAACACACTCCACACCTCTCACCTTACTACTTCCTTCACCTCTTCTTACGTCGCGGACATGTTTCCCTCTCTTCCCATAGAATTTTAAGATTGTAGATACCTTAATCTAATCGTCATAAACAGATCCCACTCTCCGGACAGCTCACCTTGACTACTTCCTTCACCACTTCATACGTCTCGGACCTTTTACCTCCCTTCCCATAGCATTTTATGATTACAGATACATTTATCTAATCGTCATAAACAGTTCCAACACTCCGGACTGCTCGCCTTTACTACTTCCATCGCCACTTCCTACGCCAAGGACCAGTTTCCCTCCCTTTCCATAGCGTTTTATGATTGCAGATACCTTAATCTAATCGTCAAATACAGTTCCCACACTCCGGACAGCTCGCCTTGACTACTTCCTTCATCACTTGCTACGTCGCGGACGCGTTTTCCTCCCTTCCCACAGCATTTTATGATTGCAGATACCTTAATCTAATCGTCATGAACAGTTCCCACACTCCAGACTGCTCGCCTTTACTACTTCCTTCACCACTTCCTACGTCACGGACCTGTTTACCTCCCTTCACATAGCATTTTAGGATTGAAGATACCTTGATCTAATCGTCATAAACAGTTCCCACACTCCGGACAGCTTGCCTTGACTACTTCCTTACCACTTCCTACGTCGTGGACCTGTTCTCCTTCCTTCCCACAGCATTTTATGATTGCAGATATCTTATTCTAATCGTCATAAACAGTTCCCACACTCCGGACTGCTCGCCTTTACTACTTCCTTTACCACTTCCTACGTCGCGGACCGGTTTCCCTCCCTTCCCATAGCATCATAGGATTACATATACCTTATTCTAATCGTCATAATCAGCTCCCACACACCGGACAGCTCGCCTTGACTACTTCCTTCATCACTTCCTACGTCGCGGACCCGTTATCCTCCCTTTCCATAGCATTTTATGATTGCAGATACCTTAATACAATCGTCATAAACAGTTCCCAAACTCCGGACAGCTTGCCTTGACTACTTCCTTTACCACTTCCTACGTCGTGGACCTGTTTTCCTCCCTTCCCACAGCATTTTGTGATTGCAGATACCTTAATCTAATTGTCATAAACAGTTCCTACACTCCGGACTGCTCGCCTTTACTACTTCCTTTACCACTTCCTACGTCGCGGACCTGTTTCCCTCCCTTCCCATAGCATCATAGGATTGCAAATACCTTAATCTAATGGTCATAAACAGTTCCCACACTCCGGACTGCTCGCATTTACTACTTCCTTCACCACTTTCTACGTCACGGACCTGTTTACCTCCCTTCCCATAGCATTTTATGATTGCAGATACCTTAATCTAATAGTCATAAACAGTTCCCACACTCCGGACAGCTCGCATTGACGACTTCCTTCATCACTTCCTACGTCGCGGACCCGTTATCCTCCGTTTCCATAGCATTTTATGATTGCAAATAACTTAGTATAATGGTCATAAGCAGATCCCACTCTCCGGACAGCTCGCCTTGACTACTTCCTTCATCACTTCCTACGTCGCGGACCCGTTTTCCTCCCTTCCCTTATAGTTTTTGGAATGCAGATACCTAAATCTTATTGTCATAAACAGTTTCCACACTCCAGACTGCTCACCTTTAGTACTTCCTTTAGCACTTCCTACGTCACGGTCCTCAAGCTAGTGTCGTCATTTGATTATATTTATGATTCATACCGTTTCTGTTCTAATATCTGTGGAATAATGCTATCAGCTATTTCTTTATCTACTGCATTCAAAAGTCAACAGCTGATCATTTGTCTTTGTTTATGTGTCAAATACTGCTTGCATAAGGATTACATTGAAACTTTGAGACCCAGTGGGGCGGATTCCTGAGAGTTATTTTTAACGCCATATAGATGTTGGCACTCACCGATATGGTCTTTATCACCATCCAAAATTTGAAAACGATTGATTCAGCCGTCTAGGAGGAGTTTGCGTATTACGAAATGCATAAAAGTCGATGTATAAGAGCTTCGCTCGCTCCGCTCAAAAATGGACCAGCTGTACCCAATCTATCTATTATATTACTAAATTGATACAATCAAATTTTATGTAAATGGTTACGGCCATTAACCAAATAAAAATATAGAAATATGATGGCACATTAAAATGAAGCTCAAAGTGTGTAGATTTGCCGAAATATCTATTGATGTGAACGGATTCTATTATTGCTCTGCCGCATAGGCTTATTTTCAAAGGGCTATGCCTTACATGTTTTAGAAGTTTAAGTTATTCGATTAAATTATTGAACAACAGCTGGTCAATGCAATTGACAACAGTTTGTTTATTTAAATTTTTATTTACTTATTTTATTTTACTTTAATGTTCTTAAAAGAGGTGCGGTAAATTAACATTGATGCTATTTCTATGAACAAATAATGTCTTTGGTCGCCCAAGAGGTTGTCGCCGATCTTTACAGATCGTCGTGAAAGAGAGCGATGAGTTCAGGTTCAACCGTACCCACCTCGGCCACCTCAGGACGTAAGGTATGTAGATACCGCTGCTTTAAATGAAATAATGAAATATGTAGACATTGTAGTGCATGGCATTTTAAATATGAGAAATCTAGGAGTCGTTAAACCCTGTGTATTTATAGGTGTTTCATCTGGGAAATATGATAGATGATAGATTTTTATAGAACACGTAAGTATATATAATTCAGCTCAGCATTATCATTTGTAACATTTGGTGCAGACGTAAGACATCCTAAAGGTTATGGACCCTATTGTTTTATTGTATGTGGACAGGTCCATCACTACAAGGGTGATCTCTATGCGTCAGACCCTCGAACTCTCGGAGGATAACTTTATGTGTGAGGCTAATAAGAAAAGAATGGAGAACAATTCTCATGAGTTAGATCAGACGATTTTGTAGGAATTGGGAGCAGTTTTGACAGAAATATATCCATACGCGAGATTGTATAAGAATCTACTAGAATTTTTTATACCTGCATTTCTAACAATTTTTTTAATTGCCCGAACGAAGAGCGGGCAAAACCGCTAGTTTTTTTTATAAAAAATAGCATAGTTGTGTGAGCCAGTCTCAGATTGATTTGTTCTTTCAAAACACAATCTTATCTCCTGCACCGAACAGAACTAACAATAAAATTGTCATCAGCTGATCCAAGGATGAGAAATCTACTAGGGAGTATATTTTATCCATGCCATAGCTTAAATATAATGTAATCCAGCTACTAGGAGATCACAAATTGTGGATATTTATAGGCATGCACTGTTGATGCGATACTCCCTGGTGTGGATTAATGTCTGCACGAGTGAGTACTATGACTATCCACAGTATTATCCTGATAATTAGACCATTTCTTATATACCAAGGAAAAAATGTGGTTCATCGGATTCCACTATAAACTGTAGGTCCCTAGGTTGCCATTAGCTGTATGGGCTATTAAATAACAGCTGTGTCTAGAAGGAATATATCAGCCTTAAGTCACTAACAAGACTACAAGATCGCGCCACTCATCCTACACTCATCTCCATTCATACTTGGCTTAAAATACCTACTTTGTATGGTCGCCATTTCATTGAAAAGTATTAAAGTAAAAGTAAAGTATACATACTCTGTAAGTTCCGGAGACATGACCTGTTGTTTGGTGTTAACTACAAAATGCTCAAGGCACTGAACAATATGACTTCTCTCAAGAGGTAAGAAAGGCACATAATATGATATATCAAAATTCTTCACAAGTTGTGAATTCTTTAGACCACCTGAAAATAAAATTTACTAATTAAGTATGGATGTCTGCAGGTTTGCTACGGTAGGGGGTATTATTGTTTTCAACACCATTTCAACTATGTTAACAGTCTTGTGATAAAGCAGCACTAGTAGCCTATTGGCATCACAAGCAGTAGCTTACAGAATACACAACTCTCTACGGTTTTGTTCTTGAACATGATTTATTGCTATGTATAGCTATGATAAGCTGTGACTTTAAACGTTACAGTTTGTAAACTGAAACAAGGTCAATAACTTGAAACGTCATGATTGCACATGCACATTATGATTGTGTAATATTGTATTTTGTTGATAAAATAAATAAATTGTGACATTAATGGACATTTTTGCTTTCACAGTATTATTAGTGTTTTAATGGGTTTGTCTTATTTTTTCTGTACCATGTATTAACTGTGGTTTTACCATTTGTGGACTACCTCCCCCTTATTACCCTGGAAAATCAGGGTTCTTCTTTACAATGTCAATCCTGTTCTGTTAAAGTATTGTAGCCTATGCTACTTAATTGTGTTTTAATGAAGTTAAATCTCGACCTATGTTGTTTCTGATGCTGTTTCTAAACCTCGACTTAGCGAAATCCCTGCAAACCTAACATTAAGATAAATAACCAAATCCTTATATAACGAGGTTGGACTGTATGTATGAATGAATTTGAACATATTGTGGTTTGGCCTCTGGGGATATCAAAACGAAAAAAGAAAATTGGTCCCGGGTCTAGGTCTTACCATAAGAACTATAGTAATATCTTATTCCCTACATGGGAAATTTTTTTAAATACACCCCCTTTAGTGTTTTAGCAAATTACCCTATAAGGAAGTAGCTATTACCGTAGGTCTCATGGTAAGACCTAGGCCCGAGACCGATTAACTTTTTCATTTTGATGTTCCCGAAAGCCAAAAACACATTCCTTTCAAATTGTTATATATGTGTCCGTGAACGCTATAACTTGAATAATAATTTTCCGATTTTCATGAAATTTGGTTTGAAGGTAAGTGGCGGGGTAAACTTGAATGAGTTCGTGAACCAGGGAATGGGGTTTTACAGGGGATTTATTGGTTAAAAATTGGTTTTTCTAATTTTTGTCCCCCAAAACACAAAATTTCTCAATTACTCTATCGTCCATTTTAAAGAGCTTAAAACAACAAATAATTAAGTATATGAATGTGTTTTTGTACGGTTATTGTTTACTCAACAATAATTTTAAATTCCCATTTTATTCTTATGGATATATTTTGATCAAACTTGGCACATTTTTGTATTTTATACAGTACTAAGCTATTAATATTTGATAAAAAAAAACACTTTATTACTCTCCCTGTAGCAGCAAGCCTAGGTGTTTTTTTAACATAAATGTTATTTAAATAGATTGACTTGACAATCCTATCAGGCAAATGGAAATTCGCTTAATCTGCAGGTTTGTTGCTGCAGCGGGGGTATTTATTATAAATATCTTAACAATTAAAATTTAGTCTAAAAATACATTACAATACGAATAAATTAAATACATAAATATATACAATACATTTAATATATTATAATACATTACAATACATAAATACAAAACAATTTTCCTTAAGAGCGTTTAGGGGTAATCAAAGTAAGGATGAAAAAATTAAATATTTTACTTTTTTTTACTATTTTTTTTTTAAGTTTTAAAAACAAACTTTATTTAATTAATTAGTATATATATGAGCAAAATCTGAAACCAGAATGAAAAAAAATTATCCCGGTAAGCAGTTGCCTGCGCACAGGCTCAGAAACCGGCAGCCACTACGGCCACTTTCCATTTGAATTCCTGCTGCCGAAAATCTGAATCGGCGTGCACTCTGGACGTACCGTTACATAGGGGAGCGAACTGGTCTAGTGGTAGAGTGCGGGGTACTTTAGTGTTTGAGGTCCCGGGTCAAATCCCGCCAATCGCCAATGGATTTTACCAAGTGATAATGCCACAAACCTCTAGGGCTAGCCTGAAGCACAGAAAACGTACTACTATACCCAGAATGCCAACCGCATGGTAAAAAGCATTAAGCGGTTTGAGAGAGCTTTGCCTGTCAATCCGTAGGCAGCGCCACCAGCGTTGCCATGCAATAGCATAGCAACGCTGGTGGCGCTGCCTACGGATTGACAGGCAAAGCTCTCTCAAACCGCTTAATGCTTTTTACCATGCGGTTGGCATTCTGGGTTATAGTAGTACGTTTTCTGTGCCTGAAGTCACCACATGTAAAACTGTTTGGGGCTAGAACTAGCGTCACAGAAAACACTACTATACTACGTTTTCTGTGCTAGTGTCCTAGGATGTGAAGGTTGGACATAAAAAAATTACACTTTACATACACATTCCATGAGCTCTTTTAGACATTAAAAGTAAAATGTTACCTTCGTTTACTGCTGCAGTTGCTATCAAATTGGTCAGTCTTCTGAGATTCATATCTTCTCTTCGAATGCCTTGTTTGTAAGATGATAAGGCTTCTTTGTTGAGTTCCGTACCACCTGCGTTACTGAGCAGGATGAATATGACTTTCCTGGAAAGAAATATTGTATAATTCAGATGATAATTTGTTATGATAAATAAAACCAATAGAGATATGTGATAATGGATGATATTATGCATCGGAATCTATTATTCTAATTCCGTAAGGAATTTCTTGTGCACAGCAAAAAATATTTCCTACACAGCACACATTTCCTGAAAACGCAAATCCTTCTCGGTTGGAAAAAAAACTACACTAAGTATGACAACTGTACCTACGATCAATATTTTGTGAACAACATCAAACATCTTTTCAGTGACAGTTTGCAGAATGAAAACTGTTGGTTGAACTAAATTCTCTTGCACTGAAAGAAACTAAATGTTTAAGCGTCGGTCACTAGACTTTTTCAAAATTAAAATTCATTAAAAAAAAGCTATATACCCTAAATTAAATAATCACTTTGACAAGTACTGTGAGACACATTTTAATGACAAAACAACCTTTTATATTGGTATCTCTATTTTCTTAACTTCATTGCTGATCAGTTGATATGTGTTGTTTTGTTACATAGTTATCTACGATTTTGGTGTTGTTGGGAATTTATTTGAAATAAGACACGTTTCACCAATCTCGAAGAGCTAGAATAATATGCTGAAAGTAAATCATTGGTTTTATGCGAAGAAAGGTTTCAACTTAAGTTTCCAGGTGCAATTCCAGTACCTAATAAATCAACTTAACAAGCAAATTTATGGAAACCAAATCCAAATATGATTAAAACTTAAATCCCTAGATTTAAGTGAAAATCAAATTAGGCAAATTAAAATTAGCTTAGTCTGCAGTTTTTCTGCGACAAGGGTATTTTTTTTTACTATGGATTCGGTTTCTTTAAATTTGTACTTCAATACTTGTACTTTGTACTTTAAGTACAAATTTAAGGAAATCGAATCCATAAACAAATGCAGTCTTTACTGGTTCAATTGTTAACGTTATGCAAAAAATCATTGATTTGACTTTACTTGAGAGTAGTGAGGCGAAAAATAAATATGCAGAAGAATACTTGCCTAAAATCATATTCGCTAGTTTTCCCAATTTGTACAGCAGCACTGATAACGTCCAATATCCCATCAGGTATCTTTTCGACTTCATCAATTACAAACATAGATCTATGGCATTGACGGACTTTCTCTTGTATTGTTTGAACCAAATCTTTCTGAAATATAATGAGTTTGTTTATTGTATGCAATGTATATGCTTTTCGTATTAAGTACGGTATTTTATAGTTTTAGTTTTATTGAAGCAGTGACTCTGTAATCATATTCTAACTTTAATAGTATGATGGCTGACTGAAAAGCCAAAATACGAGCAGAGGTGCCCATCCCCCCCAAACCCAGAGGCGCAATCCCCCCCAAGCAAAAGGAGTAGTCCCCCCCCCCAATTTATGCTGCCGTCTATTTAAACCTACCCTTCCCTCACCAATTTATCTGACAATTTTCCCTTTAAATCATAAAACAAGCATTTAAAGTATTTAGTAAACTTGAGGTACGAAAAACAAACTTGCTGATAATCAAAATTAAATGTTTAATATGAAACGTCATTTAACAATACATCAATATAAATCTAACTAATGGACGAATTAGAAGTTTTTCAATTTACAATTCAGAATCTGTATTGTCAGCCAATATGTGTGCTCAGTATTGCAATTGCAATAGACAACGTCTTCAAAACGTACAACAATATAGGCCTACTCGGTGAATTACTCTACTCCAACACAGTACTGTAACTGTACAATATATTAGGTGGAGTTAATTTTTACAGGGCTTAAGAATTCAAACAGCTTTAAGTGCATTAATAATACTTTGGCAAAAAGTATATTGTTTCAAAATTATAGGCAGAGTCACGAAATAAGACAGACTTGTTGCTCGCCACTCCCAGGCTGCCTTCTACAAAAATCGCCGGGCAAAATACCCACAGTATCTCTTAATAATTGCCACCAGTACAAAAGGTTTTTGTGACGAAGTAATCTTATAATTCATTTTGATAGCCCCAGGATTGCCTTTTATGACTAATAATGGTGGAAACGCATCTTGTCAGACAATCCGTTTGTACACAAAACACGAAACGATAACAGATAGGCCTATCAATTCACGCGTGTATATATTGCCGCGGGCAGGACTGGAAGTAAACTGAATCAGGTAATGACGGGAAGACGTGGTCTCTGGATTGGTGTTTGTGTTATCAAAAGCTGAAATTGGACTAATTCTAGTGACGGAGGAGAGCGTTGAAAATATAATGGGATTCATAATTGATTTTTCCATTCAAAATTATTGACAATAATAACCAATTTATATGCTGGATGGTCTCGACATTCTACATTACTGCAGAAAAGGAAATTTATTAAATACTTTGAGGAGTTTGAAATATACATAAAACTATTGACATCACATATAATTATGAATCCCATTATATTTTCAATACTCTTCTCAGTCACTACAATAGTCCAATATCAGCTGTTGAAAACGCAGACGACAATCCAGAGACAACGTCGGTCCGTCATAACCTGAACCTGATTCAGTTTACTTTACTTACTTCCAGTCCTGCCGACGGCAATGGACGAATTGACAGGCCTATCTGTAATCGTTTCGTGTTTTGTATTAAATGTTTGTCGTATTCTGACGACACCTCCAGAAGTGGATCTTTTTTAAATCCTGACGATGGTGGAGTTAAAGAACCACCAAAACATATGTAGCAAGTAACATTCGACACTGGTGTATTTAAGGATTGTCTGGAAAGGTCCGTTTTTACCATTCTTAGAAGCTATCTTAATTACGAACGGCAAAATGTTGTTGGTGGTGATGTGAGCTACTTAGAAACACTTTTTCGGGCTGCTTATACAAAATTATACATTCATTATGACAGCTAGCAAAAAAATATCCCCCCCAAAAATCTCAAAATAAGTCCCCCCCCCAAAAATTCCTGTGGCGCAGTACCCCCCCTCTGGGCACCCCTGAATACGAGAGAAAGTAAGGAACGTTTTGAAATAAAATGAAAGTTTAGAACAATAAACATTTTATAATATCCATCTGAAAGAGCAACTAAAATACTAGTTTTCTACATAGTCGCCAAACAAATTGAGACACTTATCGTACCGGTGCACAAGCTTTGAATTTCCTTAACCATAGAAGTTTGCCACATGCGATCTCAACCATAGAAGTTTGCCACATGCGATCTTAACCATAGAAGTTTGCCACATGCGATCTCAACCATAGAAGTTTGCCAGATGCGATCTCAGCGACGTGCACCTTAAGCTCCGCGTTGTTGTCAAAGAACTGTGTTGCTAGCCAGGTCTTCATTCTTGGCAACAAGTGACAATCGCTTGGAAAAAGGTCAGGACTATAGGGTGGATGAGGAAAAACCTCCCATTTGAATGAGTCAAGTTGTTCTTTAGTGCGGTTTTTTGTGTGAGGTTGGACATTGTCATGCACAAACAAAATTATCAACGTCAATTTCCCTCAGCGTTGTGTTGAACTACTCTCCTAAGGTTGCGCAAAGTTTCACAGTACCGCTCAGAATTTATTGTTTTACCACGTTCAAGAAAGTCAATAAGAAGCACACCGAGATGGTGGCAAGAGGTACCCAGACAGCACACTTTATCCCAGGGACATCCCATATTAGTCCCATATGTCCTGAGAATGTCTCGGGATATGTGCGCTATCCTCAGGATATCCCGCAAAATCCCGGGACGAGTACGAAATCCACAGGATATCCTACAATATACCGTAATGTCCCGGGATTTGTAAGTTAACCTCAGGATATCCTGTAAAGTCCCGGGATATGTACGAATGCCATATGATATCCCAGAATGTCCCATGACATCCCGGGACATGTGCAAAATCCACTGGATATCCTGTAATGTCCCGGTAACAAACTGAAGAAAAAAATACTACCACTGATGAAATGTACAGTATATCTAAATTTAAATGTTCAACAAGGCCAATATATAATAATTTGTTTTTTTCACTAGTGCTTTCAGAAACTTGGTTTCCATCTTCAGGCTGTGTTTACACTAGTACAAAAAGTAAATATTTACTTAATAAATTAATTTTAAACAAAGTTAAAACAGATGATTTAAAGGATATTGGAAAAATAAAAAATAATATTAGAAAAATTAATCTTTTAATTTTTGATATGTTACAGTGTTGTTCTTGATGTAATTATTTTCAGTAATTCCGAATTTATAATTGGGCCGTCTTCATTATTTAACAAATAATTTTGGTCTGTTTTTTTTTTCTAAAAATAAGATTCCCACGCACTAAGATGTTGAGGTTTTATAATTTATTTTAAAAGTTTAAGGTTTCCCAGATTGAAAATATGTCTTGTTAATACTATGGCTAGCAAGGGTTGACTTTACTTTACTGACATATTACTACCACTGAGTTCAGGAAAACTAGAGTTCTATCATAGTTGTGTGGAATGTGAATTTAATTCTAACTTTAAATTAATAAAACAACAAAAACTAATTTTAATCATATAACAATCAATTATTACAGTGCTAATCTAATGGTGATTAAATAATCTATATTCAAATACCAGTATCCTCTCCAACTACCAGAAAAACAATTCAACTACTTGAGGCCTAAACAGATTAACAGAATCATATATAGCCTATACTGTAGTATCAAAAATATTTTAAGTATTGCGACCATTACAACTGTCGGCTACTCTTTAACCACTTGAAAACACCCATAATCAACAAGCGCAGATAGCTCAGGAGGTAAGGTAAGAGGCTCACAAGGCGAAGGTACCAGGTTCAAAACCCGTCTGGGCCAAAAACTTTTTTCTCGTTTTTTTCTTCAAAATTTGTGTTTATTAACTATTTAATCAATTTACTAAACTTATAATTAAGCTTTTCATACTAAATCTATATTATTTTGTGTTTTTTATGTTCAGGCCCAGACCACACTTTATCCCAGGGACATCCCATAGTAGTCCCATATGTCCTGAGAATGTCCTGAGGACTACCCTGGGATGACCTCGGATGTCCCACGGATATGCGTGTGAGCTTATCCGTAGGACATCCCCGGGCGGGGACATTAGGCATTCCTGTGGATATCCTGTGATATCCCAAGTTGTCCATAGGACCACTATGGGATATCTTGCATATCCTGTCGCAATATCCGTGGGATGTCCTGAGGAGAAAGTGTGCTGTCTGGGTAAGCCTAAGCCTCTCAGGGGGGATGTGGGCCCTTACGGATACCCTTCCCTCAAGACCGTGTGAGTCAGTTAATCTGTACTGTGTCCTTAAGTCACAGCCTACAAGAAGTGCCACTGTTATTACTAAAGGCAGCGGATCTATGGCAGTACGAATTTCAGCCCTAGAGTCAGGGAGCAGCGACACTAGTATAACCTGGGGCCGGGGTGATGGACACCGGTTCGGGCCCAGTGTCAATGAGCAGCAGGCGGAGTAAATGGATCACGGTAAGGCTGCTGCACTGACCTCCAGTTCTGGTATGTGTGCAGCCGTGCTGGAAATGGTATTGATAGGCGGAGTGTACGGAACACAGTACGGCCTTCAAACTGCTAACTGGTGTGTTTCAGAGGGAAATGATGTCTGCTGATAAAACGACGGAAACTACCCAAAGTGGGTCAACACCTAGGCGTGAATCCCACCAGACAATCTAGGCCCAGGTCCAATCACAATGGTTGCGACAAGATGCAAGGAGTCCGGACGGTGTCTTCTACTCGCGTCGGTGTACAAACCGCAGGATGGGCCCATGCAGTCACCCTAAGAGGAGGTCACGAAGCTGGTCGATCACTCGGCCAGAACTGGCAATAACCTTGTGCTGGGCTGTATCACCAACTCTAACAAGACTGTATGGGGATGTAGGGACAACAAGACAAGAGGTAAAGCCCTTCAGAATCAGAATCAGAATACTTTATTCTTGAACATAGAGTACAGAATAGGCGTCAAACATTACAGAGATTTAATTCTAAAATAGCATAAAGTTGTTGGGCTTTGAGGTGGTGTCGGTAGTGATGGTTATTACTATAGTCATAGTCATAGTCAGAGGATTGTTTAGTCCTCACTGGAACATCGGTGAAGTTCTCCAGTTCATGAACTCCTCAACTGTGTAGAATGGTCTCTCCACAAGCCAAGACGATAAGCGTTGTCTGGTGCTGCTTATGCTGGGGCCTTTTATTGTCTCTGGTAGCAGGTTCAGGAACTTCACTCCCATGTAGGAAGGCTTTTCTTTAAAAAGAGTTAGATGATGGACTGGAAGTGTGTAATTCATAGCCTGTCGGGTGTTATGGCTGTGCCTATCCGTACCTTGTTGGAGCTGTAGCCTGCTTGCGTGAGTAGCCACAGCTAGGATGTACAGGCTTGTAATCGTTAGGATTTTTAGCTCACGGAATTTCGGTCTGTGACTTTCTCTCTTGTCCATGTCTGCTAATATTCTTACTGTTTTTTTCTGGTGGATACGCACACGTTGGAAGTTGGTTGCAAATGAGTTTCCCCATACTTCAAGGCCATATCGAAGATGTGATTCAAACAGTGAGTGGTAGGCAATCTTGGCTATGTTGGTGTCACTTATGGTTTGTATCCTTCTTATCACGTAGACACTGCTACTCAGCTTACTACACAGGCTGTCAATATGGGGGGTCCATGTCAGTTTCTGGTCTATTATTAAACCTAAATACTTTGCTTCTTCTGGGCCTTCGATGTCTGGGATCCTGCATACCCCACCATTTCTCCTGCCAAAGACCAGTTGTTGTGTTTTCTCTTCATTTACTACTAAGCTGTTGTTTTGGCAATATTGTATTGCCATGTTTATGGAAACAAACAAGCTGATTTCAAGGGCTTCAGGGTTTTTTCCCCCAAGGAGGAGTACGGTATCATCTGCATACATAAGTCTTGCTGTGGTCTTCCAAATAGTGAGGGAGATCATTTGTAAACAAGATGAAAAGGATGGGGCCTAGCACAGAACCCTGTGGATCACCCCTTACTACAGGTAATAACTTTGTTCTTACTGTTTGTGTAGATCCCTTTTCAGTGTATTTGAGTTCAACCATCTGACTTCTTCTAGTTAAATAGCTCTTGAACCATTCTGCAGTTTTCCCACCAATTCCAATTTTTCTCAACTTGTTACACAGTTGTGTATGATCTAAGCAGTCAAATGCTTTGCTGAAATCAAGTAAAATTGCAGTTGGTATGTTTCCTTCTACTAGATTATCTATTACATATTCAGTTAGCACTATTGTGGAAGATGTGGTTGATTTTCCCAGTACAAATCCATGTTGATGTGGTGTGAGCAGTTCATTGGATGATAGGTGTTAAAGAAGTCTGTTTAGTACTATTTTTCGAATACTTTGGAGGATGTGGAAATTAATGAAATTGGGCGGTAGTAGAGTCCAGATAGTTTCCTTTCTTGAATTTTGGGTATAGCTTTGCAATTTTAAGCCCACTTGGGAAGATTCCTTCTTGGAAAGAACGGTTGATGATGTATGTTAACGGTCCAACAAACATGGACAAGTTCTTAGGATATGGTACCGATCGGTGGAGTCTAGACTCAACTTCCGTGTCGCCCGCCGCTCCACCGATCGGTACCATAATAGTTATTGGCCATTTTTCGTGTTTTGTGTTTTAAATGTTAAAAACTGTTAACTCAATGTTTTTTAAAAAACGACGTGTTCGCAAGAACGAAAAGACGATGACGACGTTCGCCTGAAGATGATCCCGTGAGGATCGAAACCGGTCGCCTTTCAAGGTCAAAAGGATCACTTGACAGCAGGTAATTTCACCAGTACACGTATTGATCAGTGATTTGGAGGCTTAACTCAAACAAAAAAAGGTAAGCTTAAAGAAGAAATAGTTTTAATCCCAAGAATACCGATGATTTAATCCAAATTCAGAATTACCCTTTAAATCCAAGCGACTACAATTTCCTTTGTGTCTTGCCTTCGCAATCACCATTATAAGACACAAGGGCAATTCCTGACTATCGCCGGTTTAAATTTAGAAAATGCATGCTTTTCACATGGACAGCTGTATGTTGTGTGCTCACGTCGTGGTAGGTACGCTTAAAAACTTATATATTTATACACCTAATGAAGAAAACAAAAAACATTGTTTATCCACTGGCAATTAAGCAAAATAAATATTCTATTTTTGTTTTTGGTGTTTTGTGTTTTAATTACCATTTCAAATAATAGTTGTTAGCGTAGCAACGCACGCCGGGTAACTGCTAGTAGTTTTATAGGCTACTTATGAAGTCAAACGGGGTGAAGCCCAAGGGTAACAGCTAGCGTTATTTAAATAGGAAATAAATCTGAAAATTTTTAGGGAATATTTTAGTATAAATCCAGCCAGGTAAATAGAAATTCGTTTAGTCTGCAGGTTTGCTGTGGCGGGGATATCCCTTACTGTATCAGCAAACTTAATCATTTAAATAGAAAATAAATCTGATATGCTTAAAGAAATATTTTAGGAAAAACCCAATCAGACAAATGGGAATTTGCGAAGTCTGCAGGTTTGCTGCAGCAGGGGTATTTAAATTATTTATACTGCTGCTGAGGGTGAACTAAACAGGTTCTAACCTGTATAACATGGTAAATAATCAACAAATGAACACTACTATGCCATCATAAGTAGTTAATATTTGATAAATAATAATTACCTAATACCTAGATTGAAAGAATTGTGAATACCAGCATAGACTAACCAACACAAGTAGACTTGTCATCCCATTGTAAATTTTGAAGCACGTTTTTCGTGTCTAGTTTAGGTACGGTGACACTGGGCGCTAGTGTCGACAAAATTTTGTTTCTATTATTTTAGGGCTAATTTCTTGATTTGTGCTTTACTGTTTGGTTATATAACTAGGAGACAAGTTATTGTTTATGATTAGATCGTATTATTTGGTTAAACGAGGTTTTAAATGACTGTAATAACTTGAAACAAATTGTAAACAAAACACGACCTCTACGTAAACCGTACAGAACTAACAATAAAATTGTCTTCAGCTGTTGCACAAGGATGAGAAATCTACTTGGGGGAGTATGTTTTATCTATGATACCAGTAACTAGTGTCTTACCTGGTACTGGTCTACTTTATCCTTTGATCGGAAATCAATACTACCTTTGTAAAATTTGACATATTTTGAGCTTTCCCCTTTTATAAACATGTTTTTTAATATCTTTTGAGTAACAAAGGTTTTCCCGGTTCCAGGGCTTCCATGAAAACTAAGCACTAAAGCTCTGTCAGGTTCCTCCTTACTGAGATGATTTTTTAGGATGCTCAAAATAATATTAATTGCTAATTCTTGTCCAAAAACTTGACTTTTCAGATCAAATTCTAATCCTGGAAAAAACATTATAACACACATAAATAAACGGTATTACTTCATGTTGTTTCTTGTCTCAGGATTACTGTTTTTAGATTATAAAAGGTATAATATTACCTGGATCTGCCAGAGTAATCCTAAGGCTGTCTGTCGAGACTACGGGTTTCGAAGCAATAATAGCTTCATCATCAGGTCTTCAAGAACACTTTTCACTCATCAGAGGTCGTCAAATAAATATAATTTTTACAAACATACATATACAAAAAATAGTAGGCCTACGAACCGCGTGCGCGCACTTAGACAGGTTTGTCATGACTGCAGCGGTGAAGGTTGGTGTCGTGAACTTTGTCCCTTGCCTGTCAGCTATTCCTGGTTAGCTATTACAGTATCATACAATGCATTTGACTGGAAATTTAGTTTGTCGTTTAATAGATCATAACTATGGCTTTTTGTTGCTTTGTATTTCTCGTATTCTTCTATGGCGTTCATGAAGCTTCCTTTTGTGCAAAAATGTAGGGGTGTCATGTTTGTTTCGAAATTTGTATAGTTATGATTTTCATTAATCAGATGGGCTGCATAATTGGATTTTAAATGATTTTTTGCTTTTGGAAGGTGTTCTTTGAATCTGGTTTTGAAAGCACGACCGGTTTGTCCTATATAAAAACTATTGCAATCATCACAAGATAATCTGTAAACTCCAGTTTTTTCCCCTATTTCTAGATTATTACTGGACGATGGATTTAGTAATCGTTGTAGTTTGTTGGAAGTTCTAAACGCTATCCCAATGTTTTTCTTTTTTAATTCGTTTTTCAGTATATTCGGTAGCCTTGTACCATACTCTGATGTTACAAAAATTTTGTCAATTGGGCTATCTAATCTGTTATCATTGGCTTTTTTCTGTAATTGTTTTTTGATAAGTTTAATCATGGCGGTTTTAAACCCATTTCTTTGGGCAATGTATTTGATCGTGTTTAATTCTTTGTTAAAATGATCTTGGCTCAATGGGACGGTGAGCAACCGGTGAACAAAACTGTTATATGCTGCCATTTTTTGTTTTGTAGGATGGTGTGAAGTTTCATGTATGGTTGTGTCGGTTAGCGTAGGTTTTCTATAAGTATCAAATTCAAATGAGTTTTCTGTTTTAATTAATGTTATATCAAGAAAGTTTAACCTGTCGTTGCTTTCCAATTCTATGGTTAACTGTAAGCTAGGGTTTATTTTATTTATATACTTAGTAAATATCTCTAGTTGTCTTACGTTGCCATCATAAAGGATTGCGATGCCATCAACATAACGGTGGTAAAATACAATCTTATCTTTGTAGCGGTTTTTATCTGTCCATATGTTATTGTTTTCAAAACTGTTCAGATATATTTCAGCTAGGATTCCTGAAAGTGGCGATCCCATTGCTAGTCCATCGTTTTGTATATAATATTCATTGTTAAAAGTTAAGTATTTCTGTTGGGTTACTATTTTTGTTAATGCGATGAGTTCATTAATGGCTTCCTCACTAAGATTAGAATTGCTCTTGTAATTATAAAATTGTAAAATATATTGTCTTTCCTCTGAAATTTGAAGTAGCGAGGTTCTACTGTATTATGCAAGTTTATGAACTAGTTTAAGTAAACAAACGTAAACCATCAGAATTCCATCTATTTTTAAAGTTTGACTGAGACTTAAATAAATGCCTATTTTACCCATAGAGTAATGGTGATTTTGATTAGCCTACACCATTGTTGTCTTTGGACTGTGAGACCATTTTCGTATTTTATAAATATTTTATGTGTATAACTATGGAAATACAAGATATATACTATGTAAAATGATTATAATTATATAATTTATATTTTATAAATGTATTACACTAGGGTTTCTATAAAATATTGGTGCGGTTTTAACATCCTGTAACACACTGTGTTTGTGTCGTGTTTAAATGTTTATTTATTTTCGTGTAAATATGACGCTCTTCGTATGAAGAAAGAAAACTGTCCTTGTGCAGCCTGATGATGGTGTCACACAGACACCGAAACTAGTTGTTCTAACAACAAAATTGGATTGCTTAAGAGCAGGTATTTAAACCTTTTCTAATATTATTTGGCAATCCGGAGGCTAACAAACAGTTTTGTTCACATTAGTTAAAACAGCTGTTTTGATTATTGTGGTATTCAAAACACTTCTTATTCAATAAGTTGAGTTTTTTTTTTTGACCAACATGTTTTCAGATCAGGAAAAAGCTAAGTTTGTATTGTTATTAAGTAATTTAAAGTCAGTGACTTTAGTGCAACGGGCATTTTGAAGAATATTCAATAAAGCTCCACCTCATAAAAACAACATTAATCGTTGGAGTAAGCAATTCATAAACACTGGGTCAGTTAAAAAGCATAGTAGACCTAGTACAAGGCGTATGAAAGGAGGTGTGTGCATAGTGACGTCACGTGCGAGCAAAACGTGTTTTATTTTACCAAATCATATGTTTTCTTGTAATTTCCCAAAGACTTTCGAATGAGAATCATTACAAATTAGCATTGAATATATAACACTATTTAGCGTTTTATATCCAATATAGTGTTGTATACAATATTGAATATACTGTAGTAGTGTTATATAGTATATTCAATGGTGGTAGTATATAACATTTTGATAGTGAGTACCTTTCAATCGAAAAACAGTAAAGCAGTAAATACTGTAACTGTGTCTGCCTAACAGGCAATATATTTTTAGGTGACCATATACAAATAGTTTTTAATATAATACCTTTTTTGCAGCTCCTACAAAACGTTATGTTTTATATAATTGAAAATCTCTCATTTAAGTAGCCTTAGTGGAAAATAGTTACAAATAAATTGACAAGACTGTATTTATATATATTTAACAAAAACATCACAAAACGATATATAGCTTAAGTTGTAGCGATTTTATTACTTTTTAATGACATACACTAAACCCAAGCACTAAACTACTAAACCCGTAGGGGAACCCCTCGGACTATTTTCTTAATAACTTCAAAAATTTACTAGAAGCTTACCGAATAGCCTCTCTCGTTTTGCGAAGTGGAAAATCGTGACCGCAGCAAACGATCACAAATACAGGACGTCACCGCAATCGCCAGAAATCAGGCTGTTGTCGCGATACGGAAAATCATGACGAATCTCGTCTTGATTAAGATATGATCAGGGATATGGCCGCAATCACAAATAAGCCTATAGTCATGGATGCTGAGATAATCGCAGGAGATTATCGCGGATGTTGCCGCGATTGTGTAAGACGCGAAAAACGTGACTGCAATGAATTATTAAGGCGTTGCCAACATCGCAAGCAACGATCAAACAGGGCTATATATATTTTTTTGTTTTTAGGTGGTTGGTGGCCTTTTATTGAATTTCCCATATAGGCCTAGGGAATAAGCTATTACCGTAGTAGGCCTATTCATGGTAAGACCTGGACCCGGGACGGCAAGGCGTATAAAAGAAGGTGTGTGCAAGCGCATCCCCCACCCCTCCAATCAGCCAAAATGTGACGTAGTGTGCGATGCACAGCTGATGCTACAGCCGAGCTATGTTATGCAGGAAACGCTAGTCCACTGAAGATTCCTCAACATTAAGTTGTAATTAGTTGGCAATGCCCATTTGCACTGTTTTTGGATGTGGTAATTCTAACAAGAAAAGTACCTAGTTGCTCTGGAGTAAAGTTTCATCAATTCCCGAAAGAATCTGGATTGCAAAACAAACGGATTGGAGCATGCAAAAGACAAGAAAAGATAAACATAAAATCAGGGAAATAATTTATTGAAAACATTATTATTACCGTAATTAATTAAATTATAGACCTAACTAATTTAATTTAAAATCTGTCGTCGTAACTGTACGCGATTCACTAACGATTGTTTTTGAACCCACAGATGGATTTGAGCAAGGGTATCAAGTATCAAAGTATTCGTATCAAGTATTTACTGCTACTGCTTTACTGTTTTTCGATTAAATGTACTTAATTTAATGGATTTAATGGTACTTAACTATCAAATGTTCTAGACTACTGCCATATTGTATAACACTACTAGGCTACAGTATATTCAATGTTGAATACACCGCTATATTGGATATAAAACGCTAAATAGTGTTATCAATGCTAATTCGTAATGGTTCTCATTCGAAAGTGTTTGGGAAATTACAAGAAAACATATGATTTGGTAAAATAAAACAAGTTTTGCTCGCACGTGACGTCACTATGCATACACCTTCTTTCATACGCCTTGGACCTGGTAGACCACCAGTATCTAACCAGACAGTTGAAGACATCAAAATATCTTGTGTCAGAAGTCCAAAGAAATCCCTCCCTCGCCGTAGTGAATTAGGAATACCTGTAAGTACTCTTCACAAAGTTTTACACAAAAGACTCCATCTTCATGCCTAGAAAATTTAACTTCTTCAAAAAATAAAAACAACAGATTTCATAAAAAGAGCAGGATTCGCTACAATTATGTTGAACCAAATGGCAGAAAATGAATCATTTTTGAATGAATGAAGTAGTTTTTTCAGATGAAGCCACATTTCACATCATTGGTTGTGTTAATAGGCAAAACGCAAGAATTTGGGGAGCTCAGCATCCTCATGAAACTTTTGAAAAGGAAAGAGCCTCGCCAAAAATAAACGTTTGGTGCGGCCTGTCCAGAGAAGAAGTAATTGGGCCATTTTTCTTCGCTGAAAAAACTATCAATGGAAATGTTTACTTGGACATGTTAGAAAACTATTCTTTTCCTCAACTTGATGACATGGAAAATGCAAACAGCTTTTATTTTCAGCAGGATTGAGCACCTGCACATTATAAAACAATTGTTCGAGATGCTTTAGATGTTAAGTTCCCAAACAGGTGGATTGGAAGAGGCGGTTCTATAGCATGGGGATGGCCCCCCCGGAGCCCGGACCTGACTCCACGTGATTTTTTTCTTTGGGGTCAGGTAAAGAACATAGTATATGCTCAAAAAATTCACAATTTGGACCACCTAAGGGAAAGAATCATTCATGCAGTTTCAAAGGTGACAAAAGAAATGTTGCAAAATGTGTGGGCTGAAGTAGATTATCGTTTGGACATCTAAAGGGCAAGGAATGGTGGCCATGTTGAGCTTTATTAGATATGTATAAAATCTGTTTAATGTAAGGAATCCAATAAAATAAATAGTTTTTTTGTACCTCTTTATCATTCTCGTTATCTTTTTATTTTTTAATTAAACCGCACAATTTTTTTATGGAAACCCTGTAGGTACATAGTATTATTACATTATATATAGTAATATTATTCATTTTAGGTGTCTTCGGTCCGTTGGACCAATCCCGAGTTGGGTGTCTTCGGTGTACGGGACCGAATTATACAATTGCAGACGAATCTGTAACCTCAAAATTTCGCCCCAGTGTCTGGTGGTAGACTAGGTCGAGGTAGGAAGGTAGCAGGAGACACAAGTCCTGAATCCTAGCGGGGGGAGCAGGAACTTAAAAATATTACGTCATCGCACTCACAGACCGAAGACAACAATCTAGGGTTAAAGAAACAATAGCTTAGTAAAAAAAAAAGCAATTTACCAATCAAATTTTCATGAATCCAATAATCTTCACACCCTTCGCAATATCCCATTTTTTCGCACACTTTCTCTGCAGTCCGATAAAGAGGGGTTTTCAATAAATATGTGATCAAACTAATTCCTCCAATAACAACAGCAGACAAGGGATCAATCAAACTATTGACTTTAATAGAAAATGTAAACACCAATAGAAAAAATAGTGTAGTCTTAAAAAAATCCATTCCTTTATAATTATATGCAGATGATTGTAAAACCTGTTTCGTTTGCTTTCCAGGCTACAGTTCAATCAACCAGACAGCCTCAAAGTTGTGATTGCTTTCAGTTCAACCTGCAATAAAAATCCTTTGTTAGTTCACAATCAGGTTATTTTTTACAGGTTTTTTATAGGTTATCTACACACGACTGCGGGAGATGATTACCATTTTGCCGCAATTGCAGGAGACAATTACTACGTCCCCACAACTAAGACGATATAATGATGTCTTCATGACCACGGGGGATGATCAGAATTTTACCGCGATCGTGAGAGAGAAAAGTTCAGAATTTTCTCTCATTTGCGGTAGACGATGATAGATAAACTCCTCACACACCTTGGCAAAATTTGTGACAAAAACAACCGCCGAAAATAAGTAACATTTTGCCACAATAGCGGGAGACGATTACGATGTCTACACAGCTGTGGAAGATTGTCAGAAGTTTACCGCAATCGCATGCAAATACAACCCATACAATTTTTTTTATTTTCCAATTTTTGCGCTCCCCCAAAAAAGTCGATTGCCTCGTGCCTATTCGGTAAATCGGCCCTGCACTGGAACGGATAACAATAAGGCTAGTTTCCCTCACACACTCCATACGCTCGCACGCACACATCTATTGGTGAAGTTATAGGCAGATTCACGTTGATGCTCTGCAGTCAATAGCAAAAAATACGGCTTGTGACAGAAAAAAGCGTTTGTTTGGACGTAGTCTTTTCTACAACCAAAACGCCACATCCACAGGTTATATTAAAGTGATGTAGTGGATCCATTCTTCCAATAAACATCGTAGTTGGTTAAGCCAAGCTCTGAAGAAAAAGTTCTGGGCAACTGGTTTCTCTCAGTTAGGACAAGGATACAGTGAATGCGATGAGACAAAGAAACGATTAGTTCGTTTGATTTAGTACATAGCCCATTGACATTGTGTCAAAAAGTTGTTGATAAGTCTTCAAAAATCGCAAAATACCAAAAATGACAGGTTTTTGATGAAAGAAAAACAGGATATTTCTCACAAGCATCTATGCAAATACCAGTGGCGGTTCCAGAGAGGGGGCCATAGGGGCCATGCCCCCCCCCTCCCCCCCGAGAATGTGGCTTTTTATTCTTTTTTTTATTTAAGCTATAATTTGAAAAATTGCAGCGCACATCCCCGTTTCCCGCCATCCTATGCCTTTGTCAAGTCAGTGCGTCAGTCATACAGTACCTCCTACTACCCAACCCACTAGTGGCTCAGTAGTCATTTGAGTATTTATTATTGTTTTGTTGCGGGTTTTTTTAGTAACACAGTTTTACAAGATTGAACCTATGAATAGATAGCCTATTTCCCATACGCATTTTCTGTTATCAAACAAAATTTTGAAACAGTAACTTAGCCTACAGCAAGTCTGGTTAGTTATGTTAGGTTAGTTTGGAATAGTTTCATTTCCTTATCCAATATATAGGCTATTATTTTTGCCTAAACAAGGTTAGTTCTTAAATTGTAATTGAAATGCTTTTAAAGATATTAAAACAGAAGGAATACGGATCGTCAAGTAAATAAAACAAAAATATCGATATAGGTATCAAAAACAAATCATCGATAATAAGAATGTTCCCTTTAACAGGAAAGTACCCTAAAAACTTAGGTAAGTTATAATAATATAAGTCACTACATGCATCATAAAGTCTTAGAAACTAGCCAGCTTGACAAAAGAAGAGTCCTAACTCCTTTACTAAATTTGTCATTATTAAGTTAGTTTCCATCTCAGGAAAGCAGGCTCTGGGCAGTGCATCAAACAGTTTAATGCCATTGAAAAGATATTTTCAAAAAAGCAGTTTTTGTTTTAGGATGTTTAAATTGTCCCGGTGCCTCAACCCCTAGGAGATGATTTAAGAAAGAGATAAATTTTGAAAAAACTCAAAATTTTTCTTAACAAATAGGCGTTCAAGATATACATGGACCAGAAAGAATTTTGTTGTCAACAAAAAGTGTTTTACAGGAAAATTTACAATAATGCTTTCTTAAAAACTGTTCAGATGGCTTTTTTTGTAATTCAAGACGCTTTTGGAATGCAGACACTCATGATCCAAAAATTGCAAATGCGTATGATAAAAAAGGAAAAACTAATCCATATAAGTTAGTAAGCTAAGTTAAAACAAGAACTTTTGAGTCCAAAAATTTGTCAAAAAATTTCTCAATAAGAATAGGCTACCTTAGAACTAAATGTTTTACAAACAGAATACCTAAACCCCACATTAAGTGTGAATTTCAACAGGCTGTCAATGTGGATGCCCAGAACATACCTTCTGAACAGGACGGAATTAAATTAATTGTTGTCTATAGAGATTGCAAGGGGTGCTGTTTTCTGTGTTTCTCATATGAAATTCGATAATTTGAATTTTGGTACAGTACTACAGTAGACTCCTGCAAACTTGGCGTACTGTGGACTGGAAGAGTGCCGAGTTTTTGAAACGCCGGGTTAACGGGAGCTAGGGTTAAAAATGAGGACAATACAATTTTTAAGCTTATTAACTGCCTCTTTTATTTATATTTATATTACAAGTTAGTATTAAGTAATTAATCAATTAGTGTTAAGTCATAGTTCAACAAATCCTTGGTACGAGCTGCTAATGATTTCAATTGAGCTGGCTTAAGTCTATGTTTACTCAGACTAAAAAAATCACTAATTTTCTGAGCAAGGTGATGGGCGAGTTATCCACCGGGTTATTGAGTGCGGGAGTTTGCGGGACTCTACTGTATTAACCAACAAGTTAGGACTGTTGCAGTTAAACCAATGTAATATTGAGCTGACCTGACCAATTACACCTTGAGGTCATAATTAGGTACTGTATTATGAGCAAGCAAAGCAAACCCTACCTTTAGACCCTAGGCAGACAACTTGGGAGGTCATTGATAAAAAGGGTGAATAAGACCAGACCAAGCACCGAGCAATGGGGACCCTTTCAGTGATTTCCAGCAAACAAGCTTTTATCGCTGCAGTATGACAAAAAGCCTAAGTAATAACCATTTATTTTAAATTCTTATTGGTTACCGGTAATATGCATTTTAGGGTCTTCATTCGAATTTTGAAATTTTTTTATTCTAACTTTACTTAGCCTACTCTAAATTCAATGCTCACGATCGGGAAACTACCAAAAAACGTTTTTGACCAAAACTCGTCATGTGAGTGCTCAAATTAACTGGAATAAGTTAACAAGCTGATCATGAATAACCATTGGTGTGAACCTGGCAATAACTTAGCAATAAGTAGTGTGCGCACCTTATAAAATCTACTGGCCGTTTTGCAGAAAAAAAACGGCCGCTTAGGTTATTACCGATAGTGTCAACTGATAAGAGGACACACTAACGGAAACGACAGTATCAAATATCATGTACCTGAGGACTAAGTTAGGGGGGTAAATGCAGCAATAAGTAGTGTGCGCGCCTTATAAAATATATTGCTAGCAGTTTTGCGGAAAAATACGGCCGAGTAGGTTATTACCGATAGTGTCAACTGATAGAGGACACACTAATGGACATGACAGTATCAATATCAAGTACCTGGGGACTAAGTTAGGGGGGGGGGGGTAAATGCAGCAATAAGTAGTGTGCGAGCCTTATAAAATCTATTGCTGGCCATTTGTGGAAAAATACGGACGAGTAGGTTATTACCGATAGTGTCACCTGATAGAGGACACATTAACGGACATGACAGTATCAATATCATGTACCTGGGGATTAAGTTAGGGGGGGGGGGGTAAATTCAGCAATAAGATAATTTGTTAAGGCGCGCACACTTCTTATTGCTAACTTTACCCCCCCTTAACTTAGTCCCCAGGTACATGATATTGATTCTGTCGTGTCCGTTAGTGTGTCCTGTATCAGTTGACACTATCGGTAATAACCTACTCGGCTGTATTTTTCGGCAAATGGGCAGCAATAGATTTTTTAAGGTGCGCGCACTACTTATTACTGACTTTACCCCCCCCCCCCCTTAGTCCCCAGGTACATGATATTGATACTGTCCTGTCCCTTAGTGTGTCCTTTATCAGTTGACACTATCGGTAATAACCTACTCGCCTGTATTTTTCGGCATTGTTAATGCGCACACAAACACATAAATACAAACAATCCCCTCAAAACAATTTAAAACTCCATGACTGTGAAGAGGAGCGCCGATGTAAGATGTAATAATTTTACATGCTAGCCCGGTACCTAACTTATTCATGTCCACTGCCCAGTCGATTTCGATTAGGTCTAGCCATAGGGTCTAGCATATTATAACATTAACATTCTTAAATTTATTTGCCAACGGATTTACACCACACCATTTTAACAGTAAAGGTTACCTACCAGGGTAAGGTTAGTTCATTCATTCATTGGTTCATATGTTGCATGTTCATGTTCATGTTGCATGGTTATTGGTTGCATCGTTTTTCGTTGACATTGACATTCCATTCATTGTCATTTGACGTCATTTGAGGATTGACGATTTTACTCTTTACTGACATGACATGACATGAGCCATGAGCATGACAAGACAAAGACATTCAAGACAAGAGTACCCACTCAGTCACGGCCGCCTTTAACTCCAGGCCGCGGCCTTCGAACTGGCAACGTCGCAAGTGGTGTTGTAACAGCTGTTTTTGTTTAGAAGCAGCTAATGGTATTTGTGTATTTACGAAAGATTGGTTACTGGACTATGACAAAATTTACTCCCCTTGAAAATGTACAGATATAGATTTTTAATTCTTATTGTTTCGGTTTTATTTTAATAAATTTATGTTCATAAATTTAAATCAATAAAGTGCGAATTAATGAGCTGATGACACATGTCTGGCATGTTATCTTATGGGACGTCTATCACTGAACAACACCACTTGCAACGTTGCCAATTCTACCAGGCCGCGGCCTGTAGTTAAAGGCGGCCGTGACTCAGTACTCAGTACAGTAGTCATTTAGCTCAGTGGTAGTCATAGTCAAGAACGAATACGCCAATACGGTCGTCGTATTCGCAGCCACAGCGTTTTCATGTCTAGAGTCACGCCCGCCTTTAACTACAGGCCGCGGCCTGGTAGAATTGTCAACGTTGCAAGTGGTGTTGTTCAGTGATAGACGTCCCATAAGATAACATGGCAGACAGGTGACATCAGCTCATTAATTCGCACTTTATTGATTTAAATTTAAATTTATGAACATAAATTTATTAAAATAAAACTTTAACAATGAATTAAAAATCAATATCTGTACATTTTCAAGGGGAGTAAATTTTGTCATAGTCCAGTAACCAATCTTTCGTAAATACACAAATACCATTAGCTGCTTCTAAACAAAAACAGCTGTTACAACACCACTTGCGACGTTGCCAGTTCGAAGGACGCGGCCTGGAGTTAAAGGCGGCCGTGGTATAGTATAGTTTCAGTTCAGTTCAGTTTATTGAGTCATTCATTCTAGTATTCTATCCCATTCCATTCCTATTCCTTCCCTTCATTCTCAATTCTCATTCGTTCATTTCATTCTAGTATTTATTTATTAAGTAAATAAGTATTAGTATTAAAGTGTATTATTTATTATCTTAATTTTGTGTTTTGCATGGTAGAAGGTAGGCAGCAACTAAGAAACTTCATTTGAAAAGTTATGCCACTTTTTCATATTATAACAGGGCATTTTGTTAGTTGTTATGAACAAAAGATGGTATTGCACTGATAAAAATCAAGCTGTAAAGAGATAAATTTGAAAATTTTAAGACGTCACCAACTTAGCCTAAAAATAAAAATGTCAGGTAAGCTTGGAGTGCTTTCACGATAAGATTAGTTAATTTCTGATAGCCCACCAGGAATTGGTAACTTAATCCCACTACTGTATATGGAATACCTTTGCTTTCTAGGGTTAACCAATCATATTGGGTAAGTTAGGCTCTGTTATTCTTAAAGTAGGCCTACCCCACTTAGTCATTTAAAAGTTCCATAGGCCTAAATCTAAATTAAATGTATTAGCCCAGACCCTATTACTTAAGTTTAAAAAAGGTTAGAAGGGTCTGACTCAGGGGACGTATAAATGAGGTTTTTTCAGTTTTAAGTCCCTAATTTCAAAATTTAGTCAAACTCTTTTGCTGGATATCACAGACATACAGACAGACAAACAAACAGACATAGCTCGTAATTGAGTAGCCTATAGGATTTTGATCAAATTTATTTATTTTATCCTGTACTATTAAAATTTGGTCAAAAACACTTCTTCCCTTCCCTGTAGCAGCAAGTACTCATTAAATTTAATGTTGTAAAAGGTAATAAACCTGACATGTTTAAGGAAATTGTTTATAAAAATCTAATCAGGCAAATGGAAATCCACTTAAATTTAGTCTATGATAGGTTTGCTGTGGCGGGGGGGATAAGTACTCCTCATTCCTAATTCCTACTTAGTACACTTAACTGACTTAACATGTGTGAATGTCCAATCTGGTGTGTATAACAGAACAAATTTAGCTCAATTTAGGCAAGTACACTTCACAGAAATGTTCATTTTTTGTATTTCTTGCAGATATGAAAATTCCAACACGACCAGCACCTGAACCTCCATGTTCAAAAATGCCAAAACAAAAAAGTTTAAGACATGTGACTGCAGCTTCAGAAGTTAGGTAATTTAAAATATCAGAAGGGTGTTAGGTATAGTCTGAATGATGGAACGTGTTTCTTAACCTTTCGTTTACCTCAAACTAACCTGGACCATAAACCTGAACTCTGCGACACCACTGCAGCGGTTTTCATTATAAGTTACCTTTTAGTTTCCCCACTAGTGTCAGTAATTATTTTACCCCCAACCTCATCAGTTCCTGGAAGAGGAAAACGAGGCGCTATAATCTATAACCAACACAACCGAAAGTCTAGAGATAGAAGGATACAGCTTGGAAATGGTATGCGAAATAACATCAATAAAAAAAAAAACAAGAAGAAGAGCCTTTTCCTCCTTGAAGTCTATCAATCACCTTGTGCTGACCTTGATACGTCACTACAAGTTCTGTCAGATGCACTAGACAGCCTTCCTACTCAGAGAAGTGACACACTTATCATGGAGGACATTAACATTGACAGTTTGGATGAGGTCTCTAGAGAATCTGTTACACTAAATTCGCTATTGGATGGGTATAACATAAGAAGACTAGAGCTCCCAGCCACAAGAATCTCAAAGACCTCAGCATCCTCAATTGATATGGTGTGTTCAAATATTCACACCATGATTACAGTTGTGGTCTCTCACACAGGTCTATCAGACCACACAGGACAATAACACACACTGGACCTTCCAAAAACAAAAGCAGCAACAACATATACATCACGATGGAACCCTAACCACAATAATCTGCTGATCTTGCTACACATAAGAAGAAATCTTACATCCAAAAATTAAAAAAGGCAAGGCAAGAAACAAGTGCTGCATACATTGAACTAGCAGAAAACAAAGACAAAGCCATATGGGACACCATCAACAGTGAGAGGAAAGAGCTTGACAACAATTCTACAATAGAATTAAATGACAATGGAAAGAAACTTACTGACCCAGATGTAGCAAACCGCTTTAATTATTATTTTGTAAACATTATAGTTGAGGAAACATTAAAACAAAACAGCAGATACAACACACCACCAATAGCTCAAAATCCTCTCCAGCCTTTACATTTAACACTCTCTCTTCCTTCCGTCCAACAACACCTGACGAGATAGGCCTCGAACCATTCAATCACTAAAGAACTCCACATCATCAGGCATTGATGAAATATCTTCAAAAATCCTTAAAACATGTGCAGATGAATTAATAATGCCGCCAATGAAGATTGTAAACATGTCGATGGCAGAGGGGACTTTTCCAACCAAGTTGAAAACAGCCAAGGTATTTCCTAAACACAAACAAGGGGACCTACACAACATCTCTAACTACCGACCTATCTTGCTGCTCTCATCTGTCTCCAAACTCATAGTGAAGATTATAAAAGTAAAAATCCAGGAGCATCTTTGTCAAAACCAAGCATTGACAAACAGCCAACATGGGTTTGTTCCTGGAAAATCAACCACAACTGCTCTGATAGACCTTGTTCAATATATCATTGAGAACATAGAAAATGGCAACACTATCACCAACCTGTATCTTGACTTAAGCAAGGCTTTTGATTCCTTGGGACATGATCTTATTCTAACTAAACTTCAAAATTTAGGAATCCAGCAAACAGCTCTGAAATGGTTTGCAAGTTATCTAAAAGGGCGAAGCCAAATGGTAGAAATAAAACACACGACAAAAAGGTTTACAGATACTGTCAGATCTGAATTGCTACCGATTAACAGAGGAGTTCCCCAGGGCTCTGTCCTAGGGCCAGTTCTGTTTGGGCTGTTTATTAATGACTTCCCGGAACACCTTGAGGAATACAGCAAGATGGTCATGTATGCAGACGACACTGTGCTGCTTACAGCAAACAGAAACAGAGATCAACTAAAAAAACACCTATATTGCTTTCAATATGACACAGGACTACTGTATGAAAAATGACTTAGTCCTCAATGAAAGTAAGACCAAGCAAATGACTTTGGAAATAAAAAGTTTACAGTGTCTTCTGAAATGCCCAACCTGACAGCAGCTGAAGAAATCAAACATCTAGGTGTCATATAATTGATGAAAACTTATCCTGGGATCGTCATGTAGCTTGTCTTTGCCAAAAACTCGGGCCAGCTCGCTTTGCCATAAAACGAATCAAAGAGACTAGTACCCCTGAGGCAACGAGGACTGCATACCATACATTGTTTGAAAGCCATGTACGCTATGGTATTACTGTCTGGGGTGGATCCACTATGGACAATCTTAACCGGGTCCTGGTTATGCAGAAAAGGGCTATCAGAATAATAGCAGGCATAAGTAAAGAACAAAGCTGTAGAGATGCCTTTAAAAACCTCAACATCCTGACGGTGACTCCCATCTACATCCTAGATACTGTTTATTACTGTGTAACCAAAGACCCACCTAAACAAAGAGATATATACATGAATACAACACCAGATATGCAGGAAAATATGTGCTGCCTGGCCACAGAACAGCAATGTTTGAAAAGAAACCACTGTATGCAGGAGTGAAGATGCTAAACAAGCTACCAGACCACTTGAAAATTTGAGGCCCTGTGCTGATGAAGAGGAAGCTATGGAGATGGCTGCTAGACAAAGCTTTCTACACCCTAAAGGAGTTCTTTGCATGGCAAGACCACACACAACACTGAAGAAGCTTTTCCATTTCACTTTGTATCTACAGTTGAGCTTGTACGAACCTCGATAAAACAAATTCCTCGATAAGACAAATTTTTTTTTAATCCCCTTGACACTTTCATATAGGTCAATGCTAAAAACACCTCTATACAACGTAGTAATTAAGTTAAAAACCTCCATAAGACGAATTTGTTTGTGACATGGGCTAGGACTGATTAACCTCTATACAAAGAATATTCTTAGCACAAAACCTCTACAAGACGAACGTGACCTCTATAAGACGAATTTATCATAATCTTAACCTCCATAGTACGTCGTTTTCAAAACAAACAGAAGCTTGTCCCAACATGAAACCCCCACCCATCCCTCCTCCTTCCTCAGTCATTGTTTGGAGAAACCTTGGAGCGAGGAGAAACCTCTATAAGAAGAATAACAGCAGCATTAAACCTCAATAAAACGACCCTCTTTATTAAGAATACCTCTATATTACAAATTTTTCCCGTACCCCTTGAAATTCGTCTTATAGAGGTTCAACTGTATTATACCAATGTTATTTATTGAAATTTGACGCTGTATCATTTCTTGATGAAATTGTAATTTAAAGGAATTGTCTATATATGACCAGCTGTTGCCAACCCTTTATTGAAAAATTACTTGGATGTGTGAGCCAGTCATAGAATGGACTATCTATATTTATAAAAGAGAAATGAAATGAAAATGAAATGAAATGAAAAATCATTTATTTATACAGGCAAAGTTAGGGCCACATGGCCCTTTCTTACACTTAACCTGTAAATATTGTTGATAGTGTGTGAATAAGGAGTTTTATTTTTTAAGTGCGTAATTCATTAACTTAAGACTTTCTTTTTTCCAAAATGTTTATAAAAACCTATTGAATTTGTATGGTTTATTTTATTTCCCAAAAAATAATGTCTAGGAAACTAAAGTAACCAGTTAATTTTATTAATACTTTTAGTGGATTACTAAAAGTTTATCTACATACAGCAGATCTGTGGAATGATAATTATTCTCTTAGGCGTTCTCTTCCCGTTGCGATGCACGGGTATGGTGTACGGGTATGTGGGTATGGTATTGTTTAAAACTCTTTTTTTCTAGCTTATTTTTGGTTACTGACATGGTTGATGAGTCATAACGTTATGACGTTTGATATAGCTCACCATAAGTTGTTTCACTAGGTAATAAAGTATTCAACATAAATTAGAGTCCGGACCACATAAGTTTGCAGTTGAGGGAGGAGCCTATTTACCATATGGGTTTAAATGAACCAATGAGAACTGTGCGGTGTTGCCAAATCTAATAATACCAGCTGATTTGAAAATATTGCTTAGTATATTTTATTAGTGCGATGTGGCAACGTTGCACTAGCCTTGTCTTGTGATTGGCTGTCACCAACTGCAAACTTACGTGGTCCCGACAATAGTAATTTAGATCAGCACAATCTGTCGGTGGCTCACATCAACTATGACAATATTGATTAAAATTACTCGTGACAACTTTAACATGGGGATGGAGTTTCTAGATGTATCAATAATCAAAGGAGTAACAGATTGATATAGGTCTTGAAGATTAGATAACCCTACATTGGAAATAATAGCAATAAGTATAAAATCTTTTTCAGAGACACCTGTTTTGAACGTTTTAAACTAGCTCGATCTCAATCAGCTGGAAAGTTGGGGGAAACTAAAAAACCACCTCCTCGGCCGCCACCTCCATTAAAAGTCGTTACAAGCTTGAAATCCACTCCGTCTTCACGACAGGTATGTATTATATATTGATTTTTGAGGATCATAATTAATTAGGTACTTTTTCATTAAATAAATATACATTTTACTGTTGTTATTTGTATTTGATTGTAAAATTAGTTATTATTAAAATAATACTTAAAATACATACGATGTGATAATAATAACAACTTTTTTAATATCGAGAGAGAAAAGTTTAAATGGGAAAGAGGAAATTGATGAAAAAATAATCACTTACCTATGATAATTGATGTTGGCAAGCTTATGGGAGAAAGTATGTGTCAAATTGCTGATGGTGTTTATTTTGTTTGTATACATTATTATGCACGAATGAATAGTGTAATTGAAACTAAGACTTAAACTAATGTACAAGATTCAAATCATTAAAAGAGTATAGGAACAGGTTTACTGAGTATTCTTTGTAACGTTTACAAATTAAGTTGTTGGTATTTTATTTTTTAAGCATTGAAGTTGAATTGTTCACAGCCAAGCCAGTTGCTCTATGGCTTGCTCGGACGCAGCAAAGGCAGCAATAAGGTGCCGAAGAGCCACTCCAGTACAATGTTGTCAGAACCTGCATCATGTGGACTCCTGATAGACCTGAGCTCTCCCCCAGCCTCCCCTACTCGCTCCAGTAGTGATGGTTTCAGTCTCAACAGTTTTGGCAGCGACAGTCACAACAACGCCAACTCCCAGGTTTGTTTAAACATAAGGCCACAACCCACTATTAAGGTATCAATATTCTATTGGTAATAAGGAATACTAATGGTATTTATTGTTGTTATTATTGGGAGGATAACATAGAAAAATCCTGGATTTAGCTGGCTAGACCATATAGTTTTAGCTCTAGTCAAAGCAGTGTTAGTTTATAACAGCTGCTGTTTTAGCGAATTTCCCTATAGGGAAGTAGCTATTACCGTAGGTGGCACGGTAAGACCTAGACCCGGGACCGATTTACTTTTTCATTTTGATGTCCCCAGAGGCCAAAAACCCTATTCGTTCAAATTTTTATATATGTATATATATAAATATAGACTTATATATATATACGTCCGTAAACGCGATAACTTGAGTAATTTTTGTCCGATTTTGATGAAATTTGGTTTAAAGGTGTAAAGCGGGATAAACTTGAATGAGTTCGCGAACCAGCACGATCGGACCATGGGAACAGGGCTTTACGGGGGGTTTTATGGGGTAAAAATTGGTTTTTCTCACTTTTTACCCTCAAAACACAAAATTTCCCAATTTCTCTTTAGACCTTTTTAAAGAGCTTAAAAAAACAAATAATTTAGTATATAAAAGTATTTTTGTTCGTGATTATAAATTAAAAGTCATCATAGTTTGGTATTAACTATCTTTTAAAAAACCAAAAGTAAATATTTACATAAACAACATAAACAAATGAATATTAAACATATGTTATTTGTCATCTTCCCCTTGAGCTTGGAGTCCTAATCTTTTTTTTATAAATCTAAACTCACAAACTGCAACAAAATGGTCGGATTATCATATACAAATAGTTTTAAGAAAGTGTTTACATATATATGTATGATATATTTTACTGACTTTTCATGATAATTTACCAGAACTTTATAGATTACTTGTAGTGAGTTTTGAATTTATAAATTTTATGCCATTTACAAATTTTAATAGGTACATTTATTGTGTTTTAATGTTACCCTATTAGTGAACTTGAATACCAATTTAAAAGACTATGCACGTAATATCTATATGTAGAACAATATTTTCATATTGTATTTGGTAAAAAATGAAAATTTATTATGATAATAATAGCATTGAATTTGGATATAAAAGTAGATACTCATCTTCATGAGTTGGCGGCTGTAGTAATAGCTAAGTTAATCATATTTGGATTAGTCTCTTGGCTTCTCAAAGAGTAAATTACTATACTCAAATGTTCTATTTTAGTTTTTTATTCCATGAAATTGATTGTCGGCGTAAAATAATATTCTTCCTGATTATAAATTAAAAGTCATAGTATGGTATTAACTATCTTTATAAAAACAAAAGTAAATATTTACAAACACAACATAAACAAATGAATATTAAACATATGTTATTTGTCATCTTCCCCTTGAGCTTGGAGTCCTAATCTTTTTTTATAAATCTACTAGCTGACCCGGCGAACTTCGTATCGCCTAAGTTATAGGTTTCCCCTAAGACAGACCGATGGAAAGAAAGTACCGTTACGTTTAATTTTCAAAATGATCTCGTTCGCATCGCTCAATCACGTCCTGGTTGAAGTTCGTTCGCTACGCTCACTCACCTTTGGGTTGGAGCTCGTTCGCTACGCTCACTCACCTTTAGGTTGGAGCTCGTTCGCTGCGCTCACTTGCCTTCAGGTTAGCTCGTTCGCTACGCTAACTCGCCTCCAGGTTGAAGTTCGTTCGCTACGCTCACTCACCTTTTGGTTGCAAATTAGCTGTTGTCATAAATGTAAAAGAAATAATAGTGCTGCACCCTGTTGGTAATCCTTGTAACTTTAATGCTATTGAACATCATAGAACAGAACCAACTTGTTTAATTGAAACAGCTGTTAAGATTCATTAATTCCATTTCTCATAAGGTTAACATGGGAAACTCCAGAGCCACTGGGGCGGAGCCCTTTTAAGAATTTCGAAACGGGAAATAGTTTACGTCCGATTCGCATACCTACAGAATTTACACACCAAATTTCATAACGATCGGTGAAGTCGTTCCGGAGGAGTTTGCAGACAAACACTGTGACACGAGAATTTTATATATTAGATTATTTCTTCTCTTTATACCCTTGTCTTTAATAGAAACTAAATAAGATCTGGGTTGTTGAAGTTTCTTCTCTATTACTCCTTCATCCCATGTTTTATTGAATACATCTTGAACCCATACTTCCTGCCCTTCAGTAAAGCTATCTTCACGGTTTAAAGACTTTCTATCATAATGTGACTTTTGTGCTTTCTGAGTTTCTATCATTTTTTCATAGATGCTGTCCTCAACAAGTTTGGATTTTAATAGTTCTTCTCTCATTGGAATTTTACTTCTTAAGTGTCTGCTGTTAAGAAGCTGAGCTGGAGAAACTTCAAGGTTAGATATTGGGCTGTTTCTGTAGTTTAATAAGTATAACTGCAGATCTTGTTTTGTTTCTTGACATTTTTTTAACATTTCTTTCACTATTCCAACAGATTTTTCCACTAATCCATTTGATTGGGGATAGTATGGACTTGTTGTTATGATTGTTACATTCCATTCCTGAGAAAACTGCTTTAAACTCGATACTGTTGAAAGGCATATTATCAGCAATCAGTGTTCTAGGTATCCCAAATCTAGAAAATACTTCTTTAAGCTTAGAAATAATAACTGAACTACTTTTTGAACTTATCTTCAGAGCCTCAATCCACCGAGAGTAATAGTCCACAATTACTAGATAATAACTTTGTTGAAATTCTGCAATATCAACTGCAATTTTGCTGAATGGAATGTTTGGAATATCATGATTCATCATTGGACTTCTGGTTTTTGATTTCCCAAATTTTTGACAAATTTTACATGTTGACACTACATTTATTACATCAGAAGTCATACCTGGCCAGTAAAACAACTGTTTCATTTTTTTGTTGATTTTAGAGGATCCTAAATGAGTTTCATGTAGAGTATCTAATACAAACTTTCGCAAACTTTTGGGTACAACTAATCTTTCACCATAATAAATTAAATCATCATTAACCTGCAGGTCTTGTCTGATATTAAAAAAATGTTTTATCTCACCCTCAAGTACTTTTGGATCCGGCCAACAGTTATGTAGATACTCACTTACCGAGGTCAAAATATTATCTGACTTAGTTTTGGATTGAAAAAGTTTTAGTCTAGGTTCGTCTTCAGTTATTTCGTGAACTTCCACAGTGTGAACGAAATCATCCATTAGAACATCTTTGGGTTCGTTAGTTTTTATTCCACATCTTGACATGAAGTCGGCAATGAACATATATCTTCCTGGTAAGTATTTTACTTTCAGCTGGTAATCAATTAGTTTTAGTAGGTTAAATTTAATACATGTTTCAAGTCCTAAAATAGGTACTGTGTTTTCATTTTTTACAATTAAAAAACTAACTACATCAATCTTTTGATCGGTTTCAATTTGAACATCGATTATACCACAAGGCTTAATGGAAAACCCCCCAAATGACTGCAATGTGGTGTTACAAGGCTTCAATTTACTAGGCAAGTTTAGATTTCTTAAATAGCGAAATGGCAATACATTGACATCTGCCCCACTGTCAAGTTTGAATTTTATTTCTTTGCCTTCTACCAGAAGAGTCTTATACCAAGCGTTTTTATTTTTTATGCTATCAACTACACAAAGGCTATTGATGTCTGATTCATGATTGTCTTCAACTGACATGCTGTTATCACAAACATTTTGCAAGTTATTACATTGTTTTGAACCAATGAATTTATTATTATTTCGGCAAACACTAGCAAAGTGGTTTGGCTTACCACATTTTTTACAGATTCTTCCTATTGCAGGACACATTCCATGATGGATACCACCACATCTATAACAATTATTAGTTTTGCCTACCTGTCGGTTGTAACCTCCTTGTGACGTGTTATACCCCTGCTGCTGCTGCTGATTAAAACGTCGTATTGCACTCATGCCCTGTCCATCTGTAAATTTAGAATTCAAGACCGTGTCAACTTCAAAATTGTTTTGATCTGTTTTACCTTTATTATTGACAAGTCGCACATTTTTTTCTGCAAGTTCAGATGCTTTACAGAAGTTGATTACTCTATCAAAACTTGTATCTTCTCTTAGTAGTTTTTCCTGCAACTCTTTATTATTCACTCCTAGAATTATAAGTGCTCTCAATATTTTTTCTTCCTGTTCTTCAAACTTGCAACATCTTATTAGATTTCTGAGGTCTGCATAAAACGAGTCAAAATTTTCATGAGGTAGTTGTTTCCTTGAAAATAAAAGATGAATGCTCATGGTCATATTTTGTTTTGGTACACAGTGTTTTTCCAATGTCTTCATCACGTTTTCAACAGTTTCAACCACAGACTCATCTTTTATTGAGTTGTACAATTTCAAACCATCTGTCCCCAGTAGATTTTTCAGTCTGGCTAATTGAATTTCCTTACTTTCTTTCGTTGTTTTTGTAGCAATAAAGTAAATGTCGATTTCTTCCTTAAACTGTTTAAATCTGTCTGAAATGTTTCCCTCCGATAGGTTCAGTGGATCTGGTTTATTGAACTCCATAATATTTAAGCTTTACTTTCTTTTCTTCTATTTAAACTTTACGACTGCGCCATGATTATAAATTAAAAGTCATCATAGTTTGGTATTAACTATCTTTTAAAAAACCAAAAGTAAATATTTACATAAACAACATAAACAAATGAATATTAAACATATGTTATTTGTCAGTTCGATTATTAGTAACGGAGAAAATTAAAAAAAATTTAAATTTAAAATTCCCATGTTATTCTTATGGAGAATATTGTCAAATGTTGTAGTTTGCTTGTTTATGAATATATTTTGATCAAACTTGGCAAATTTATTTATTTTGTACTAAGCTATCAATATTTTACTCAAAAACACACTTTATTAGTTTCCTTGTAGCAGCAAACCTAGGTACTCGTTAAACCTAATGTTATTAAAATATATTTAACTGAAAATCAATTCAGACAAATGGAAACTCGCTTAGTCGGCAGGTTTGCTGCGGCGGGGGTATTAAACTAACAGTTTCCTGCTTAACTGCGATTGATGATTTTCCTAACCCATTGGCACCGGAATATGTTTTTTATTTCTCTATTAATTAAATATGTGGATGATGCTGTCAAATTCTACCCAAGCCAGACACGGTTTATTTAAGGTGGGCTCATTAGTAAGCACACACATTAGTAAGCCTAACATGGATTGCACATGTACAGAATTCAAATCCATGTATGTAGAAAGAATGCTACACTTGTCAGCCTTAGCCAACTAAGCTACCATGCCACCATCGACCGAACATTTGCCACTATAAACACATAAGACTAACGCTTGCAGGTTAGATTCGACTAACTACTTTAGTGTCAGAGGGTTAGCAGTATAGCTAAATACGATGCGAGCCTACAAACATGAGTCGTCAATGAGTTATGTGAAATGTGTTTTATCTTCCTTCAATAGATTTTCTAAACATTCACTTTGCCAATCTCCTCATATAAATTTGAAGCAAACTACCACTAAGTTTTTGAAATGCTTTATTGTCTTTTTGAAACACTGGGTTGTCTAAAATTTTAATGGGAATTGAATTGATTGTGTTAAGTGTAAAAAAATGTTTAAACAATTAGATCAAAGGTGTGTGTAATAAATTCCTTGCATAAACCAATGTACTATATAAATGCGGTCTAAGGAACTTCGTATTACCTATGCAGCATCTTATCAAATATAAAACTGGGTAGCTGAGTTGCTCTAATAATCAGCAAATCATTAAATTCAGTAGGTAATAAATAGGCTAGTAATCGGCCTAGTAATCAGAAGGTCACCAGTTGGACCCTGAAAAAGTTAGAATCTATGGTATGAAACTGGACCCAGAAAATAAATGGCCCTGGACAAAGAACTAGCTGATCTTAAAGCCATCATCTCATCCTTCACTCATTGTCGCCATAAAATACCCACTCTGGCATGTCAGCGTTTTATAAATCTATTCCAATCTATTTCTTACAGGTAGAAAGTGGCTTTGAAGATGACTTTGATTCGCTGCTAATGTCAAATTCATCGACACCTACAGCTGCAGACCCTTGGTCAGTAGATACAGTCTCAAAGCGGTCACTAAATTCTGTACCTTTTGAGTTGAGCAATGAAGACCCTCGAAGTAAACACAAGGCTGTCAATGTAACAGTGAGTGTTTCAACTAAACCGACCATTATCCGGGCTAAGAATTTGAAACCGGCAAGGCCACCGCCACCTAAGCTGCTGAGACCTTGTTCAACACCTCCATCGTTTGTGAGTGCTCCGCTGGACCCACCTTCAGACTGGTCACCCCCACCACCTAACATGCCACCTCCTCCACCCCCGCCTGAAGCATTGTCTGGACCTAACCTTCCACCTAGACCCACCAGCTTGGGGCAGGTTAGTTGTAGCAATAACTACTAAAAAAATAATTTTATTTGATTGTAGTAGCCATACTAATCTATACTTATTTAATACGCAAGCATGTTTTTTTGTGACAATTACTCCTCCGAAACTACTGAACCGATTTACATGTTCTTGGTGTCATTGGAAAGAGCGTAACGTGAAGTTATGCAGGAAACTTTCTTTTTAGGGAAATAGTTAGAGGATGAGGCCCTGGGGCCCTTTAAAGTTTCGTATTTATCCATAAGATTAACATGGGAAACAAATACTGTTATGAAAGTCCAGCTGTTGTCAGAAATTAAAAGTGAGAAGGACATATGTTAATTGTAAACAGTCAATAAGTTTGCTAATTTAACAGTTTGCTACAAATATTTACTGACTTGGTTGAAATGAAATAGTTACTATTTGAATTTGGGTTGGCGTAATTATTACAATGGGAAAAAACGAGAGAGCCTGGATAAATTGATATACTAAAAAGAAAACTGAATTAACACTGTGATACATTTCTTAGTAATCATTGAAAGAGACGATTTGCAAACTATGGAAACATAGGAAAGTCATAGAACACCACCAAGGGGAAGAAATAGAAATAATGTGTGTAATAAACACTAAAAAACAAAATCAGCTTTTGAAAAATGATCAGATATTTACAAGAAATGTTGATTATATCGATCTGTTATGTACATCTTGAGTATTCCATAATCTTTGAGTCGAATCTTTTATAGTCATAAAAAAATATGACTGTTATTCGTTTTAAAATAACGCCTGTAATACTTAGCAATTGCTCAATTTCGAGCAACAGGGACACTAGTACAGTTTAAATCTGAAGTCAATGTTGAACTTCACTCAAGGATTCACACTGGCTTTAACATTATTTCCATTTGTGCACGGATAAAAAGTGCTGTTGAAATATCACATACCATATGAAAATATTTCGGAATTTGAAATTCTGTACAAGTGTGATCATTTCATTTCAGGAAGGTGAACAGAAGAAGAAGCCATACTGCATAGCTTTGTACAGTTATGAAACTGGACATCCAGATGATTTGTCTTTTAAGGTAATTTCAGTTGGTAGTTGGCTAGTTTATGCTAATAGTTTTCTATGTACAGTAAAACATTTAACCATAACCAAAAATCAAATTAACCAGGCGGCAAGAACCATTGCCAGTCTATAGTAATAGTTGGCTGAGATATTTGGAGTGTTGCACGACGTCCAAGAGTCACAACGTCCAAAATATAACTTGTGAGCTGTTTCACGACATACAAATCTCACCATGTCCAAAAGCACAGTAACTGCAAGAAACATATTCTTTCTACAAGCTTTGGACTTCATGGGATTGGTAGTCGTGCAACAGCACATTTTATACTCTAAAAAAGTAGCTGTTGCACCACGTCCAAAGCGGCTAAGCCGCACAATGTCCAATAGCTCAGCGCTGTTGCACGTCCAGAGCTTCTGCATACGGAGAGTATAAAGTGCACTCTTGCACGACGACCAATCCCATGGCGTTGTAGAAAGACTATGTTTATTGCAGTTACTGTACTTTTGGACATGGTTAGATTTGGATGTCGTGCAACAGTCAACTATTTTATGTTGGACGTCATGAAACAGCTAAAAAATATATTTTGGACTTTGTGACACTGACATATCATTGGATGTCGTGGCACTTAGATGTTTGCAATGCAGCCGAGATATAAGTTTTTTCATTAATTGCTTAACTGTTGAGAAGTTGCATTATGTTCGAAATCTGGTTTCAGGCGACTAATATGATTTATTTTATCATTTCAGGAGAATGATATAATTTATTTGATAGAGAAAATAAATGATGATTGGCTCAAAGGGACGCTGAACAACAGTGAAGGCATGTTTCCTGCCAACTTTGTCAATGTTGTGGTGCCGTTGGAGGAGATGTCCACAAGAATCACAAATAATTACAAATATGTCATTGCGCTCTATACTTTTACGCCCGAAACGTGGGACGATTTAGCTTTTGAGGTAATTGTTCATGTCTAGATATCAGACATCAATAGTTGACAGTTATAATTTCAGCTAGACTGTTAGTAGGCTGATAGTAGCTAGCTAGATTGTATCTTGTAGTCATTTCAATCTTCAAGATTGTAAATAAAGCTCTCTCTCTCTCTCTAGCAGGCTATATCTTAATGCATGTTTTTTTCCTTCTATGCATCTTGCTCGCCTTATTCCAACTTGTATACATTATTATCTTTTTAAATAAAGGTTGATCCATCGATTTTGCTTGTGGCAAAAAACCAAGACAACCCTTTAATTTTTATAAATAAATTATAGGGATGGATGAAATTGGATTTTTAGTTCGAGATGAGACGAGATTTTTTATTTCTCATAAAATGTTGAGACGAGATCGAGACGGGATTTCCCTTCTCATACATAACAGGAAATGCACGTTCAACATTTTTACCTGATTTTGTAACATTGTTAGATGACTGTTTAAACACAAAAATAATAATAATATGCGAGAATATTTAAATCTTATATTAAAAAACATCAGGAAAAAAAATTATAACTACGCCTAACTTATTAAAAAATGGTTACGATTAGGAAACATTGTGATATCAGTTAGAATAGAGTTAAACTTATCCTAAAATAAAAATAAAATAAAACAAAAGCAATATTAATTTGTATAAAATAGTTACTTGTATTGGTTATGTATTAGTAGTAAAATATGCCCCACACTACTTACACCGAACAAAACTTTTCAAATGATAAAAAAAAGGTAATATGTACATGTAAAGAATTAATTAAATAAGAACGCCTCCGCAAAAGAAATTCAACTACAACGCGCTCCTGTATTGCGGGTATTGCATTGACTTTCTGCAGGCGTTTTTAATTTTTTTTTTACTCTCGTCACGACAAAATCTTGATAAAAAATCTCATCTCGTAGAACGAGATTTAAAATTTCCCCAAATTTCGAGACTTGCCCATCCCTAAAAATTACCAGGAAAACTGATTCAGGTCAGGTGGTTATTGCATTTGTTCAATTATTCAACATAAATAGAAAACTGTATACGTTTAAAGTCAGGCCTGCTGATTACAAGCCCAACTTGATAATTCATGTACACAGACAGGTGGAACTGAAGATAAAAAATCTGTAATTTTGTATCTTTCTGTATCTTCTAAGATCTTAAGAAGTTTAGAACCATCATTACACACATTTCTTTGAGCCAAGTCTCTAAAACCACTGAAGGTTGGATTTGAACTGAGCCCTAGAAATCTGTCATATGATGTATCCCTTTATCTCGCTGCCTGATGTCCAGGATACAAAGTATCAGGCATCTATCTTCTTATCTTGTCGAGTAAACTGGGCAAGCTTTCAAACTTGTTCATATGATAGTCTATATGATTTCATTAACTGAATCTTGTCTATTCCAAAATTATTTGTCAAAACATATTTTTGTGGTAAATTAATTGTTCTTTATACTTTTCAGGAGGGAGACACAGTAAAAGTGTTAAAAAGAATCAATGATCACTGGCTGTATGGTGAATGTAAAGGCAAACAGGGTCAGTTTCCAGAGAATTATGTCACAGATGTCTCGTCTTTTTTCCCTTTACAGGAAAATCACTCGTAGCAAGTATTTTTTAATGTAAACCGGGACCTTGTGCCTTATTTGATCACTGCTATTGTGTAGATATATTTAATTTCAGCATATGTGATAATTTCCTTTTAGCACATTGTGATAACTATTACTTGACATTATTTAGGGATTAAACACAATATTATCATTTTAATCATTAAAAACATATTATTGATATACTTAAGCCTAAAATATTAATTGTTTAGGCGGCCTATCGGATTCAAACTGAATTAAATATTTCGCTCATAGTGGTAAAACACATTTTCACACCATATTTGTCATCGGGTACAAAATGTAGTTGGTCTATTTGATGTTACCAATAATTGTGTGTCTTTTCAAAAGACTTAATTTTAAATGTATTCAGTTATAAAATGACACTATTTAGTTTTATAAATGCCAAAAAAGCTTTCAACACTGTTTTAGTATTTTTTAGATATGTTTGTATTTATTTGATAAGGTTTTATAGTTAGTTAGTTATAGGGAAGGTTTTCAAATGACACTTCTTAAGGCTTGTCAACAATATATACCTGTATTTATCAGTACAGTAACACATTCACACCAGCTGAAGATAAACGAGTGCTTTAGTCCGTTTGTCCTCAAACTTCAAAATCAAAGCATTTTTTTAAAACTCTCACAGCTATGTACGTTTTTTCAAACCCATTCATTGCTAAACACATGCAGGTAATAGGCCTGGTGCCTATTTGAGACATAGAGTTGTTTAAATTGTTTAACTGTCCAAAGTATTATGTGAATGAACAATAAATATTTCCACCTTGTCAAGCGAGAATAGGAGGTAGAACTTGACTTTTAGTTTATGTAAATTTAGATACCTTGTGATGTATGCAATTGCCTTAACGTAACAGATAGACTTGGGAATTTTATTCATATAGGTTAGTAATCAAGGAACTAGGATATTAGAAACTTTGTTGTCTTGAAAAGTAAAATCATTTACTGTCAAATGTTATGAACCTCTTGATCACAACTTTTCATTTTCTATTTTTGTATCAACTTTAGTGTATGTTCAGTGAAGTTTACTCATTAATATACTTTTATAGAAATGTTAGCTACATTAAAATTTTGTTTAAAGAATATTGATTCATTTAATTTGATTTCTGTGTTGATATCCAGTCTTGGTTTATCTGTTCTTTGTCATTGTAAATGACACTACATAAAAAAGGCCTTTTTCCAATACACGTGGAACTCAAGTAGCTTTCTCATCTCCGAGTTGAGGACATCAGCTGTTCATTTGTTATGCTTGTAAACTTTGTTGATTTGCTGAAGAAATTCTCATTATTTAACTTATTATCATATTGTTATTAAAGTTGATTTTGAATTATCTTATACTGTGTTTAATTGCCTATTTTACCTAAACGAATACACCTTTATCCAGGGCTCGATTTGTAAAAATTGAGGAGCTGGAACTGTAACTTATTTAATATGATTAGTCATTGTTGACCTTTTTTCACTTGGTTATGATGGATGTAATTTTTTCGGCCGCCATCTTGGATCCGCTATTTTGGAATGTGATAAATTATTTTTAATATAAAGGGGGTGTTATGACCCATCATTTCTAATTACTTTTTTAAGCTGATCACAATTCCAACATCAGTTTTTCATTTTCATATTTTGATTTTGAAATATAGAAATTTTTTACGAAAAAATTGCATTATTTCGTAAAGAAAACTTGATAACAAAAAATGGATTGCGGCATTGAGTTGCGCTTAAAAAAGTAATTCGAAATGATAGGTCACAAACCCCCTTTCATATTAAAAATAATTTATCACATTTCAAAATGGCGGATCCAAGATATCGGCCGAAAAAATTACATCTATCATAACCAAGTGAAAATAGGTAAACAATGACTGGTGGTGTATACTTATCTTTATCTAGCACTATTTTGAGATTATAGTCTTAGTTTGTAAATGCACAATGTTAAAATGGGCTAAAAATAAAGTTATAAAAAGCCCTCATAACTTTGGAATGGATTAAGATTTTTTGTAACGGTTTCTGGCATTGTAATCAGGGTAAAAATCTAGTTCAAAATAATGGGTCACAACCCCACCTTTACATTTGACAAAAATATTTTGCATCCAGTATGGTGAATCCAAGATGGCGGCCGGAAATGACGACCTTGTCAAAATGAAGTACTTCCTACCCAACAATGTTTGGAAGTGGTCTGGGATTGATATTTGAAAAAATGTAGAAAAAAGTTGGGGGGGGGGACAATTAAAACTCACCCTTTATATAGATATCAGCTGCTATCGAAAATAGTTACTTTCGGTAAGGAGTGATGATAAATAATTTCCCTGAAAATGTGTCGATGTATAGAAAGTAATTAATATGAGTAAGGGATCAAGGTTCCAAGCAGTTATTAATATTAATCTCATTGCTTAATTAAAAATACACTATTAATCAAAGATCAAAATGTACCAAAACCCAGTTTGGTAAAAATTCCAAACTTTTTTGTTTGAAAGATCACCAAATCTATTCAGAAACAAGAAAATAATTGTCCTTAATAAAAATAAGGCAGCATTAAGATTAGACAAGTTAACTTCAGTATTCTGTCATTTATTTACAATAAATCTATTTTTAACATTATAAAAACTAAACATTATTTTATTAAAGTAATTACAATCCTTATAAATTCTAACTTCTAAACAAGATTTAAACAGATGTAATAAAAAAAAGTCTGTCACACACCAATCAGGTTAAGTTTGTGTGAACATCGTTGTTTATAAGAATAATGAATGAATGATTCATGTTGAATAATGATTTATAGATGAAATTTGCTACGAATCATACGTACCTGGAAGAAAAATATTACATAATTACAGATAGCTCCTTGCCAAATAATAAGACTCCACTAATATTTACAATTAAAGCTAATACAAATAATATTTGTATATGTCTTTCTTCAATCTTTCAATAAAATAGGCCGTATTTCAAGATATGTCTTCAAACCTCTATTGGTACATGAATTATTATTTTCATTTAGTTGCAAAGCACAGAAAATTATAGAAAAAAAGGGTTTACATTACATGATAAAACTATCCTTTTACAAATCTCATTTTGAAATGATTTTTTTTTCTTGCATTCATTAAATTTAACATATAAACAAGTATAAGTTTTATGAAATTGAATTTATCTGCAATATTATGTGACATACATTCGGCTCAATGATTTTGTGGAGACACATGGTTTGGCTGGCTATAACAAATTTTAGAATCACAATGGATTGCCATTTATATGTATAGACTTGGCTCATGAGCTTCAGCATTATGTTTTATCCATTACCTAACATTTTTAGGTAGGTAAAAAAAATGCATGTCACACAAAAAATTATTAGGGCTCAATGATAATTTAAATGTCTTAAAAATGTTGTGGTCTACATGAAAAGAATATGCTCTAAAGATGATGGCTTAAAAAGTGTTACTAAATTACCAACCACGGTATTTATTATCGCTCATCTTGTGGTATTTTGTGACTTAGAAAATTTAAACAAATTTCAGGCACCTTGCAATATACTTAACTGCCTTTCGCTACATACTACTTGTTAGAATGTAAATACAAAATTGGCTGATGACGTGACGTAAGTACTATTTGCTGAAATGTCCACCAGTTTACCAGGCACGGATATTTGTATGTCAACTGCACTGACACCCACTAATGCTCCACTAATCAGGCCTGTAGATGGGAATTTTTGGAATAAATTCAATTAACAGCACCTAAAAAAATTCACTTATTTAACATGTGTTTAAACATAATGGTACATATGAAACATCCAGTTTGATGTGCGAGGCGTGGGGGATGCCCTCAACTCCCCGTAGCCTACAGGTAGCCTTAAACACACTATTCAATAGTGTTTCATTATTACTGCCCATTATAAATTCAAAATGTCAAAAAGCTATGAGCGTTCAGTTTATAAGTGTACAGTTATGTCAGTGGTTAATATTAAACGAAATGTTATTACTCAAGTCACGGTACTGCAAATAATGTAAATGCTATATGATCTACGACGACATGGGTGTAATTAGACACACATTACACAGTTGATATTATTTCAGCGATTATATGTTTTTGTTTTGTATTAAAACTATTTTTGTAAATGATAAAAAGTGTCTGATCGAGATATTATTTTAACTACTGTTAAACCCAATTAACCACAACTGAGCAAGGCTCGGTCCCCCAGTACTGTTATACAAAGTACACAACACACACATGCATGAGGTATGGTAAGGAAATATTTGAAGCTATTACATATATATGTGTACATGTGTGTGTGTATTTGATATGTTGAAACCAGAACTTGAATATTAGAACTACTGAGACATAGGGAAAAGTCAAATTTTGTCTGACAGTATCGTCAATTCTAATTCTCACTGTCTTTATTATGAACGAACATAATAAATACCTTAACTAGCTGATTACAGACTCCAATACAGTCTTACATTTGTATACAGAGTTGAAAAGTAACACAAATACTAATATTCTGTGTTTTATTTACTACTCACTTGTTCTTTTTCATTCAGTTATTAATAAAGATCTCTATCATTATTTGTGAGATTTCAACAGAAATCAGCTGTACCGGTATTGTGCGATACAGTAATGTAAGGATGCAGGCCAGTGTTACCAGCACTGAGTGTGAGATATTTTACAGAGTAATATGGTAATATATTTTTGCCCTGCCCCCAAAAAATTTTTTTGAAGTATTACGATAACTTTGACATATTATGTAAGATTTTTCATCATTAAATTATTTTAGGAGTTAAGATATAAATTTATGTTATTGATAAAAAATTAATTATGCATAACTTACAAAACTACATAAATCAAACATCCGAATCCACTGCTCTCGACTCTGGTTACCGGAAGTAGTTGAAGTGAGGTAAGTTAAGAGTTGAACATTTTTTAATAGAAGTTATTTATTTTTACCTTCAAACATGCATAAAAAGTCAATCAATTAAAATAATTATTAGCAGTCTAACTACTGTTCTTGTCATTTGCTCGTGTATGGATAGCACTTAATGTGAAGAGTTGCATTGTAAAAAAGTTAGCTTAGTTACACTTAGTTAACACTTACGTATTCCATCATCGATGATGAATCACATCTCTGTTTTGTTAGTCTCCAATGTAAGCCCAGTTTGTGGTACAAATGACTGTTCTCCCATTCAAGCAGTTTGTCAATGGAATGTTGAGTCTACAAATTTGAACAAACAAAATTTAGAAAATAAAGTCAATACGCTAAGCTTAACTCATATGCAAGAAAATACACAGATTATAAAATTTTAAGCGAATTACTTATCAAATAGTGCCATGATAATTTTATTGGATTAGCATATTTTAGGTGTATTAATTAAAGCAAGTAAATTAAATATGACTGCTGGAGAGTTAATTTTTAGTTTATTTTTACTTGTTAAAAATAAATGTCAGCAAAATATTCTCTAAAATGTTACTTGTTTACATATTGAGAAACACAATTACATTCAAACTCACAGCAAAGATTAAAATATTATTTAACATTCTTTTGACAATGGTGTGAATACCTACCTTAGCAAATATATTTCTGTAAGTTTGACTTAATATGTTATATCAGTATTTTACTACTATATCAACCACACACCAGATTTTTATACCTATACAGTCCACTCTTGGTAATTCAAATACTTGATAATTCAAAACTTTCGATAATTCAAAATGAAGGCTCAGTCCCTAGAGAATCTCTCAATATTTCAAATTTTTACCATGCATTTTGATACACTCGGTATTTCAAAGTCCAAATAGAGGGCAGGTCAATTTGTAACACGCAGTAATTCGAAGTTTCGTCGGAAAACACTCTATAATTCGAAGTAACTCAGTAATTCGAAGTTTTGTCGGTTAACTCTCTATAATTCAAAGTCATGCTGTAATTCGAAGTTTCGTAGAAAAAACACTCTATAAATCAAAGTCACGCAGTAATTCGAAGTTTAGTCGGCAAAACACTCTATAATTCGAAGTGATCTCTTCCTGTTATAACAGGAAACTATACAGTACAGTACATCCTGTTCCCATGGTAGGCTAGTGTTGGACGTTTTGATGTTTGTTTAGTTAGAACAGTTAGAGAGTTAGTTCGCTGACTTGTTTTTCTAAGTTGGCAACCCGATCTATAGATTGCGCGACATCTCCTTGAACACAAACGTAGTTGTCGACAGCTGATAGTTCAGCTATTGTCAAAATATATAGTAGCGTTAAATAACAGATGTCTTTGCAACTACAGTAACTGAAAAATAAGCCGTTGATTGTTTAAAAATGTGTACTAAAATACGGTATGATGTTTTATTGTAACGTGCTGTACCTTTGTATGTATTAAACAAATGAACTCTCTATAATTCGAATGGTTTATTTTTCTCCCGATAAATCGAACTCTTGATAATTCAAAACTCTTGATAATTCAAATTTATATGCTTGGCCCACCAATTTCGAATTATCAAGAGTCTACTGTACCAACCACTCCAACAGGTCACCAGCCCATTCAAAAATAAATTTCCTTTGATGAACACTTTAAAACTTAAGCCCAAGAATAGCTCAAGGTGTTAGTTCTTTGAATCTCACCTGCAAGCGCTAGTGTGCTTATGTAGTGCACTTGTTGTGTTCGGCCAACTGTGGCACAGTAACTCAGTTAGCTAGGCTTTATACTGAAGAGTGTAGTGTTAAGGTAGGTTTGAATCCTGTACATGTGCAATCCTGACTAAGATCAATCATGCGTGGCTTAGCTGGTGGGAGAGGCTCAACTTAAGGGTGCGCTCTACCCCTGCCATTTTGTGTAAACGCATGGATCTGGGGCAACAGTGTTTCCCGTGAATCAAAGTTAGGGTGGCATTTTGAAGAGGATTAAATTATCTAGATTGTTTTGGTTTCAATATGTTTAATATTGTACCATAAAGCCTGAAAATTGTCTTTGAATGTAGACAAAACGGCAATTTTAAACTGCTTTACCTCATTATAGAATTATTTTAAAATTCTAAAACCAGGGTTGCATAGATTGTTCTTTGTTCTATAAAACCCCACTCATTGCTTTTTACTAGCATTTATGGGTAGTTTACAAAGGCAGTTGCCGTGAACGTCTGCAAGCGCTTCTCGCGGCGCTGTTCAATGGCGCAACGTAGCTACTGAAACCTGAGCTGAGGTAAAGCGCACCCTTAAATAAACGTTGTCCAGCTTGGGTGGAAGTGGACGGCATTATTGAGATTAATAGGGATTGCAAGCAACACCAGTTATGCTTCTTTTAACGATTGTATAAAGAAGGACAAAGATTAGACACTGTATTAAAATAAATACAGTAACACCCTGTTTAACTGGACTCCGTTAAACATAAACCTGGGTTAACAAACACCATAAGGTATTAAATTTTGTAACACACACGCAGGTAGAAGAAGTCCTTATTGAACCAAATAGAAATACTTTTACAAATTAATGACCCAACGCCTTCAGATTGTTCTGCTAATAAAAAGATGGAGAGACAAAACTGCCCGAGACTGTTGTAAAGAAAAAGTTCTGGAAAAAACTGTGAAATATTAAATTAAAGGATTAAATTTGTGTGTAGACTACATTTTAGATTTTAATATGACAATATGTACCGGTAATTATAAAAATATCGTTAAAAAAGAGACTTTTGTGGATCTTTCTATACCAAAATAACATTTCTAATTGGCCGACCATTAATTAACCAAAATAATGGGTTATCCGACGGCCCCGTCCTCTTTATTTTGGTTAAACAAGGTGTAACCTCTAGGCTGTAATAGCCTATAGTAAACTGTAGCCTACGCTATATTATAAACCTCAAAAACAATATTGACAGCAAAATATCTAAATAGGCTTCGGGCTTAAATTACCTGACCTAACCTAAACTGTTGTGGTTAGTAACCTATAACAAACAAGTACTGTTATATCTATATCTATGAAAATTAGAAAGATGTTTGGTGAAAGGCAAGCTTTCCTTTGTAGCACAGCTCTTGAAAGGTGAACTCTAAAATAGTTTTTTTATTTTTTTTTATTCATATTTTGTGCATGTGAATTTATTTTATTTTTGTATGTTTTCATGTTAGATTATTGTTTCATATAAAGTAATGCGTTAAGAATTTAGAACAGTTAGCCTAATGAATAATTGATATTAGTTAATGTTAATTACTCAATATAACTTTAGCAGTACATACTGTATAACGTTTTATATTCTCTAGATTGAATATTATTTTTCTAAATCATAATAATTTTGTATAGGTAGTTTGACATTGACATCGAATTGTGCCAGTGTACTTAGACTGATAAACATTATTGGATTTGTTTGGAAAAATCTATGTTTAAATGTATTTAATTTGTTTTAGCCTTAAAACTTACCCTTTTACTGAGACATATAACTGGCCATAGTGAGCACCCCAGAGTGCAACAGCAACAAACGCAGCCACAAAACAGCCACTTCACATTCACTGGCAATGTCTTTTTCAGCACACTGTTGACACGACACACTGTAGCCTTAAATTCTTCTGGAGCAACTCTCGAGACAAGGGCTTGAGGAAATTCTGATTCAAAACGGTTACTCAGTCCAAACCTGCAGTATTGATTCACATATTAAATTATTGAAATTATAAGTTAATATAAGTTATCACAGGTTCTCCACAGAACTGTACCCGCCTCAAAAAACAAAATCAATCCAATTTGATGACAAAATAGCCACGCTGCAACAAACCTGCAGACTAAGCAAATTTTAATTTGCCTGATTTGATTTTCAATTAAATCTATTTCAATAACATTAGGTTAAACGAGTACCTATGTTTGCTGCTGCTATACAAGGAGGGTAATAAAGTGTGTTTTTTGGTAAAAGATTAATAGGGTAGTAAAAAAATAGATGTTCCCAAGTTTGATCAAAATATATCCATGAACAAGCAAACTAAATAAGTTTACTCAGATTAAGTTACAGTTTTTGTTAATTACAGATGTGTTATTTTCCATAAGAACAACATGGGAATTAAAAATTAAAACTTTTTTGAGATTTCTCCATAGCCAAAAACCGTATACAAAAACAATTTAATAACTTATACTAAATTATTTGTTTTTTAAGCTCTTTAAACTGGTCTAGACAGAAATTGAGAAATATTATGTTTTGAGGGTCAAAAAACCATTTTTACCCCATAAACCCCGTTCCAATTGTCCGATTGTGCTGGTTCGCGAACTCGCTCAAAAAACTTAAATGTAGGTTTACACGTCCATACCAAATTTCATCAATATCGGGTCATTTTTGCTTGAGTTATCGTGCTAAAGGACACATAAATATATGAATTTGCACGGATGATGTTTAAGTAGGTAGGCCTACATTGCTCTTTCCATTTATGATAACCCAACCTATCATAACTGCCGCAGCTCGCTGTATAAAGATGGCCTTCAGTTAATACCAAAGTAGGCCTACCGTTGTTTCTAGGCTAATGATAAATAAATATTATTTAGTTTCTTCAATTTTTAGTCGTTAGCATGAAATAAGAATAAAAAAAACAAACAACTTTATCGATTTTACTTTAGGCTAATGGTTTAAGTTATTCATGTTTTTTTTACATCATAAGTTATGGTACCGGTAAAATTAAATTTGATGCAATAGGCTAACTTAGGCTAATAATATTGAGCCAAATCAATATAGTAGCCTACTCATGGTAAGACCTGGACCCGGGACCGATTTACTTTTTCGTTTTGAGGCCCCTTGAAACCGAAAACACTATCCGTTCAAATTCATATATATATATATATATACCTATATATTTATATACGGTAGGCCTATGTGTCCGTTAGCGCGATAACTAGAGCAAAAATCATCCAATTTTGATTAAATTTGGTACAAACGTGTAAAACTACGTTTATTTGAACGAGTTCGCGAACGCATGATGGACTATGGGAACAGGGGTTTATGGGGGGTTTTATGGGGCAAAAATTGGTTTTTCCCATTTTTGACCCTAAAAACTTAAAAATTTAGCATTTTCTTTCCAAACCATTTTGTAGAGCTTAAAAAAAAATAATTTAGTATATTGAAGCGTTATTAAGTGCCTAATGGTTACGGAGAAAATTCCAAAAAACTGTTGTATTTTGCTTGTTTATGATCATATTTTGATCAAATTTGGAAAATGCATTCATTTCATACCAAACTATTAACATTTTACAAAAAAACACCTTTATACCCTCCCTATTGCAGCAAACCTAAGTACCGTACTCGTTAAACTTAATAGGGAATAAATGTGATATTTTTAAGGAGACATTTTAGTGTATAGCCTAAATCCAATCAGGCAAATGGAAATTCGCTTAGTCTGCAGGTTTGCTGCGGCAGGGGTATTTTTTCATTAAGTTTATCAGCAAGTTTGGGTGGTTAGGTTAGGTTATCCTTTTCAGACCCGGGAATCTTAGTCATCTCGACCGTTGGTTTTTAACCTAGATTTCAAATACTAAAATTATTGATTAGGTTTGTTTTAAAGACGAAACCTTCATAATACCAGGCCCATATTAACCATTTCAGTTTCAGCAATAATTAGCATTAGGATACGTTTAAAAACATGAATAAAACAGTCATTAACCTTAACAGTTGCCTCTTTCTCCTATCTTACCGTGACATTGCAACAAAACAATCAGTGTTACCATAAGACATAAAGGCAGACTGCAAAACAAAAAATTCCCAGCTGATCTCCATAACCTACACAATCGATGCGTACAGGTCTGAGCAACAGAAAGATCCAGAAACTTCAAAAAAACAAATAAACATCTAACCTACACAATCGTGTTGGCTAGGTTGTCAGGACTTAAAAATTTACTTACACAAATGAGTGTGCTGGGTCTGAAAGGGTTAAGACGGATTCATTTTATAATAACCAAGCAAAAACACACAGATCCACGTGAAGAGTACCGTAGCTCTGTAGGAAGGGAAAGCACTACCAAGGCCTAGTTTAATAAATACCTAGCCTAGCCTATAGCTGCAAGGAAATACCAAAAGATTTTCCATGGAAATGCTTTTGATGTTGGCAACCTGACAACTTAACTGATAGCGGGTTAAAACTAACCATGAAACAAAAACTGTGATTTTAATAAGACTATTAAGGCCTAGTGAAAACAACTTACACAGTCATGTTGCCAGCTCCTCTTACAACAACTGGATCAGGTACAGGTGCAACTAAACTTTCTTCCAAGCTTTCCTCATTTTCTTCACGTTCCTCATATATTGCGTCAAAATCAGCCATGTTAACGATTAAAATAATAATTTAAAATAATCCTTCAAATTTATGAATATCCAATTTCGCTTTTATGTGACATTAGAAGGTCTATGTCTATCTTTTCTTTGTTTTGCCATCTATATTTTTATTGTATTAGCAGCTGGCTGCTAGGGCTGACTGCTGCTTCAGGGAATGTTTTTCTTGTTCTATTTTTTTCCTCTTCTCATAAAGGTCGGTCGAACGAACCATTTACTGTAAATACCGTTAGAGCATTGAGCAATTAGTTATAAGATTATAGTAAATGTATACGACACCGACTCGGGATCCCTTCAAGTAGGTAACCTTTCAAACTGGTGAAGGGACCTACCTGCCCGATATTGAAATCGGTCAGGTTGGTTACTTTTCAATTTGGTGAGGTAATGAACGCCCTCTTGCTCTTGTGGTGGGGGCATCGACTGCTCTCATTGGCTGCAAGGTTTCTGGGGGAGGGAGTAGTTGTTATGGGGTGAACAGTGCTGCCAACCCAAAAGTCTGGAGCAATAAACATTCCCATACAAGGGTAATGTGGGTAATTCCAATATTTACGGCTACAAAGTAGGCAGTATAAATGCCGAAGGAAATATATGTATAAAATATCTAGTTAGAACTTTTCATAGGTGAAATACTGTAAATAACAAAATACGATATTAAGTCCATCATCTTGCGAACCTGTTTCTCTCCATGCCCCTGGGTCACTGCTAGGCTACTTTCTCTTGTAACTAAATCTACAGTATTAACGGGTCAGATTTTAACTAGCTGTTGCCGTTGGCATCACCCGACATACTTTTTCGTCTTTTATTCTTTACTATAAGCCTGCTGAAGTTGTCACTGACTTCGCTACGGAACGGAACTACCCTCTCTGGAACAACCTAATGATGTTTTTACCAAAAATACTAAAGTATTCATATCTTCTTTCATTCATAATCATACTACAAGCCAAATTTTCCAATGGTACAGTTAGTTTTCTCTAACTTTATTGAAAAGTATTTCAGATAGTCTAAAGTAGGATTAAAAGTAACACAAAAACATTGTTTTATTTAGTGATATACTGTATATATGATGTTCCCCGTTACTGTCTCGGCATGCTCTTGATTTGATATTATTCTTGAATTTTGTTGTCCCTTCTGTACATTTAATAATTACTAGAGGGCCCATGCTACTCTACAACGTTGAAATGAAAATCATATTCGAGCAATAATCAAATTTATAAATTTTTATTATTGAGTATCTTGGTCTTAACTGATTCAAACGATAAATAGCTCAAATTAAAACCTTTAATTAACTTACTATTTTGCGTCAAAATCATGAAAAAAAAACATAAACAATAGTGGACCTATTGATTTTTAATCATAGAAAACCCTTATAAAAAAATAATTTATATGTTGGTTGTTCACATTGCAATTATTGCTTGTAGTCCGTCCGATTTGGATAACTAATTAATAGCTTAAATGAAAGCCGGCATTTCACTGAAGGTTCTTAGACCAAAGTATGTAGGATTATAACTGGTGAAATGCATCTTAAATTGAAGTAAGAATTCGAAAAAGTTTAATATATGTTTTTTGGACGAGTAATACAGTAGATCAATGTATATGCCGATGCGTAGAGTGAAATCTGTGCACACCTTCAATTTGAGACCTCAATCATGAAAATCGGTTAAATTTATTTTTGAATATAAGAAGATTGACTCTATTAACGTTTAACGAAAACTATCACCGTTTTACAACAAATTGTGTAGCAGTTCCGGTTAATGACAACCTATACTGAAAGCTTTTTAGAATAGAAGATTTCAAATGTTTACGGGAGCAAGCTCCTAAAATGTAATAATGTCGGTAGCTATATACTTGCGATAGTACACTTGATAGGTTTTTAACAGCTTTTATTGATTTATGCATTATTATTATATAATAAATAATGCTATTTAATAAAATAAAAGATTTGGTAATCATATGGTTAAACGTACGGACACTGACTAGTTTTTAGGTGGCGGAACAAGCAAATTTTCACAGTTTATTTGAATGTAAACCTATTTTACTCGAAATATGTTTGAGATAGAAAAACACTCTTGAAATACAAAAGTTGTGGATAATTTAGTTCTACACTACCGATCTTCCATAAGATTTAAGATCCAAGCATTGTAGCTTATAAGTTACAGACCAAAATATAATACCTTGCATACTCGAATTTATTCTTAAAATAGGTTTAATCCCCTAAACCACCCTTGAATTTAGAACTTTGCAAAACCCCCAACTTTGTACATCTACACCATATACATGGATTGTCGTCCCAATGCAAAATTGTATTATTCTAGGTCTTATATATGTTTTGAGATACATTATAGTGATCATTTGTCATCAGTGATATGCCAATCAATGTAAAAAGGTAGGTCAATGGAAAGCATTTATCTACGTGGTGATCGGATGCATAGCAGCTTCAAAACGGATACGTCACAAAATTCGTGTTTGCCTATTATATATATTGGGTATCTATATTTAATATATAGATACCCAATATGCCTATAAACATTCAAACTTATGGGTCAATTTGCTGCACACAAAATCCAACAAAGTCTTTTAATAATATAGATACTTATAAGGTTAAGGAAACTCCAGAACCACTTGGGTGGAACCCAAAAGTCAGATCAGGATAAAAACTACTTAGTTTTCCTATTTAATGCCTGAAGAATCAGTACACCAAATTTCAACGTTCTAGCTAGTCTGGAAGTTGGATTAATAATGAATCATTGAGTGAGGGCTTTTACTTTTATATGTTAAGATTATTAGCTAAATATAACACATATGAAAGGTACAAAATAAAATCCATAAGTTAAATACAGTAGTAGAATATATAAAAATGGAGCTCCAGACAAAGCTGTCTTTAAAATTTGAAATAGGTGTTGCTGCAGACTTTTAATTTTATTCAGCGAGATTACGCCCCTGAATTTAGTGTTACTCCCTCAATATGACAACACTGTTGGATAAATCTAGCTCAGTGGGATAAATGCAGGGATGCAGCAGGCACTTGTAGAGCGAAATTTCCCACAATTTCCATGTAACCGTTTGACTGGTTTTCAGGTTATGTGACAAAATCCAAAACACAATTGAACATAGGATGCACAATAAATCGGATGTGTTTACTTTTGGGCTATTGACTTAATTATTACATCAAACAATTAAATGTATTCTAACTTGTGTACCCGTTGCGAAAGCGTACTATAGCTAGCCGACATACCCGTGCTTCGCTAAAGGAGCGCTAAAGAGAATAATTTATTGTTATGTTCCATAGATCTGTTGTATGAAAAGTTAAATAACTCACAAAATAAATGCCTAACATTTGCATTTAAAGCATCAATCGAATTATTTTCAAAAACGTGTTTTATATCAACTAGACAGCTAGCTGTTATCCACGGGCTTCACCCCGTTCCGTTTGACTTCATAAGTATTAATAACACTATTGGATAAAATAAGTTAACTGATAATCATTTAGCGTTGAACTTACTAAACAACATCACAGATGCAATTTACGGACTTGAGAGGCCATCAATTCTGGACCTGCCCTTCAGATTTTTGTAAAGATCGAAAAATTTGTTGTTAACAGCTATTTTTAATGTTCAAAAGTTACTTTGTTGTATTGCATTGCATATTTATCATGAAAACATCAAAAGAAATTTACAGATATTTTTAGTTGTACATATTCTTTAAAGACATCAAGAGAGTTATCAAGATCCCTTAAGTTCGCTGACGATATAAATCTGTTTGTGGAAAGTTGCTTCCCTCTATGATTATGAGTAATTTTGCCTTAGGCTTAATACTTTAATTTGAAATGGCAACCATACAAAGTAGGTATTTTAAGCCAAGTACCAGTATGCATGGAGATGAGTGTAGGATGGATGAGTGGCACGATTTTGTATCCTTGTTAGTGACTAAGGCTGACATATTCCTTAGACACAGCTGTCAATTAATAGCCCATACTTTGGGCTAATGGAAACTATAGGGACCTACAGTTTATAGTAGAATCCGAACCACATTTTTCCTAAGTATAAAAAAATTGGTCTAATTATCAGGATAGTACTGCGGATAGTCGTAGTAAGGGCGTTAATTCAAACCACGAAGTATCACATCCACAGTACATGCCTATAAATATCCACAACTCGTGACCTCCTAGTAGCTGAATTACAGGATGACACCACCGTCTCAGTCTCTTAATGATATCTTAGCTAAGACTTGACCAAAGATAATGGTTGATTCCACCAAGAATAAGTTAAAAATTGTTGGCATTAACAAAATTCTCTGGATATTGACTATTTCCCAGATTCTTATTGACTTGCCATGTGCGTTTGGGCTTTGTGCCAGACATTCAGCACATCTGCGCCAAGACCTCTGGCATTCTCAAAATGATCTGCTGTGCAAGACACTGTTTGAGCATCCATGATTTTTGTATCCATACCTGCTATATATCCAGTATAATTTTTATGTGCGGCAACAACTAGGGTCTTCGGTCTTACTGTGTATTCTGGTCGCTTTTACCAGCACAGCCTTTTTCAATGTCTTAGGCCCCCAATACGGGAAGAATGAGCGTACGCCTAGTATAAATTGTCCTTAAAGTAGTTCTCGTATGTCAAGAAGTTTACAACATAGATTTACATTGTAAGAAAGGGGATTAACCCCGTACCCACGGTGCTCATCTAAGCAGATACTCTGTTTACATTATACTTATAGTCCTCGCCACCCTAAGTTGAGGCAGCCCAAGGCCGCACGGCGTATATCTAGTGCGGCCTTTGGCTGCCTCAACTTAGGGTGGCGAGGACTATAGTCGACCAGTTGGTGTGAAGAGAGTTGAACAGTAGCATGAGTATCGATTTACAAATTCCTTTCCCAGCTGACGTGAGCTAGGCGATGACCGGTAGGGCTGACTTCCAAGAAACATCGTTAACCTATAAGTCAAACACCCAATCAGCCAATGAGAAGGGCTAATGAAGAAAATGGAGGGGTGAGGAGTCTCTCAGCTGGAGCTGGAGGACCTGAAGAAACAAATCGAGGAGTTCACCACGGGCCACTGGACCAAGAAGATCGAGAGTTTCGGAGTGTGTGTATCGGTGCGTGTGCTTCTGGGACAATAAACAGTATGTAAAAAGAATAAAATATATAACTAAAGTTTTGTAAAACAAACATATAGTTTGTCAGTAACTCATTCTTTTAAATTTTTAATTGATTTTCTTTTCTTGTAAATTATAACGTTGTAAATTTATTTATCTTATTATTTTTGATCTTTGCCTTTTCAAAGTTTTCTTTTGCTTTACTTTTGTTGTTTTTCTTAATTTAATTTTGTTCATTACACGTTGAGCAACACCCTTAAGCAGTCTTGTGTCTCATTAACCTAACACCTCTAGACTATCAAGTTCAAACATTTATTCAGAGGAAAATTCTTGAGTGATTTTATTGGGTTGGCTAAATAGAGTTTTTGTTTCAACTTTTGAATTACTTATTTCATTTAAACATCTTTGCCACCAAGACTGATAATTGAATATAATATAATAGGTTACGTACCTTATTCCGTCTTCAGTCTTAACTTAGTCAATGCTGGATGACTAGTTTCGGGAACAAAGTCCCCGAGTAAAGTAAAGTTTAAATAAGGATTTGATAATGGGACTTTGTTCCCGAAACTAGTCATCCAGCATTGACTAAGTTAAGACTGAAGACGGAATAAGGTACGTAACCTATTATATTATACTTATTTCATTTTTACAGTACACTCATTAGTCATTAAACACCAACATTATTTTATTTTACTAGCTATATATTAACTTTGCTTCTTAAGATTGGCACTCGCATATATAATATAAATATAAATATCATTTTATCTTTATGTATAGTTATCTGAGACATGTACGAACAAGAACAATAAAAAAATATATCTAAAAAAAGAATATTTTATCTATAAAACTGTCAAAATAGTTAGAAGATCAAAATAAAATATATAATCATTTTTACATGTTTTCTTTACAAATTACAGAGAAGTTTACTGGTAAGAATTTTAACAAAATTAACTGCTATAGATAAATATAAGGTTTATTGGTGAAGTATAAAAACAGTACATAACAATAAAAGGCAACATATAATGATAACTATAGCTGCCCTCTACAGCGGCCAACCTTCTCCATAATATTTTTGTCCAGAGCTGGGGCTACATCTTTCTTCCTGAAACAAACATTTTAATCTTGGTAAAGAAAGTCACAATTTTAAAATACTCAGGGGTGCCAAATTATGCGGGTTGGTGTAGTTGGTAGTTTCAAATAAAAAGGTCTTATTTTACAATAAATTACCATAGGTACCCTTAACTAAAAGTTTTTAACTGGTTTATTCCGCCTACAAACGTGCGACACAAACTCGATCTTTGAGGGGCTTTCATTGCTTGTTAAAGACACATGTTAACCTCTTGCCACATTACCAAGAGTTATTCTTCTTGGTAGAAGAATAACTCTTGTTAATGTGGCAAGAGGTAGATATCTTCCTGAGGAGGATCTAATTGGGAAGCTACAGGCTTTTATCGGACGCCTGAACTTGTAACTTCAAGACAACAACTGTATGGGGTGCGCAATAATTTTATTTTTGGATGAAGTGCTTTATGGTCTTGGCCTGCCCCTGTTAACAGTTTTAACAGGATCAGCAACAGGTAAATTAAACATTTATATTTTGTCTAGGCCTATATTTCCCTGATCAAGTTAGTGCAGAGAAGTTTTTGTTGAATAATAGTTGTAAAGGCTTTAATTTCCTGAATTGAAATAAGTACCTGGGGACCGAGCCATGGCATAGTTTATTTTGATTGTAAAAGCAATATACAGGAATGGATGCTTTAGAAGAATTTGAAATTTATAAAACAATAAAAATTCAAGCTAACACATTATTAAACGACAAAATCAGTTTACAGTCTAACGCTCTGTATGATACTCTAATAAAAAAACAAGAACAGCTGATGAACAAAGAGCCGAGCTATACAAAGTCCACTGCCCAACCATCTTCCGCATCGCAGTCGTGACCCTCATCTGCAACTGTGCGCACAAGGTTGGGGTTGGACATTGTAAGTTTTTGTCAGTAAGCCTAGTCGTTTTGTTCATAAAACGTCTATGACTGTAAATAGTATATGTCCGTGTTTCGCATTTAAACTCTTGATGACCCTTTCGAAGTTACAGTGTTAAATGTTCTTGTACAAGATCTCATGATGAGGACTTAAGTCCTTAAACCCCGTAATCTATAAGGACTAAACAGGATCAATCTGGCAGTACTGAGGTAATTTTATACCTTTAATAGTTGGTTCATTGATCTTGAGACAAAACAACTCAAATATGAAAATGAATATTATGTTATTGATATATTTTAACGTAAACAGTAGGGCAATTACAATGTTGGTCATAATTGTTTTTATACAGTAGGCCAACATTTGGTGGCTTTTGTTCATAAATTCGGACTACTTAACAACTGTTTGGATTAGGCGGTATAGTTCATCTTCCCGTTGCGAAGCACAGGCACAGAAGCTAATAAATTATTAAGTGATTTAATAAATAACTCTATATATAATATTTACAATAAACTATACCTTCAAAAACCTGGCTGTTTAACGGATGAAATGGCAGACATACACTTATCTCACTAGGTGCTCTTCCTTAAGTTCTTTTACGGAGTACAGCGGCCTATAATTAGTATTCCTTTCAGCGCCTTCTGAAGGAGGGTGCATCCATCTCCTGCAAATGAGTAGGCAGTTATGAGTTGTAGTTAATAGTAGTAGTAGAACGAGGATAGCTATTCTAGGTACGTTTGAGACGACAGCAGGAAAAGTCTATATTTTGTGCTCTTCTGGTATAGTACTCCTGCACCCCAGTGGCGGATCCAGAGGGGGGGGGGGGCTGTCGCAGTTTGGAAATATATCTATATCTATATCTATACTATCTTACTATTATATAAAAATCTAATGGTGTCTGTATGTGTATTACTAATAGGTGCGAAAACTACTGAAACAACTTGACTTAAATTTTACAAAAATATAGTTACCATACCAAGGACCATTATAGGACTATTCACACTTCAATACTGACCGTGGGCTTTGCCCCTTTGGCTTTAAAGGTTCTGAGGAGAGGATTTTAAAAGTAAATATTGATTGGTCACCATGGCTGCAATGAAAATACTTACAATGTTTACATTTGCTTTAACATTTCAAAATAAACAAGAAGAACTGCCAAATTGCATATTTCACAATTGAAGACAGCTGATCTAATGAAATTAAATATACTATAGACAATTATGTGGTTGGTTTATTTAATAAAAAAAAATCAAAGATCATTTATTCAAAAACTATGTCAATGATTATAGAAATAAAAAAAATGCTCTGCTTTCGATTTTACAGTGTTATGAAAATAATGTTATTGATATATTTTCATGGAAACAGTAAGAAAATTAAAATGTATAGATGTTTTGTATGAATTTGGAGGCTACTTTAAATAAATTCGAACTGCTTAACATGTGTTAGAATAACTTAACATAACCTGCACATCACATTGTTTTTTTTTTTTATATGTACCGGTATATTTAGGAAAATTTAGTTAGCCTATTGTGTTTTGCTAAACCTGTTGTGGCTTAAATTAAACTAAAGAACATCATCAATAACTAAATTGTTCGTCGTTGATTTTTGTGTTCCAAAATCTGTTGTATATGTGTAAGTATATTTAATTATCAAATGGTAATACAAAATACACTTATTTTATGTTAACATAGCTTTCAGTTCCCATTTACTTTATTTGATAAATTTATTATTTGTGTTTTGCCACACCACTGATTAAATTAAACCAATGTAAATATCAAAACTAAGCAGTATGCAGTGTTCTTTTCTTTCTAAAATCAATTAAATATCCGTTACTATGTTTACTTAATGGTAAGTGTGAAAATGTAAAGGCAATGGACAATGGAACTGATTAAAAGAACTGGTTTGTATATTAAGTGGTTTGTTGATATTTTTGAAGAGAATCAGAGATGCAATGAAACATACTGTATTTGCTATTACATTTTTTAGTCCTTGATGCTTTGATAATCTTACTACTTTTGTCTGCTGTCTTTAATGCTAAATTATTTATTTAAACTTTGTTATAGTATATATATAGTTTCTTTAATATTTCAAAAGACTATTGATAAGGCACAATATTTTTAAAGCTTATAACAGCTGACTTAGTTTTGCTAATGATTTATTGTGAGTGAAGAAACTGAAGATGGAAGGATTGGTGATTTAATACGAAGAAGAGTGAAATTAAAAACATGTTCATTTAAATTTAATAATTAGTATTTTTGCATATTCAAAGTTGAAATTTAAAATGTTAAAAATCAAGAAAAAAGAAGGTAAATAATGTATGTGAAAGTTGTATTCAAAGATTTGGTCAGTTTTTCTCACATCAGCCTACACAAGATTTAAAATTATTCAAAACCAAAATGGTGGTATCCACTACCAGATTTAAAAGTTATAACTTAAACGTTTCTATTAAGGCCATGAAAGTTGAATTTTGTTTCTAAAAGCGTTGGTGGATGTGTAATTATTATACGCAACAGATGTAAAGATTAAAATGTTTCTATTTTGTGTCTTCTTCCCGTTGCAAAGCACGGGTACAACAGCTAGTGTCATATATTTTTGACTGCACGTAATACAGTAGTGCGTACAAATTGCGTACAATAATTTGTCACACTAACTTAGGACAAAGAAATGGTATAAAACTGCCATTTTTGAAGACTTAGTTTAAACAAATTTTTGGGGAGGGAGGGGGTACCCCCGAACCTCTCAGACACCCTGGTCCCCCCCCCCCCCTTGTGACTGTTCTAGATCCACCACTGACTGCACGTAATCTTTTCTATGGTCAGGATATAAAGCACTACACCGTGAGTACCCTTAAGCTTCATTTCCATTCCTACAAGTCGCAGGCACAAGTCGAGGCACATGTCGAGACCATGACGAGGCATATGTCGCACGTAGTTTGTCATGCCGTTTCCATTCCAGGCACAAGTCCCGCGACTACAACTGGCAGACAAGGCAGTGTTCTCTTTTATTGTGATGTGGTGAGGTTCGGTGGCTGATTTTGATTATATTGTGTTATACAAATCACCATGGATGACATAACAGCCTCTGCTTTTTTATTTATGGCTGGTGCATACAATGAACTTAGAAGAAAACTACCTAGATAGTGGATAAGAAGTTTTTTTGGCTAAAAGAGCATTGGAAGGTGCATTTAATCAATTGATGAGAGATTTGCGCGTACAAAGTGGCTTTGAAAATTTCCTCCAACGGACTCAACGAAATTTGAGGTTATGATTACCTCTCATTTATGAGCATGCGGTAGTTTGGAGGACCTGCGCATGCGCGAGTTGCAGGCACATGTGCCCGCGGCTTGGGCACATGTTTTGTCGCGCAGTCGGCGGGCACAAATTTGTGCCGCGACTTGAGCCAGGATGTTTCCATTCCTACAAATTTGGAGATTTGTGCCGGCACAAATTTGCAGGAATGGAAACGTAGCTTAAGATCCTTTAAGATTGGCCGGCAATGATCCAAATGCCGAACAACTGTAATAATCCTAAAGGTTCTGGACAGCATCGTTGTATCATCTGCAAATAATAATGTTTTCCCATTCAGATTAAGGCAGGATTTTGTATAGGTTAGGCCTAATACCCTTAACCTCATTGACGGGTAGGGCAGTCAAAATCGAAGCAAAAATTAAAGCCGAGTAGGCTAAGTTTATGGGAAGATTTCATTAGCTTAGTGTAGCCTAATGTTTTTAATATCATAAAATAAAAATGTCTTAAAATATTATTAGACTAGCCTAGGCTATTCATGGGGTTACAGCTCTTTTGCTTGATGCATTGAAATGGATTTGATGAAGTAGAACTACATATTACAACAAGTACTATTACCCCTGATCTATTTAACTGCACAACTATACTTATTATTTATTTTAACGTCTGTGATATATATTTGATAGGCTATGCATAAAAAATGTGACCGTGATAATAGGCCTATATCGCTATTGATCAAGTAGCCTATATACCGTGAGTTAATGTGTCTCAGACGAAGTCTATAGTAATCAGTGATTATTCAACGACCAATAAAATGGGCCTACTTAATTACTTGATGTCTTTAAGATGGCTAAGTTATTTTGTTAGTAGTATCAACTAAATTTAGACTAACCTACAAGGTTTATTATCACACATAAAAATGTTTTGATGGCCGTTGCCCTGGCGGTAGGTTAGTTGCGCATTTGCTACCTACAAAATCCGGGCCCTGTAGGGTGGGTTATAATGCGGTAGAATGGCGATAAACTTAGGTTAGTTGCCCATTGACGCCTTGAACAATAGATCTCTTGAAATTGTAAAGAGCAATGAAGCGTCTGCGTAGTCCTACGAAAAAGCCAGTCTACCAAAATAGGCAAATCATTATGAATTTAATGTGTACCATGTAACCTTGTAAGTTATAGCCATCCACCTCCACCTGTCACGTAAAGCCACAATAATCAAAGAAAAAATCTAGAGTGTAGTCTGTATTTACCAAATATAGTCTGTTTTCACCAATAGATCGCAGAATGTTTTTACCAACAGAGTGTAGTCTGTTTTCACCAAAATCACACTACTCCAGCTGCTGAGAGTATCAAATACGTATAGGCTATGCTATAAAATGCTAAAAACTCAATTGGTAAACTAAAACTGTCATACGAAAAACTTTATACTTTGTCAGCATCTTATAAAAAATAAAAATATAAAAAAAACTAGTGCACTTGTTGCTCGAAATCGATCAATAGTCTAGTACCGGAAGTTATATTAAAACTAATAGTCATAATTTTCTATGAGTTTAAAAATCCAACTAAAAGCGCAGTATGCAACTAATGGATAGACTAGGCCTATTTGATGTATCGATTCATTCGGTTAGCTAAGTTAGGTTAGGAACTTTACTAACCAAACTTCATATATTGAATGAAATAATCGATTTATTGATCGATATATTTATTCGAAAAATTATAGTGTAGGACGTAAGGCATAAAGTGCAGTTTAATTTTAAAATAGATATATTTTAAATATCGATTATTAATCAATATTTTCAATTTGATAGTTTCAATCGATATTAGCGAAGCCCAGGAAACTGTACCCCCAATTTATTTTATAGGCTACCAGAAACTAATTTGAATTTGCTTAACACGTTCGCTGCTGAGCGCTAGATGCCGGGACGGCGCCAGGTGCTGAACTAACGCTCGGCCGATGCGTGACATTGCTACCGATACACTGAATTACAGTAAAAACATCAGTAGTTATACTGGATGGCAATGTTCTGCAATAAAACTGGCTTTGGATATAGTACTAAGTGATTCTGATAGATAGCAGTACTACCCAGGTTACATTCGGTAAAGTAGTGTCGCTATCTAGCAGGAAAGAGGTGAAACAAAGCCCTGATCCAAACAAACCTGGTGGTAATTTGGGAAACTATATTTTTTATTGTCAGAAAAGTACGTCCCCACGAGCTGCAAAGAAATATAGGACGCTTGTGTCGTGCTGGCTTATCCATAGCAACGTTAAACAACAATGAACGGTGACGTTCTGGAACGTTCTTAGCTCCTGGCGCCGTGGCCCGGCTGACGTTCCGGAACGTCCGTAGCAGCGAACGTAAACGTTAATATTCTAATGACCATGTCCATGTCAATAAGTTACCTTTCAATTTTGTGATGACAAAAATGGTTCTTTTAACTGTAGTAGTTGTTGTAACTTAGGCCTAAATTGAAAATACACACCTAAAATACAAATTTGTATGACAATTTGACAATTGAAATTGACAAACAATAAATTCTCCAAAATCCAACCTCTCAAACTTAACTAGACAGAGCTAGCTAAGAAGAGCAGCAGCCAGCAGCAGATCTAAGAAGAGAAGAAGAAGAAGAAACGCAGAACAGAACACGAAACGAGACGAAGGAAGGCTGAAATTTGGGTGGAGTAGAGGTAATTCAAAGAAGTCGCGGGAATTTTCAGAAGTGTAGAGGGTAAGCGACCGCACCGCGAAACACGTGACCACGGCGAAGCCACGCCCTTCCCCCAGAAGGGAGGGGCCGGGACCTAGCTGACCGATTTGAGTTGTCGGTACCAACTTGATATGTGATTTAAGTGAAATGGTACCTAGATGAAAGGTTACCTAAATGAAGGCCTCCCACCGACTCATCCCACGGCCACCTTTAACTCATCGGTCGTGGACTCGTGGTGCATATGCTCGTGGCTGACTCGAACGTGAGTGAAAACTCATTAGAGCTAAAGCTACTGGGTCAGTACGGACGTCACTCACAGCAATCTTGACATTTTTAGAGGGTGTATGCGAACTGGATCGGGCGTTCCGCACAGTTCTGAATCCACCTCTCGCAAACACAGAAGTAAGTTTGGAATGGTTTGGAGGAGGATCTGTTGAAAGATGGATGTGGAGGAGAAAATTGCAAACATTAGTGAGTGCATTTTTACAGAACAAGAGGAGAATGCTAAAGTTAGGGGAAAAGGTTTTGGATTCACAACATTATTAAGAAAAAGTTGTTTTGTGGCGAATTCCACACTTTGTTCCCAACCTTATGTATGTTGACGTTATAAGCTTTTTAAATCCTTTAGGAATTATGATGACTAATGACAAGTTCAGAATCAGAATAGAGAGAGAGAGAGAGAGAGAGAGAGAGAGAGAGAGAGAGAGAGAGAGAGAGAGAGAGAGAGAGATCTTTATTTACAAATCGTTAAGATTGAAAATTGCGTCAAATATATTACAGAAACTTCTTTCGAGAGTGTCTTTTAGAATAATTGATCTACAGAGCTTGCCAGTCCAAGAACTCTCCAACGCCGTAGAAAGGATGGTGGTGCAGCCAATCCCGGAGTACTGTCTTCAGCTTCTCAGGACTGGAACTCTTGATTTCAGCTGGCAGATGGTTGAAAAATTTGGCTCCGATGTAAGAAGGCTTACCCTCATATCTTCTACTGTGGTGTGTAGGTGTGTACGCCTGAACGACGCCGAGCAACACTCACGATGTGCGAACGTAGAGATAATAGGTATCCCTGAAACACCAGAGGAAAACGTGTACAGAATTCTTCAGAGGCTCGCCGCTGTTCTGGGAGTGCAACACAACAGAGAAGACGTGTCGATTGCGCACTATGCCATCAGCAGATGTGTAGAAATCGTTCAGTGCCAAGCACATCTGTTGGTGACAGGTTCTTGCCGCAGTGGTCAAGAAGTATGCCTCACGGCATACGATGCACTGGTAGTATTTCATTGTAACACTCCCAACGCATAAGGATGTAGGTTCCTGTAAATTATTACTAACTATTATTAGTGTTGGAATAGTTAGTTCGAAACCCTATTGTTGAAGCTGGAAGAAGAATTATCTATAGTCTATAGAGGCCTATTATTATTGTTTCCTAGATATAGTCTATCTATTGCCAAGCATGTTATTTAATTATTATTATTACCTAGATATAGTCTATTGATCACCAAGCATGTTATTTAATTATAATGGTTACCTAGTTAATTCAACTATCACTCTTCATTGTTATTATAACCGCACGTTATTTTCATTAAAATAAGTTCATCTTTGCAGGTCCCTTTATCTGCACAATAGTTAACAGCATGGAAAAGGTTATGGTCGCATGTACAGTATTAAAATGTAAAATGTATTGTAAAATGGTGTTTATCATCAAAATAAATAAATTACTAGATGAGCACTAAGCCACTCAGATTATTTTAAAGCAATGGTGTACTATTGGAAAATCTTAAGTACCTAAATATTACGATATTACTACTGATACTACAAGATAGTCTATGTTCCTTAGACCATAGAAAAAAAGAATTAAATATAGACTGTCAGCCCGCAAGCGTTCCCATAGGTTCTTACACACACCGCTGGGAGCGTCGTGTAGTTACGTAGTATGTACGCACTACGCTGTAGCTACATGGCGCTTCCAGCAATGTGCACCAGTACCTATGGTAACCGAAGCACAGCTGACGGTCTATATTTAATTATTTTTGTATATGCTTAGACACAGCTGGTAATTAATAGCCTAGACAGCCAATGGCAACTGAGGGAAGGGACACGGCCGCCTTTTAGTTAAAGGTGGCCGTGGAAGGGGCCTTCAGTTTCTAGTGAAATCCGAACAACATTTTTTCCTTGGACTTAACAAATTGGTCCAATTATCAGGATATTACTGCGGATAGTCGTAGTATTAAAGCGATACAAGCCTATTTTAAGTACCGTAAACGGTTAAGGCCATTTACCAACTAAAAATATAGGCATATGGCACATTAAAATGAAGCTTAGAGTGTGCGGATTTGCCGAAAGTTATTGGCATGGATGGATTTCTTAAGGGCTCTGTCCAAGAAAAGCCCCACTAGAGATCAGGATCACCAGACTTTTAAAGGAGCAGTGAAAAGACTGCTCTTGAATGGCATGTACTACAGCGTCCGGAATTTTTTGCTGGTAGTCATAACAGCTTGTAAATAGCTTTACAAATGTGCTACATAAGAAAGAAGTTTTGTATTTTAGATTATTTTGACATGGCTAACGCTGATCGTACTGTATTTGGTTAATTTGGCTAAATAAATGACTATGGCCAAACTATGACTTATGAATGCTTATAGCTCAGGGCTTATGACTCGCTGTAACATTTGTTGGTCTTTGGATCAATTGTTATCTGAACGTATCTGAATTTGGACTAGGAGCTGTCCGCCGTCCGCTGATCGCTGTCATCGTGCTCGTTGGCTCGTTCTGTCTCTCTCTCTTCTGTCTTCTGTCATCTTCGTCGCTAAAAATACTAAATAGGCTATTGCTATTATATTATAGGCTACTACTGTTGAGTGTAGATGACAGATAGTTGCTAGTTTGAGTAGTTACTTTGTCTAATGTCTTTGTCAGTTTGTTTTGTCTTGAGCGGAACAACAGCAGAAAAGTGCAACATCAATGAATAATTCAGTTGGTCTCTAGGACTAGAATGGAGATATTATTATAATACATTGTTAGAAGTTACCTTCCTTTCATTTGGGCCGAGCTTAGTTTAAATTAAACATCGTGTAGGCTTACCATCTAATAAGTACTTGGACAACCATGTCTGCACCAAAAATTCAGGAGGATATAAACAACATTCCCTTGGCCGATGATGACCCCCAAGGTAAGTCTATTGCATGTGCATCCAAGACCAAGACATTAATTAATCACCTAGAAAAAACAATTTTAGATTTGTCTGGAAATACAACTTATCCTTCAAAACTAATCCAAACTAAGTAGCCTACCAGATAGGTCTACTTATACAGGAGGGTCCGCGGAATTGGCTAACTCTGGAACTCGCTAACCCCATGTTAAATGCCCTATCTTCAAATTTGGTCGATGAGAGGAACTCGCTAACTTGTTCGGTTTCGGAATTGGCTAACTCCGGAACCCGCTAACCCGCTCTAGAGCCGGGTTAGCGAATTCCGTCCTCGTACGGAAGTCGCTAACTCGGTCCCTCGGCGGAACTCGCTAACTCCCAATCAGAAGCCTCGCGGGCCGTCCAATGGGAGCCAAGCACGAATATTTTTGGCCAGTGTTGCCGAAAGTGTAGTACCTATATCGTATCGGCACCATAATGTCGTATCCTACGCTTAATTAGGAGTAAGAGCAACGTAGTCGATAAAATAAATATATTTTGAAGTATGTTTAACCACAGGGAAGTTCTTATGATTATTAGGGTGGAAAATGCATTATAGTCTTATCATAGACTAACCAACACAAGTAAACTTTACATCCCATTGTAAACTTTGAAGCTCGTTTTTCGTGTCTAGTTCATGTCCGGTGACACTGATCGCTAGTGTCGACAAAATTGTGTTTCTATTATTTTATAGTTAACTTCATGATTTGTTCCTTACTAAACACGAACGTTGGTTATATAACTAGGGGACGTGTTATTAGTTGTGATTAGAACGTTTTATTTGGTTAAACCAGGTTTTAAATTACTGAAAACAAGAAACAATTGTAAACAAAACACGACCTCTAAAGACAGTACACCGGACAGAACTAACAATACAACTGTCTTCAGATCATCCATAAGGATGAGAAATGTACTAATATAAGGGAGTATGTTTTATATGTGGGTTTCTTACTTAAATAGTAGCTTATTGGTATGAAAAAGATAAAAATGCACATTTAATTTGGATCTATTACATGTTATGAAATATCTATTTTCGTAGTCCGCCATTTGTTTCTTTTATTCGAATAAATACCATTTTGTGAACTTCTGCAAATAACATTTTTGAGTTCGTATTTTATATACTGGGCTTGTAGTAACCTTAAATCATAAATCATAATAAAATTTACACGTTAAACGTCATTACAGAATTACATTGTAGTGGTTATGTATTTTTAAATAGAGCTATTGAATTTAAATAAATATTTATCAATACATTATAAAGTGGTAGGCCTAATGTATTCATGGATTGCATTAAAAGTTAGTCTATGCATAAATACAACTTGTAAATTTCTTTTATCGTAGGCTATTAGTGTAGAACCCGGGTCGTCCTCTTAATTTTGTTGAATTAATATTAATTTTACGTCTTTCAGTAGGCTTACTTTTTAAAAGTCTGGAGTTTTTTCCAGGCTGATTCTATCTTATCCAAAAACAAAGCTATTGTCTATTGTGTAGCTCAGTACTGGGGAACGGTGAACCAAGCAATGGCTTGGTATAGTTTATATCGTTTGTGCAAGCAATATAAAGGAAACCCAACACTCAAATCAGGAAAATCCGTCAATTAGTTTATTAAAAATCGTGAATTAAAATAACCCTGTCACGTTTTATTATATGAGTATTATATCTTCCTATTTTTTACTAGTGGTGCTTAGGTGTACAATCTAAAAACTGTTTTAAAACATGTAACATTATTGCTAAAAAATTCAACACATTTTAGAATTAGGCAACTATTTACTAGTAGGCCTACAATGCTTTAGTTCAAACTATTAGGCCTAGATAAAAACTTAGTCTATGTCATCATATTTGTACACGTAAGTTGGACGGTTCAATGACGAACATTTAATTTAAAATCTATGAATTAATTATGAAAGTTACGATGGTTGATGACTGTATTAATTAATGGTTTTGGTTTATTACGACATTACAATTAAATCTGTTTTCCGTGTTTAAGAACTTGCGTGTATTTTAGCTTATTTTCGTAGAGGTTTAATTATTTATTACCAATTAAACTAAATTTTGAATATTTTTCATATTCTATTATTTTCTTTTATACTGATGGCATTTATATTTAAGATCGAAATCATAAACATTTAACTGGCCATTGTACAGTTTAATAAAAAACACTTTTTCATGAGTTTTTAATTGTCTTTTAATTACTTTGGGCTAGTTATCTGTTAAAAGTGGAATTGATAAAAAAAAAATAACATTTACTGTATCTTTATAGACACTGACATTTTGAAATACGGCAGTGTACGATTATTTTGTCGTACAAGGTTGGCAACGCTCCGAGCAGTGGGCGCGGCCGGGTTAGCGACTTCCAGAGTTAGCGAATTCCGCCGCGAGACAAAATCGAGTTAGCGGGTTCCGGAGTTAGCCAATTCCTGACTGAGACGGTTAGCCAGTTCCAGAGTTAGCCAGTTCCGCCACACGACCGAGTTAGCGAGTTCCTGAGTTAGCCAATTCCTACGTCTCATACAGGATATCACATGATAAGATATAAATTGCAGCCTAGGGCCTAGGCCTAAGCCGTTTTATTAACACAGAGGATACGCGTCCGGTAACCAGACGTGGATGAGGCGTCCGGTAGTGACGTCACCGGGTTGTGGGGTCCCGGAACGCCATTACTACAACGATACGATGTTCAGCCAGCGTTGTTCGTGGTGTAGTGGATAGAGTGCTCGGCTGATATCCAAGAGGTCCTTGGTTCGAAACCCATCGGTTTCTTTAACTTTTTGTAACAGATTTTGCTTTGAATGTAATTTCTTCTTAACTGTACATCTTTTGTTAGAATTTTTGGCATTTATAATTTTATGTTATGAAGAGAATTGAACCATCATTTGATTTTTTCATTATCAGCAAGTTTGGTTGGTTAGGTTAGGTTATGACAGTAACTGCCGGACGCCTAATCCACGTCCTGTTACCGGACGCGTATCCTCTGCGTTTTATTAACTGTCCTAAGTAACTCAGACCAGCACCAGACCTCATATTTTTTATGTATTTTACTGAGGTTTTATTCCCTTTTTAATATGAATAATCACATAAGTTACAGCGGGAAAAGTGTTACCACAAGTTTCCTTTAAACTTTCCCATGCTCTCATTGAAGAATTTCCTAGCTTGAGAGAAGTCATATTAATACCGTACCAATGTTTTAATATTGATCTGAATTAATTGTCCTACTACATCAGCGGTACTAAGTTACTGTATTTACACTGAAATATGATGTAATTTTTATATGTCTACTTTCAGTATTTTTAACTCTGAATCCAAAAATGCAATCAGTTTTTGTCGGAGAGATTCCTAAGTGGCCGTAAAACGAAGGTTAGGATTACGAATCTAAGGATAATTGAGCGGTACTGAAGGTAATGATAATATGGCGTGGTCTGGACGGGTCCGTTCCGTACTGAGTGAGGAGTGAGGACTGAGTGAGAAGAGCAAACAACTGTTTATACTTGATCTAATGCGGAATGAAATCTAATCAATTCGTTTTGAAACCAAATAATCAGTTCTTATTTAGGCATGTGAGGAAGGTAGGTCGGGTTTTATGCGGATTCGTGACTGTATTAAATCTTTTGAAGTGAGGTTAGATTAGGAAGGTAAAGGTTAGGTTATAATGAACCGACTCATTAATTTATGCAACTTCCAGACTGTTTTTGCATAATTAAATAAATATTTAAGTAAATATTTACTCCATGTGAGCTCTCGGTTCAAGCAATAGGCACGGGCACTCTAGGGTTGGACACCAACTTAACTGAAATGTGAGATAAAAGGCAAAATGAAATGATTGGGCTAAATTTAAACTGGGATATAATTTCTAATTAAAACTTTGAAAATGCAGCGTTTTTTTTTTCAACCATTTGATGTAGGCCTAGTGGCAATTTCCCTTGACGTCATGTCAGTTCTAAACTCATGTTTTAATTAACGTTGCTTTATGTATGAAATCACAGGTTTAAAATACTTTTGTTTAATATTATAGGCCTAGTTTATTGCTTTCGGTTTGATTTGGAATCCAAATTGATTATATGATTGTGTTTAGTTCTGAAGTTAGTTATACCTTATATATTTAACAATGGTGATGAGGATCAAATTGCCGAATCAGTTACCTAGCTAATAAAGTTATCACTTCCAGTTGGTTGACTATGATTGAAAACAATTAGCTGTAACCCTAGGCTTACTTCACCCACAGTTCATTCCACTTATAAATGTCTTCCGTCCTACCTTCTTTATTCTAATGTTGTATGTTTTTACAGCGATATCTTAAGTAATATTCATCAGCGGTGAAAAATAATGGTATATTTGAATTTAGCAGGTAAAATTACTATAAAGTAAGATATCAAAATTAAATATCATTTGGAGGTACCTAGCCTATAGTAAATAAATTACCTTAATATCTTTGGTTTTAAGAATGTTTAAAGTACCTAATGCACTTTATAAATTGTCTTCTTACGATTGATTGTTTCTCAAATTCTCACTAACTTAGGCCAATAAAACTGTTCTTTCAACTCATTAAATGGCTTGAATCCTGATAAATGTGTTTTTTTGTTCTTTTAGTCACATTTCCATTTGGTTCTTAAAAATTAATGACAAGCTAAATTGTGCCAAACTGATGTAGGCTGTTTAGATCTGAAAGCTGTGTTGACCATTGAACTTATTTTCATTACACTGAGTGCGATTCTCATCGATATTTGTAATTGCAGCAATTATTCAAGATGACGGGGAGGCAGTTGAAATGTCTCAAACCTCAGATGCTTTGTTGAGAGGTCGTAGTTTGGATTCCATACCCTCCACGTTCACCAACGGAAGCAGTAGTCCTGGGCCAAACAGTAAGTTTTTAGAGTGTAAAAAAAGAAATAATTTTGTATATTGAAGGATTGTAAGCCTAATTGTTACAGAGATAAAAAATAATTAGAAATTTTTAATTCCCTTGTTATTCCTATAGAGTATGGAGTATACAGTGGAGTCCCGATAATCCGAACTTCGGTAATCCGAAAGTCCGCTTAATCCAAAACCAAAAAATATTTTTTTTGAATTTTTTTTATAAAAAAATTTTTTTTGAAAATTTTTAAAATTTTTTGAAATTTTTTTCAAAATTTTTTGAAGTTTTTTGAAAAGTTTTTGAAATTTTTTTGAATTTTTTTATTAAACTTTTGACACAGTTAGCTGTACCTCGTCAAAGTATTCTGTAGTGGCTGGGCGAGACTTTTTTTGTAGAGTATTTTAGTAAATTAATATTTCACCATTTTGTTATTACCGTAACATTTTACATTTTCGTCCGCCAAATCACAAATGGATTTTACTATGTGATAATGCTGCAGCCAATAGGTCTAGCCTTAAGTAATGTGAAAAACAATTCCGGGCTCGTGCCTGCATCCGAAAAAAAGTAGTAAGAAGTAAGACAAAAAATTTCAAAAAATAAAAAAAAATAAAAAAATAAAAAAAATTTCAAAAAAAAACAAAAAATGTTTAATCCGAAATATTCGGTAATCCGAAATGGGCTCGGTCCCAACCATTTCGGACTAACGGGACTCTACTGTATATCAACTTTGTAGTTTGTCTGTTAAGGCTGACGCACACTGATCCAGCATTTCACCTGAAGCAAAATGTTGCACAACGATTTGCTTTGAATCATTTTGTTTGTCAACGTAGCTACTGTATTGTTGTATGTCAGGTTTTGCTAAATATTGGACTAAATAGAAAGAAAACATTGGGTTCACCCAATCAAGACTTTCCTCTCAGAAATTAAATCAGATCCAGGAAAATTGTACAATTATTGTCGAAAATTTGCTATACTAATTTATTTGAAGGGTTTTAAATACCATAAGTGATATCGTAAGAAACTATTATTAGATAATGTCATGATGGTTAAATAATGAACTGAGTATCCTTGGTAATTTCTAAATTATTTTACTACTTTGCAAGGGCTGTATGACAATTAAAGTGGTAGCAAGAAAAATTAATCAACAATATTGTTCAATGGAAATACAAAATATAATTCAATAACTTCTTGATCAGCATTTTATGTGTTATTAAATTTACAGAAAGTAAATAAAAGAAACGTCTTATAACACTTAAAACCAAGTTTTAATCAAATATACAGTAATTGTAAACATTTTTCAAAGAAGAGATAAGTTATTTTTTAAACAACAAAAGTTTTTGAATTTTTGAAGTTGAATAGAATTTTGAGAATCACTAAGAACTACTGGAAAGAAGGGATTTTCTGCATGCACAGAACGTTAAAATTGCTCCTTGAAACATCAAACATCGTGCTGCATCGGATCCATTTGTCAAGCAACTGCTCAAATGTTTCAAGTCGTTGCGAGGCGCCAATTGCTTGATTATTGTGCGGCCTTACATGGGGCACTCGTACACAGCCAAACATTTTGCCTCGATACACTTGCTTCAGGTGAAATGCTGCATCAGTGTGCGGCCTAAGACTGTGAACACTTATTTAGGCTACTTTGCTAATAAGAATCCAAAATCAATGATAGATTTTAAGGTATAATCAAATCTATAGTAGTTTGTACTGTAAACGAAAAGCTATCACAATAGTTCCAAACCTGTCAATAGGCCTAGTGTTCAATTTTCTAACATTTTTATGGGGAAGTTTTAATGAAGATATAATCAGGCAAATGGAAATTTATTTAGTCCGCAGGTTTGCTGCGGTAGGGGTCAAATTTTGTTTATTCCATACTAAGCTATCAACATTTCAATAAAAAAAAAAAACTCTCCCTGTAGCAGCAATTACCTATGTAGGTACTCATTAAAATTAATGTTATTTAAATAGAACATGCATAAAAAAAATAGGGAATGTTTTAGTAGAAATCCAGCCAGGTAAATGGAAATTCGTTTAGCCTACAGTTTGCATTAATAATAATTAATTAATAATTAGTTTGCTGCGGGGTATTTTTAATTTCATAACATTTTCCCAGGACTAAACCCTTAAAGGCTTGTCACAGCATTTTGCAGCGTGGTAGCTAAATAGCCTACTCAATGGTGCTTAAGCAATTCGTTGAATCTCATCTGCAAGTGCTAGTGTCATATTCAACCTTGAGTGCATGTGTAGATTCAAATAACGTATGTTTTAATCCATCATACTAATGTGTGGCATAGCCATTAGGAGGGCCCACATTAAATAAATGGTTTCCGGCTAGAGTAAATGAACGGCATTGATGAGTTTAATAGGGATTGCACACAGTACCTGTTTTGCTTCTTTTTATATTAGTATAGAGAAGGGCACAGATTTTCTTAATTGGGATTTATTTCCGTTAAATGGACAATGACTGAGTCGGTGGCTTAGTGAGTAGCACAACAGACGTCAAACCCATATACCGACAGCCATGCAGTTGTGAGTTCAGATACTTGCCGGCCGACTAAATTTTATCAGTACAGTAGTTCTCTTGTACTATATCAGCTCACCACTAGCTTTGTTGGATTAGTTCACAAATAAGCCTGAGGCCTAGAGAGACACATGCATGAGAGAAAATGCATGTTCAAAGAGTTATTAAAATTAAAATAAAATATTTAGTAATACAGTTCACCATAAGAGACATATAAAGAAAAAAGCAAAAAAATTTACATAGATGAAGAAATCATACTAAAATCCCTGCATCAAAGTGTTAGTTAAGTTAGGGAAGGATTACGACTTGTAACCAGTTACCATTACCAAAATGTTGAGTGAAGTTTTTAATGGAAAATGCTGTGCTTTTAGGCTTGGACCCTGACATCAGTCCAGATGAAATTGAAGAAAAATCCCGACTCATAACACAGGTTTTGGAGCTTCAAAACACGTTGGACGGCAAGTATTTTAAAAACTTGAAATATTTTATTAATCCTAAAATTAAGTTGGTCCACACATTTCAGGAACTTTGTAATATCTGTTTCTGGGTATTTTTGTGTTGTTTTAACCTATATAGGATGCACACAAATTGATTTGTGATTCATTCATTAGCTCAAATCAAATCAAAATACTGTGGAGTGCATTCATTAGCTTTTGCACTCCTTTACATACTTGGTGACAAACCCCTAAAAAACTTGATTACCAGTGCTTGGCAACTTAATTCATTGTAACTAGGCTTCGTTAGCAAAATTACAACAGTCGCAAAAAGTGAGAGGCATAACAGTCAGAAAATGGTAATCTGATGGTCCTGCAATTATAGCTGTTTTTAAAAACCTATGAATAAAAAAGACATATAGGCTAGTTTATACGCCACTGCATTGTAGTAGATAAAATAATGAACATTTTTTTTATCCACTCTCATGATGGTTTATTATGGTTATGTCTATCACTTGATGGTGTGATCTTCTGGGAAAATTCAGATAGGAGAAAAAAAATTTTTAAATGCAGAAGAGAACTATCTGTATTATTTTTGGACTTAAAGGGAAAAAATCCTGTAAGAGTATTTTTAAAAATCACAAAACTCATACTTTTCCCGTTATATACATATATAGTTTGATTTTTAAAAAAATTCCAAATTTGAAGATCTATCTTCCACGAGGTAGGTGGCGAGACGAAGTTGATCACAATCGCAAGATATACTCCGGTGAGATGTGGCTGCGCATCTACTCTGCACCACTGGACACATTTTTACGAAATTCAATCCTGTAAAACAGTATATACTGAGGAACGCTTGCAAAAGACAAAATTTATCAAATTTTCCAAATAACTCTGATTTTCACAACTATAACACAAGACAAAAGAATAACCTTACATACCCTAAACATAGCACTTCCACCATTGAACATTCTCCATATTACTCTGGTATAAAATTGTATAGGGTAATGGCCTACCTAGCACCATAAAGGGTTTGACAGATTTTAAGATTTAAAACCAGTTTATTCAAATTGTTGTCAAATAAATGCTGCTACAAGATTGGGGACTTTTTCAATTAGCTATTAGTATCTCAAATCAATAGTTATGTATATCAATGTATAGTTATGTTTATTCTTGACTTGACACAATTCATGTATACAAATGTACTGTTTGAATAAAGGATTTTTTTATTTGATTTGACTAGCGATTAGTGTCACCGGAGATGAACTAGACACGAAAAACAAGCTTCAAAATTTACAATGGGATGTAGGTTAGTCTATCGTTAGACTATAATGCATTTTCCACCCTAATAATAATCATAAGAATAGGCCTAATAATAAACATACCTCTGAATATATATTTATTTTATCGAATACATTGCTCTTACTCCCAGTTATTCGTAGGATACGACATTACGTTACCGAAACGATCGTAGGCACTACACTTTCTGCCACACTGGCCAACAATCTTCGTGATTGGCTTCCATTGGACGGCGCATGAGGCTTCTGATTGGGAGTTAGCGAGTTCCGTCGAGGGACCGAGTTAGCGACTTCCGTACTTGGACGGATTTCGCTAGTCCGGCTCTAGAGCGAGTTCCGGAATTACCAAATTCCGAATCCGAACAAGTTAGGACAGTAATTCTGTCATTATGCAAACAGATTCTTTTAGTGTCTATATTATCAGATTTTATTTTACATACTAACATTAAAATCTTTCAAAATGTATTAAGAAAGAATTTTGTTTTTAACAGATCTATCTCAGAGAGTTGACAGTGTAAAAGAAGAAAACATGAAGCTAAAATCTGAGAACCAAGTGCTCGGGCAATACATAGAAAATCTCATGTCTGCGTCCAGCGTATTTCAATCAACATCACCAAAGACCAAGAAGAAATAAACACTGTGTATGAATTACTTTTATTTATAACTTTATACCTAACACAAATTTTAGCTAAAGGTTATTGAGTGACACCATATTATCAATTTGTGCTATATGTCTGTAAAAGTTGAAAAAATATTTCTCAGTGGCGAAGTAGCCCAAGGTTAGTAGAGAGACTTAGAGAGAGAGAGAGAGAGATTAGTCTCTCTACTAACCTTGGAAGTAGCCTATCTACTCAAATCCCAGTTATATTAAAGACTGTGAATATCACTTAAGGTTGGACGTGGAAAAGTACTTTTTTCAATCATGCACACACATATATATATACTCAGCTTTATAGTAGTTGGAAGTGAAATTATGAGCTTTTGTGTTTTGATCGCCAATTCCAACTGATAAATTTTTATGTTTAACTAGGATATATCAATAGTTAATTTTTATTTACCTAGCAACCTGTATTTTGCTGTTTGATTTTTGCTGAAAAATTTGTGTTGTAAAATGTATTGTGCCAGATATTGAAAGTGTAGAATGTTATGGCTATTTGTAAGATAAAACTGCATTTAAATATCATTTTATATTTGTTGTTTGTATTATGTTTTTAGTGACTGTTAACCCGTTTTAATGACTCTACGTCCAAAACCTAGACCAATAGACCCCATGAGTAACCGGACAAAAATGGCATATTTATATTCAACAACAACCCAATGAGTTTGGCTAAAGACTGATACAGTAAGCCTACCCTTGGTGACAAATCCTCAACTAATTTACAAGATTCTGTTCGGTCAATTTAGTTGACTTTATCTTTAAATTTAATTGCTGAGAGCTCTAAAGTTTTCCAGAAAACATAGATTTATGGTTTGATTTCTGCCTGATCACTTAAATTCAGGGGAGCTATTCATAGAGAGAGTTAGTAGTAGGAGTCAAACCGAAAAATTTATAGGCTACTCTACACTAGGAGCCACGAGAGTCTGCAGTTGGCGGCAGCCTAACAATCAAAAAGTTACCAGATCAAACCTAAGAAACGTCAGTAGCTTTTTGATAGTTTGGAAGGGTTCGAAAATTGACCCAGCTGTTCCTGATCATTGGGCTTTAAATAAATGATCCTAGCTAATGAAACAGCTGATCATAGTAACAACGCTTCACAGATCATCTCACTTCATTCTGCACTCATCCTTCACTCAGAATTGGGTTTAAATCAAGGTCTCAGGGTCCCACTAGAAAAACAGGCCATGCTGCAGCGTGGGCAGCGCAACACTGTCACAGTGGTGGATAGTTCAGTTGTACTAAAATCTTACACACAGCCAGCTACTTAACCAAAAACATATGGTATATTATGGCAGCGAATCTATCCACTAGTGTGACATCATGGATCCTGCAGCATGGCCTGTTATTCTAGTGGGGCCTGGTTTAAATACACACTTAGGTAATGTCCGCATCGCAATCGATTATTTAGTAAAAAAATTTATAATTGACAACCGACTGGACAGGACGTAAATTTAATATACCATTTTAGCGAATTACCCATATAGGGAATAAGTTAATACCGTAAGTCTTTTCATTGAAGGTTTGATATAGTGTTTCAAAGTTTAATTAAATACATTTTTTTAGCGAAATAAGGTATTTACATTTACAAATTTTAAATTCCATGTTAGGGATAGAATATACCATGTAAATATTAGTTTGCAGTATATTAGCAATAAATAATGTGCCATTCTGAAGAGTATCCCATACAACAAATCTTTCAATCTAGAGAAACGTCAAAACCTTTATCAACAGTTTAATAATCCTAACCTCTACAGTTCTACTGTTTTGAAATGCCAAAAGCCATGTGGCCTTAGTGTCACAAACTAAACTCAAACCTGGGGAAGGGACAATGTTAGAAGAAGGTTTCAGTCATATTATTGTTATGGCCACTCGTGTGTATGTAAGCTCATAATGAATCGGTTGTAAGAAACCCAAGGGCACAAGTTTCTTCAACACATTTTGGATTTTGAAATATAATCTTATGCCTAGATCTATTAGTCGTATACTAATCTGTGTAAACTGTATTATCAACACAAAATCAGAAATAGAATTATCAAAATTAGGTTAATATCCAATATTTTGAGAAATTATATTTGTGTGAAGCATTAGATCTAATGTGGCTTATATTTTTGTTAATTTATTCTTACACCCTCATAAATAGAAAAGATAGTTTACAATGACCCTTTTTTACACTGAATATGCTTTGGCTCTTCTTATTTTATGCTAATTTTCGGATAGTTCCATTTTGTCATTCAATTTTACACCACCCAAATAGTTCCCATGATTTATTGAAGGAGATGGCCTTATCCAGTAATAGTAACTCATCAACATCACAAATGTTGACAGACAAATCGATAGACTTATGTCAGATAATTTCTGATTGTTAGATGTTGAATTCCTTTCTTGCAAGGCAGGAGTAAGGCACACGGAATCCTTGGATGATACCATAGTCAAACATACTCCCATAGTAGATTTATCATCCTTATGGATCAGCTGAAGACAATTTTATTGTTAGTTCTGTCCATTGCACTGCAGAGGCCGTGTTTTGTTTATAATTTGTTTCTTATTATTTCAGTCATTTAAAATATTGTTTAACCAAATAAAACAATCTAATCATGACCAATAACTTGTCCCCTAATTATATAGCCAAACAGTAAGGTTATCATGAAAGTAACCCTAAAATAATAGAAACAAAATTGCGTCAACATTAGTGATCAGTGTCACCAACATGAACTAGACACAAAAAATGAGCTTCAAAATTTACAATGGGATTATAAGTGTACTTTTCTTGGTTACTCTGGTAAAACATATCTGAGTGGTTATTGTATTTGTCTGGTAATCCAAAGGTCAATAGTTCGATCCTGAAAAAAGTGAGTAGCTTTTTGATGGTTTAAAACTGGACCCAGCTATCCTTAATCATTTTGACATGAATGGTCTTGGCTAATAAAACAGCTGGTCTTATTATTCAGTAACAAAGATTCAGTAGGCATCTCACTTCATTCTACACTCATATTTGGGTTGAATACACACCTATTTGGCGTCCTTATCTCAATCGGCAACAAAATTGTAATGATATAATTTAAAATTATCACTATTTGTATATTTTAGAGTGTTCATTAGTTTATTCAACACTACTACACTGCTACTATTTATGGTTAATGTTTTCTGACACTTGTGAATGATATTTTATTATATTGTTAATTATTGTTCTGTATTATATTATTGCATAGCAAATAAAAACAATAAAAAATTTGAATGGGTTGTCTGATTTAACTATAAAGGATGTTCGCTAGTGTATAACTACTGGGTTAGGAGTATATAAAGCCTTGGTAGTAAGTAAAAAACATATGTTACGTTGTTGTATTAATAGTCAAAGATGTTACCTAGTTCAGATGAGTAGACGACTAAAAAATCTCCAAGTGGATCGTGGAGGTTCCAGTGGGCTGAAAACCTACTCTGACTGTTTTAGGACTATGTCCTCTTCAGCCTAGGATGGGATCACAGCTGCAGCATGTACGTGCCTATTACAAATATACACTTACCTGGGCACTAAGGGGTTATGGAAAGAGGGTGACGTGTACATGCTTTTACTCTAAGGGTGTGAGGGTAACAGGAGTACAAAAGTGAACGGTTGGTGAGTAGGATTATAAGGATCAGAGGAGTCTTTTGAGAAGGTGGACAGGGATGATGTCTAGAGGTTGTCAAAAAAATTCCACCTCAGGCATGGACCTATAAGAGCCATAAATAAAAAGGACAGTCAGTTTAGCAACTTTCACTCAAATATCACCAGTTGATGATATTGGTTACGATTTAATTCATTTTTGTTGGATAGATAGGCTAGAATTTCTTGTAAAATGTAGTTTTTTAAAGGAAAAAATATTTTTTTCTTGCTCGTATCTAGTAAAAATGAATTTGTAAAAGGTTTTAATGAATCTGTGTCCTCAAACTAACGCGCTGTTAACTAAACTTTTACTGCAATTAAAAATTTGTTTCTTTTGACGGATTTATTTTCTCTTTAATATGAAAAAGGGATCAAAATAGTTGAAACCACTAAATTCTGGGTAAAATTGGCTGAAAACATTGAATATGACTACTGTAGTATACAGTTGCGCAGACAAATGAATAACTTATTCCTGTGTCAGTAGCAGTAAGTTAGATGATTCATGGTTTCACTTCTGTCAGAATGCATATCCGTATCTACTTTATGTTTTACTTGATAAAATGAGATACCCGAAGATCTGTATACACTGTACAAGCAGGTGGAGTAATTTTATAAGTAAAATGTCTAGAAAAAAAATTTAATAGGAAAACTATTATCGCCATTTTAAAGAAATTTCTATTTTTCTATTATTTTGTCAGTTCATCATATTCCTATTGAAAAAAAGTTCAACGGTCTCAGACCAAAGTCTTACAATCAATACTAATTATGTATATATCATCAAGGCTTGATTTAAATTGCAAACTGTTGTATAAGCCAATAACTGTTGTTGTTTGTGTTTGTCAAATTTTTTGTGCTTTGTTCTTCTAACATCTATCTATATCTATAAAAGAGAAACTATGTATATATGTATGTACCTTATGGACTTCGAAACCGCTCGACAGATTGTAATGAAACTTTCAGGCATTATTAAGCATTATTCAAGGATGGTTTGTGTGAAGTTTGGTGCAGATCCATCAAAAGGGCTCCGCTCCAGAGGGTTTTAAGTGGGCCAATGTCAGACTTTTTGAACTACAATGTTTACAAATAAATAACTAGCTGTTACCCGGCAACTTTTTGTAGGTTTGAATAATCACAATATGCTGTAATAGTCATGATTTGAAATAGTGCCACAAATGTTTCAACAGAGTGCAGCACAGAAAACTATTTTACTTTTGGATAAGTTCCAATATATTAAACCCCAATCGCAGCACACCTGTGCGCTCAACGTTTAAGTTCTCCAATGTTAAATTTGTAAACATAAAAACCTTTATCAAAGTATTATAAACAATAAAAGTTTATGGATGGCAATGCCTTAATATTTTTATATTTTGTTCTATACCCACACAATCTAACATAAATTATTAAGTGAATAATAATCGTGTGTGCTATCTCAGGTATTCAAATGCCTCTCAATTTGTCATTAACCTACCACATTACTGTCATTAAAAGAAGGAACTCCAAATTTTTTTTTTTTTTTATCACAATTTGACATCAAAATTGGTTGAAGCAAAAATTATCAGTGGTAAGTTTATAGGATAAATAGTCTTAATCTTAAGAATACTGATTATTTCATCTGAATTACCCTCTGAATTTAAGCAACTACAATTTCCTTTGTGTCTTGCTTTCACAATCACCATTATAAGGCACTAGGGCAGTCCCTGAATATCGTCGGTTTAAATTTAGAAAATGCATGCTTTATACACGGACAGCTGTATGTTGCGTGCTCACGTGGTGGGGTGGTATGTTTAAAAACTTATATATTTACACCTAATGAAAAAACGAAAACCATTGTTTATCCTCTGGCAATTAAGTAAAATATTCTATTTTTATTTTTGGTCAACACTATTATTATTCATCGTAAAGAACAAATTACCATTTAAATAATAGTTGTTAAGCGCAGCAAGGTGGGCCGGGTAACTACTAGTTTCCAATAAAATTAGTTGTTATATCTTGTGAATGAATTAAGATTATTAAGAATTCAGATTTATATCAAGCATAACAAAGAACGGCAAGACCGAAGCACCTGAAAACTGTATCAGAGTTATTTTAAATTGTATTTTTATAAAACAAAACATAAACGGTACCAAAATAAAAATTTAGAGCCAACTGGAACGGACATCAATTAGCTTTAATTTCTACTGTGATTAACCTGCTGGGTCATAAGTTAACTGAGGAAGTAAGAGCAGTGAATGAGCCAGATTTGGTGTGGGTAGACTGGAGCCCAGCCAGACTAGCTCCTACACATGACATCACAACATGGCCGAACCAATGCAAGATACAACAGATGACAACAATGTCCGCTCTGTTGTCGCCTCCCCACTTGAAAGGTAAAGTCGATTGTTTTTTATCACAGATAATTGGGGTGACTTAATAATTTTCTGTTTATGCTTTATACTTTAAAGTTATGTTTTTTTTTCATTTGATGCTAGACTTGAACATTTAATGTATTTATTGAACATAATTAACTCTGTAACTGGTTACACTACTTGGAAAAGTGACCAATTGAAATTTCTCAATGATTGTTTTTATGAATGTATACTGTGTTTTGTACTATGAGAAATAAAATTATTTATTCATTTCCCTGTGAGAGCTATCTTGTATTTGTATGATTTAAGCAAACAAAGTTAAAATACTGAATTAAAAACTTTAAGATTACCAATAAGAAGTTTTCTGTAATGCAAGGCGAAATAGTTAATGAGGCATTCATGATGCAATAATCAAACAGAAACTGTAATCATGGACCGTTGACTTATCAGTATTTTACCCTATAATCCTGAAAAATATATATTTACTCAACAAAAAACATCTACCCTACTTTGATTAAGGATAACTTATACAATGCTAAATTAATTAGTTTTCATGTTGAGACATGTAACACTCATGGGTAGCCTTTCTTAAGGTGCACTAAGTGCTACTAAACAACATTAAAGTTGGTTGAAAATGGAAAGGTTTCAGTAGGAATAGTAGAAGGAATTGTGATTCTTAAAGCGGTATTATAAATGTCTGGTGGTAACAAAAATTATTGTTTAAAATCAAAGTAAGGATGTTTTTTACCTTATCAGCTAATAATAGCTAAGTAGATTAATATTAAACATTTTTTTAAAAATAACTTTGACTCAACAAGATAAACATTGCTAAATAAATTGGATGAATAAGAGTCCCAATTATAAACATTCAATTGGAAACCAAATATTTGAATCATGAAATGGCAAAAAAAGAAAATTATTCCTGTAGGGGTACTTCCTTTTTTTAATTTTATCTCCATATATGCCTCTAATTTACTAGGTACTTTTAAATATGCTAATATTGCTATCTACTTTATTTTTTGTTTTGCAGAATAGAAAAAGATAGTATTTTCATACTAGAAACTCTTCCTGATTTCTGTAAAACAAACATTCATCAAACCCAATAAGTTTGTTGGCCTTGGAATTCTTTCCGGAGTTGGGAAACCAAAATAGCTCTCCCTCGAGTAGCCTGCCCAATGGAACGTTTTGTTAAAATATTGCCGTTTCCTAAATCTACGACTAGATCAATTGTACAAGGAGCAGATGTTTCAAGTTTGGTTCATCCGATTCAGTTTGATTTTGGAAAGAAAAATTATCTTCTTTAATCAACAAAATTTAACGTTGAACCATTTTATTGTGTTTTACAATTTTTCTAAATCTACATTTTCAATACAGTTTGAAATTTTATGTGTGAATACTAAGAAATGCTGCTATATTGTAAAAAATACTCAAACGCAATTTCTTAACCCAATAGTTTTTTCAATGTAAGAATTACTATTGCTCCTTGAGAAATAAAAGAATGTGATAGGTAGTTATGTTTATTTCAATTAGGCTTCATTTGATTTCAACTTTTAGATTTTTTTTTGTAAATACAGTACATTTCTTGCTTCTTGATAAATAATTATCTCATTATGGAAGGGGAATGGGTAAATATGGTGGTAGAAAGAGAAAACTACTCTAAAATAATGTAGATAGTCTTAACATCCTCCTAACAAATTCTTTTACCGAAACTATACCATGCAATCTCAGTTGGAATTATATCTTGTATTCAAATTTTAACAATTAATTATTATGGTCAGTCTATGCCAATGCAGCTTAGAAACAACTCTAATAAAATTGCTATATACAGTAGAGTGTGTATATTTATCCTTAAATTTGTTTAAAAAACTAATATGGTACAAAATTGACAAATTCATTGCGATACAGCACACAATGTCAATTGTAAATCTGATTTAATTTACAAATTAACTGTGGTTAAAGTACTCGTAAACTGACATTTATGGGAAATTACTTTTTTTACAGGACACAAAACAGATTACAGTCGACTCTTTATCCAGGTATATTGTGACCAAAATAAACAGCACTTTCAAATTTTAAAAATTTGAATCATCCATTTTTGAAATAGTATTTTGCAGTGTAGATTTTTAGATAATATAAATTTGTGTAGAATACCTTCATTTATGCGATCCAATGCGTGGCAACCGGTTTAAACTCACTTGGAAGTCATCCTCAGACCAGTTGCTGAATTGTCATTTTTTAATAAGTTAATGTAAACAAATTTGACAACATACAACAGGAAAAAAACATAATTAATGCACAAAAGTAAAGCTTTACACTCTACAAATTTCCCAAAACAAATAAGTGAACCTAAGATTGAAGTTTATTTACTAAACATTATAACATACAAAAGAAATTATTCCAGTCCTGGTTGTATATGTACATGGATGTAGTTAAAAGGCCCAACTATGATATTTTTGTGTTTTCTTGTTATGTGTAAACTGTATTTGTGGTTAATTTATGACAATACCTAAGGAAATGAATCCTTTTGTAAACTGAGCATGGCGGAGTTCTAAATCACCTCTGAAATATCTATCATAGACTAACCAACACAAGTAGACTTCTCATCCCATTGTAAATTTTGAAGCACGTTTTTCGTGTCTAGTTCATGTACGTGACACAAAGGCGCTAGTGTCGACGAAACTTTGTTTCTATTATTTTAGGGTTAATTTCTTGATTTGTGCTTTACTGTTTGGTTATATAACTAGGGGACAAGTTATTGTTTATGATTAGATCGTATTATTTGGTTAAACGAGGTTTTAAATGGCTGTAATAACGGGAAACAAATTGTAAACAAAACACGACCTCTACAGAAAACCGTACAGAACTAACAATAAAATTGGCTTCAGCTGTTCCATAAGGATGGGAAATCTACTAAGGGAGTATGTTTTATCTATGTATCTATCTAACAAGTCTTACTTCATGCTACTTTCCCGCATGTTAAGGTTTGCACGTTAAGTATGTTTGATGTATTATTTGACGTAATCTTGGGGCTATAAAAATAAATAAGTACAAAAAGTTGCTTGATTTGGCAGAATAGTTTAAGACTATTAAATGTTTAAGGAAATTATATGATTAGCTCCATAACACATTTCCTGGGTTGCAGAGGATGCGTCTGCCCAGCTGGCAGTACTTCTTATCGTTTACCGCCAGGCACTGACCCCTCTATACGGGTTGGCAACCCTCACTATGGGCGACGCATGCAGCTCTACTGCCGCACCGGATTCAATTTGGTCATCCGTGAGGTGGAAGGTGTAGACGAGGATATGAATCAGTTTGGTAGGCTTCCTTCTCGTTAATTTTGCACACAAACTACAAACAAACATTGTGTGTGCAAATGTCATAGTCAATCATGGATGAGTGGCTCAAATTAATAATTTATCTGTAGACCATAAATGGTAGGTAGTTTAAATGCTGGAAAGATTATCTTTAGGATAATTATAATTTATATATTTAAAGTTTAAATATATAAATTATAATTATCCTAAAGATAATCTTTCCAGCACTAAAATTTTGACGTGAATATATAAATGTTTCAGCTGTTTTGGAGTTTACGTCTGCTGGTTTTGGAGGACTCGTACGCATTCGAGGGGTCAATTCCAGCTTGTATCTGGCAATGAACAAAAAAGGAAGATTGTTTGGAGAGGTAAGTGTAAGTATCTCACCAGCGACACTCAGCTGAGGGAATGATTGATTAAGTTCCGTCACTTATCACCTGTACACCTGATTGTCTTGCAATTGAAGTGAACAATTTTGGTTAAAAATAGTACCTATAAAATAAAAAAAACTTTTCTGCAATTTCCTTATATACTTAGCAAATGAAGTTCATTCTTCTACTCCTGCTATGTTATTGGTATTATAACTCTCACTCTTGATACACTACAATGAAGTAAAAATTTTTTGCACATCTTTAAGTTGTAGCCAGTTTGAGATTGCACAGAAATGCAATACTTTGTTCAACTGAGACATGAGTGTGTTTATTTACACATAATAACATTTTATTTTCTTTACAAATACAGTAGAACCCCACTAATTCGACATCTGCTAATCCCACTCCTCGCTTAATACGACAATGCAATCGCCATGGAAATATAATAGTGACTATTGGTATGGTTATGTGGTGATCATTACCTTCCCCCTCAATTGTGGCAAAAATCTGGTTTATTCCACGATCACTTTTTTTTTATAGATATTGATATAGCTAGTAAACGAGATGTTAACTTCAGTATCCTTATATATAATACGTGAAGGCGATTTCTACGAAACAGTACTCCTCCATTAATGATGAACAGATTTTTACAAACGATGTGTCAAAATTAAGTATTTTTGTGTAGACGCCCCCTTTCACCAATTCCTGTAATAAAAGTCCTTGGGCTTTTCCCCACAGGCCATCAAAACCACAATGTATTTCTTATGAAGAAAAGATTTATTTACTTAAACAGACAAATAATTTGTATTTATTACAGCTGTTCACAGTAAACACATGATACACACAAGAGCGTTCATTTTCAGAATGAGTTCGTTTTCAGTTTCGATAACTGAAGTGGAGTGATTGATTACATTATCTTTGAGTTGACTCTATTAAATAAATTTGTTTTGAAATAACGCCTGTAATATTTTGGAATTGCTTGAATTCGAGCAAGAGGTACACTAGTCCAAAGTAAATGTTAGAACTTAGTTCTATTTCTATAGTGCCTATGAATCAGTCATTTTAGAAACAACATAAGTCAACATTCCGTTACCAATGGTTACATCTATTACTTCCCTAAATGCATCGTTCTGTTCAGAAACAACACAAGTCAGGCATGCTTATCACTTTTTAACTACTATTTAAAACAGTGTTCATTTCAGAAACAACATAAGTCAATGACCTATGTTGTTTTTTCAGCAAACAACTGAAGTTAGTTTTTTGACTAATGTAGTTTCTAAAATGACAGATTCCTATGCACAATGTATACCTTAGGAGAACAGGGTAGGCCTAAACAAAATCATAATTAGGGAATTAAAGTTACTTTAATGAATCGTCCCCAGAGATCGATTAATCTAATTATACCTATCAATGTTACTAAGAACAGTAATCAGCAAACAGCAAAGCATTGTTGGTTTGGAAAAAGGATAAGTTAATCCAACTCAGAGATCATTTTAACTTTCTCTCTTTGTGTTGATATTTCCTCGACAGTAAAAATGCCATTTTTATATTATTAAATGGGATTACATATTATGTAGAAGTTAATAATAAAAGGTTTTTTGTTGAATCGTCAATAACAATCAACAGTGACCCAGAAACACTTGTCATTATCAATCTAATGCATGTGTTAAAATAAAAGAAAAATTGAAACTAATCTCTAAAGGAATTTGTATTTATTACAGCCAAATCCAAGAGAAGATGAAACAGTGTTCATAGAAGGAGTGCTCGGCCAATACAACACATACATGTCGCACAAGTATCAGAAAGCCAAGTGGTACGTTGGAATAAAGAAAACCGGCAAACAGAAACCTGGTTATAAAACCAAGTGGGGACAAAAGGCAATACAGTTTTTGCCCAGGAGAATGCCGTAGTAGGAGAACAAAAAACCGAAATACCAGGCGAATACTCATCTTTAATGATTAATCAGTATTATTAGTCCGTTATTATGTGTAATTTTCATTTAAAATAGGTTTTGTCATTTAACGCTGGAATAAAGTGGACTATACAGTCTAGATTTTTCAAATAGGGTTCTGTCTTTGAGCATGAATAGTAACTCTATTGTAACAATTTTAACTGACACAAAGTTGAACCAAAGTGAGAATCGGTAACCTGTTCAATGATCGCTTTTCATCTGTTTGTAGGTTTGATACTACTAACAACATAAAATATTATGCATGGATGCTAAACTGTGCTTGAATTTTCAAATCATTGTTCGGTTTGATTGTTTAAATAATAACTCAATATAGATTGAAAAATTGGATGGTAATTTGTTTAAGATTAAAATTACTAAAAATAATGGTGAAAAAGTCACTATCTATGTATATTTGTTCCTATTTTATCAAGAATTATATAACTTGGGTACACAATGCTTTAATGCATGTAAGCATACCTGTATAAGCCAAGAGGTACAGAATGGTGAATGTGAAAGAATAGAGCAATGATCAACAGGTGGGACAGTTCTTTCATTTGACATTACATTTTACCAAGAGTTCTGTTTTTGCCTTAGATAAAATTGTGATGTAGGCTATCTCTAATCAAAGTAAATCAGGTGTGGTAGAAAACTCAGAACTTGTCTTCCTACCGTTCTGTGATACAGCAGTTAAAAATACCAAAAATAAAAATGCATGCCATTGTCCCACGTATAGCAAAAGATTATATTTACATGTGAACAGAACAATGTATCCAGTTTATTTTCTTATTATCCATTTATATGTTTATGACAACACACTTATCTCACATATGTAGGCTATATATTTATATTACTCATGATTCTTCTATGGTAGCACTGTGATTTTTTCTACCCACAATAAAATATGTCTGATGTAAGCCAGCCTTAAATTACTGACACAACATATTTTTATAAGTTTTTAACAACATAGTTGTATGGTGTAAGATAGTTCATAGTTGTATGTAGTTGTTTCTGTAAACAATAAAGTGTTAACTGTTTACTGTCAAAAACCTTCCCTCGCAGGCGCCTAGAATGCTAGAATGTTAACGTTCAAAACTCATAAGTTGCAGCAATTTTACGACAAACTATTTCTGATGAATTTTACATCATTGAAATTGTCAAAACGGTTGAGTTTTATTAAGAAGAATCTCTTTGTGATTATGAAATTACGTAAAATAACAGACTGATAAAAGTTTTATGTATTTTTCTACTAGTTCTATGGCCTACCCACACTTTCAAGGTAAGCTAGCTGCTATCCTCCTTTTTGTACAATTTAAAATCCTGGCCTAGAGCCTTTCCTTAAACAAGACTGATAAAAGTATCAGATAAAATATTTTTGGTTTCAATCTTTACTATATCCAACTAGGTTACTAAGCACAATTTAAGATTTAGCTAATACCCAAGATGCTCAGTGGTTTGTTAAACTTTAAAACAAAGTTCTTCTCCGTTATTCTAGTAGTCTCGGTGTAATAAAACCTATTGGAGTTCAACATAGTTCTTCCCACCAACAGTCATCCAGTATTCCAACCAATCAACACAAAACAGCGTGCTTTTATTATGCACGTAATTTGTGTACGCTTGAAAATAAATTGGCATCACTTAAAAGATATTACAACTACGATCAGCTGGTGCAGCGTTTCCCATTATGTTCAATGTTTCGATTTAACCTAACCTAAAAACGCTTTGTACAGGGTTTTGAAAGACAAATTATTTATATGATTTATAGTAAGTGTAGGAAAAATATAATGTGAAACAGTGTAACACGAGTGCAAACTGCCTTTGCTGCACTCGAGAAACTTTCCACACTCGCCTACAGCTTGTGCGTAAACATTTCTCTTGTGTGCAGCAAAGTGGCACTTCGCCCACTAGTTACACAAATAACTATTCCTTCATACTTTTTATGTTTGAATTTTATTGAATTGAAAAGTAAAATACTAATTACAACTCATTCAATATAAATTTTGTATAGTGAATGGAAGGATTCTGTGGGAAAGATAATGGAAGTTAAGATAATGGTTCGGATTCCGGGATTCCACAATAAACTGTAGGTCCCTTAATTGTCATTGGCTGTATGGGCTATTAATTAACAGCTCTGTTTAAGGTATATGTCGGTCTTAGTCACTAAACCCCATGGTTTCGAAGACCTTGATGGCTTAGTTATAAAGTTTCCCATATGGGCATTGAGAGCTTGTTCCATGAAACTTTAAAATGAAGCCATCAATGTCTTCGAAACTACGGTAGTTGAACTACATGATACAAATCACTCAGCGATGTAAAAGGCAATGTAACACTTTTATTGTATAATTAAACGTGATTTAGAGGCTATGCCAACTCTCTAAAACATTGAATACGGCCGACTCTTGGTTCATTTGGAATGAAAGATAGTAATATATTTCCAAGTAGTTTATTACAAAAGAGCAATAGAATACAATAAATAAAGAATTAGTCTATCAGTATTAAAATGTAAACGTAAAGTTGAAATAACTAGTGTTAATAAAATATTTCATGATTTTAAAGGAAAACAAAGAGTTATCATTGTGCACCTTAAGAAGCATTATGCACAACAAAATCACAACGGGTTAACCATGACGTTTCTTGCAGGGGCTTCCACTTTTTTTTCTGATGAGCTTTCCTCGTCTTGTCCCTTTACTCTGATGCTGTGTTTTTCTTTGAACTCATTTATTTCAACTCCTTTCTTTGTCAGCTGTTTGTTCAATGACTCGATCAAGTTTGTGAGCTAATAAAAGACAAAAAATATACTAAAATACATATCAACAGTAAATTATTTACTCATTTAGTGGAATCTAGAAAATAATTTCCAACAAACTTGGACACAACATACTCATTGTTGTTTGCGATCAGTGGACATAAAACAACTGTAAAAAAGATGTGGTCACAAACCGGCAAACTGGTCACAGGTGACAGATAGTCAAAAAACGTTGATGGAAGTTACTTTGCCAACACCCAACCTCACACTGCTCGGATAACAAAAGGCCACCTGGGAAAGTTAAATCAAAATCTAGCTAACAGCGACTACCATCTCTTCTTACATATAAAGTAATGACTGGGATCTTGCAGTATTGGTTCTGTGATGATGAAGAACTGAAAGATGTGGTCACAAACTGGCAAACTGGTCACAGGTGGCGGATAGTCACAAAACAAACGTTGATGAAAGTTACTTTGCCAACACCCAACCTCACACTGCTCGGATAACAAAAGGCCACCTGGGAAAGTTAAATCAAAATCTAGCTAACAGCGACTACCATCTCTTCTTACATATAAAGTAATGACTGGGATCTTGCAGTGTATTGGTTCTGTGATGATGAAGAACTGAAAGATGTGGTCACAAACCGGCAAACTGGTCACAGGTGGCAGATAGTCACAAAACGTTGATGAAAGTTAAGATTAGGGATGGACAGGTCCCGAAATTTCGGAAAATTTTCAGGAAAAAATATTCCTGATTTTCGGGACGGGATTACATTTGATTCGGAAATTTTTCGGGACGGGATTTGGTCCGATCGTCGGCGATTTTGCCGCTTCGCAAGTGATGATAACGCCGCTATCGCGAGAGATGTTCCGCGAACGCAGGAGGCAAAGTCATTTCGACAATCGCGCCGTGACAGCGGAGTCATACCGACGATCCGCCGAGACCGCGAGTCATCCCGACGATTGCGCCGTGACCGCAGAGTCATACCGACGATCGCGCAGTGACCGCGGAGTCATACCGACGATCATTCCATGACCGCAGGCAGAGTCATATTGACGATCATTCCGTGACCGTGGAGTCATACCGACGATCGTGCCGTGATGATGACGCCGTGACCCCGAGTCATTTTGACGATCGCACCGTGACCGCGAGTCATTTTGACGATCGCACCGTGACCGCGAGTCATTTTGACGATCGCACTGTGACCACGAGTCATTTTGACGATCGCACCGTGACCGCGAGTCATTTTGACGATCGCACCGTGACCGCGAGTCACGTGTTTCTATAGGTACCTGTAAATTGGTTTTTATAGATAGTGCCACAAACGGTAAAAATTGATTTCGTTTGTCTTTTTTGGTAACTGCAATACTCGAGACTTTCTTTTTATGCTCAGGAAAAAATCCCGTCCCGTCCCAAAAATTGGGAAGGAAATAAAAATCCCGTCCCGTCCCGAACTAAAAATTCAATCCCGTCCATCCCTATATTGAGGTAATTTTGAAATAATGAAATGATTAAGTGCGTTTAACAGAATTACAAAGGCCTCATCACTCTTTCAGAAATGATTCAATAGACAAGGAATAAACGTAAGACCTGGTAGTCAGAAGAAGACTCTGGAGAGAATGGACTTTTTCACCCTAAACCTTTTTTCCTCTCTTAAACTCCTGTTTTCTATCTACCCGCATCAAAATTTTATCAAGACAGTAATTTCCAATCACGGCCCTACCAAGATCATCTCCCACTCTCACAGCAAAACTGAGAGTGTCTCCAACTCATCCTAACATATCATCATTGTCTCTTGCGATCATGGCAATATATTGACATTTTCCCGCCATCAAGGAGACATCACGAACACCTCTGATGATCGCAGCATTCCTCCACAGTTGCAAAGACATAATCATCGCCTCTGATGATCGCAGAAATGTCTCAGTCCCTACCTTCGCAGTCGCGAAGACATAATTATCACCTCTCATGATCGAAAAATAGCTTGACATCCCTCCACGGTTGCATACCCATCACCTCTGTCTGTGTGCCGCAATTTATTGGCATTCGCCCAGCCGCCATAAAGAGATCATCATGGCCTCTCAAGAACGTGGCAATACTATGGTATCTCCACGCATTTGCAAAGCCATCATCTTTGCCTTCCATGATAGTGCCATTATCTTGACATATTCCTAGCGATTGGAAAAACTAGACAAGACCATAAGAACTTTTCAACCTAACCAAACGTTCACTAGGCTAACATATAAATAAATTGTAGACATAGAAAAATATATTTTAAATACTTAAACTACATACAATTGACAAGTAATAATACCTGTTGTTTATTTGTACTTAATACTGGTAAAACTTCTTTGACAGTTTTCTCACACAAGACTCCTCCAACCATCCTGAAGCATTTCCTGTCTCCATCCAGATCTTTCAAGGTGTCAATAACTATCCTGAAAATAACACGAAATGTACTCAAAGCAGATTTAACAATTTTTATTTAAAGATTTAGATATTAAAATTCAAATTACAATTTATGTAGGCTATATGACACTATTGCATTTCTAAAAGAAATCTCAATAAAGAAGACAGGCATTATGTCTTGTGGACCAAGTGGAGGCAGACAAATTGATTTTGATAGTGTTTTACTAGTTTCACTCTTATTCCGTAAACGGGACACCTTATTTTCTAAGCAACAGTACCTCTAGATAACCATAGGCCTACCGGTATCTTATTTCACACAAGTTAAGTTAGACCTGGCATGAATCTCCAATTAATTTTTGTTCATGGCAGTTCATTGTGACATTTATTGGGCGTCTCACAGCAGTTGAAATATTACAATTAAGTTACTATTAACACTGACAATTAAGCCTATACTGTTTCAGGAAAAATAAGTAAGTTACCTAAATATCCAATTTTAGGCCAATATGCTATCTACATTTTTTGCTTAGCCCTGTGCAACAGTTTTTTTTTTTTAAGGGAGAGGAGAGAAAATGCTTTTACGCACACAGGTAGCCAGTCACAGACTACTCACTAAAAAACCCCCTCCTACTCTGTTGGACACAGACCTGGAATTTGTTTGTCACATTACTTCAAGTCAGGCCAACATGTGACCTAAGCCCTCAGGGCTCTCACCGTTTTTGGCATTTAGAGATACTTTATGACCTACACCGCATCCCGATCGAGGTTCTTGGCGCGGAGAATACCCTGGATGTAATGTGACACACAGGTCCAATTGTCCTCCGTCATCTAAGCTTACTGTCCACGATAACCCCTAGGTACTTGGCAAAACTTGGCAGAACGAACGGTCTGGAAATCGACGGCCCCTACCTATGTCAATCCGTTTTTTGTTAATATTACGATCTCAGTTTTGCTCCAAGCAAGCAAGAGACCGTGGTCTGCCATCCATGCGTTTATGGTAGGCCTACGCATAACTCGGTTCAGCTTTAGCTGAGCCAACTCAACGGTACATGCAGCTATCAAAACTGCAATGTGATCTGCGTACCCAACCAAAACAGTTTCCTCAGGCATCTCAGACCTCAGGAGGCTGTCATAGACGACATTCCAGAGGTCTGGGCCGAGTATGGAACCTTGGGCAGCACCGGAAGTGACACTCATCGTCCGTGGGCCTTCTGAAGTGTCATACATGAGGAGGCGGAACCGGAGATAAGTAATCCTCTATGATACGCATGAAGTATGCCGGAACGTGGAAGGTGTTCTCCAGAGCATCCAGCATATCGCACCACCTCATGGAATTAAATGCGTTTCGCACAACGAGTGTTACGAGCAGCACAACCCTACGAGAGTAGTTGTTAAAATCCTCAGCTCTCATAACGGCTTGCTTCACCTCCTCAACAGCGACAACATGTGCAACAGTAGGACTAAATATACCGTTAAATTAGCCCTAGGTTAGTTCTGCAGCAATATTTTTTGGTATTGATGTTTAAGGGCCAGGATCGATGGCCAAACACTAGGCCTATCATGGTTTTCTGTTGATGGTCATCCCTAGACTTAGCCGACTTAACTTAGCCCTACTTAAAATTTGGTTGAATTTATTGAGATGTCACTTACTTGTGTTCATTGAGATCCAATTCCAATTCTGATATCTTGTTTGCTAATTGTCTCTGTTCATTTCTGAGGGCCTGAAAAGTATTAAGGATTTCCTCATTGGCAGCATTTCCTTTATTAGGCGCTTTCTTCTTGTTGTTGGCAACAGTGCTCATTTTCCTTTCTTCTCCTAAGAAGTAATTAAAACTATGTTTTTGTTAAATGCCGCCTACCTCACTATCAATAAGATATTATAACTTTAACTTACCTAACTCGAATTTCGAAATAGACTAACCTCAAACCTGTAACTTGTAGTAAGAGTAAAAGGTAAGAAAAAGAAACTGAAAGTTATGGTTTACGGTTTTTTTTATATATTTTGCCAAAAATGGCCGGCTTTGCTTGGTAAAACAATGCAGCCACGTGGTTCAATATTTTAAATATAACTTTTTAATTTTGGTTGCTTTCTTCGGGTTAGTATTGTCATCTAAAATGAACAGTTTGTTTTAGTTACATGGCTGTACAATTGTCAATAATTTATTTATTGGTTGTACCATTGACCACACCAGCCCAGCACCAGGGCATGATGATTTTTATTGGTTAACTAGCTGTTGTACCCGTGCTTTGCAACGGGAAGAGGACACAAAATAGAAACATTTTAATTTTTATCTCTTGCATATAATAGTTACAGTTGTATCCGCCAACGCTTTTAGAAACAAAATTCAACTTTTATGGCCTTAATAGAAACGTTTAAGTTATGACTTTTAAATCTGGTAAGTAGTGGATACCACCATTTTGGTTTTGATTAATTTTAAATCTTGTGTAGGTTGATATGAGAAAAACTGACCAAATCTTCGAGTAAAACGATGACATACATGATTTACCAGATTTACATTCATCTCCCTTAATTACACATCTTTTAATTTATTATTGACATTTTGAAGTTGCAAAAATACTAATTATTAAATTTAAATAGATATCTTTATTGAGCGGAGCGAGCGAAGCGAGCGATGCTCTTATACGTCGACTTTTATGCATTTCGTAATACGCAAACTCCTCCTAGACGGCTGAATCAATCGTTTTCAAATTTTGCATGGTGATAAAGACCATATCGGTGAGTGCCAACATCTATATAGCGTTAAAAAAGTCTCTCAGGAATCCGTAGAAAAATGAAACTGAAAATCACATTTTTTTAACATTAGTCTTATGGGTTGCTAGGTAACCATGTTGGCTGAATTAAATAACAAGTAAAAAGTAAACAAAAGATTTGAAGTTTTAGCATGTGCTCATAATAAGCCAACTACCCACAGTATACTAGGAAATTACAAATACAGTACAAAAGGAAAAACATCACTTGTTAATATTGAGCAAAGATTATACTTAAGATTACTCGATGCGACGATGCATTGTAGTCAAGGGTAGCAGCACAGACAATATAATACTTTATTGTCTGTGGTAGCAGTGCGAAGTCTAGGATCTGTTTATGACGAATACATAAAGGTATCTGCAATCCTAAAATGCTATGGGAAGGGAAGGAAACAGGTCCGTGACGTAGGAAGTAGTGAAGGAAGTAGTATAGGCAATCATAAAATGCTATGGGAATAGAGGGAAACAGGTCCGTGACGTAGGAAGTGATGAAGGAAGTAGTAAATGCGAGCAGTCCGGAGTGTGGGGACTGTTTATGACGATAAGATTAGGGTATCTGCAATCCTAAAATGCTATGGGAAGGGAGGAAAACAGGTCCGCGACGTAGGAAGTGGTGAAGGAAGTAGTCAAGGCGAGTAGTCCGGAGTGCGGGAACTGTTTATGACGATTAGAATAAGGTATCTGCAATCTTTAAGTGCAATAGGAAGGGAGGGAAACAGGTCCGCGACGTAGGAAGTGGTGAAGGAAGTAGTCAAGGCGAGCTGTCAGGAGTGAGGGAACTGTTTATGGCGATTAGATAAGGGTATGGGCAATCCTAAAATGCTATGGGAAGGGAGGGAAACAGGTCCGTGACGTAGGAAGTGGTGAAGGAAGTAGTCTAGGCGAGTTGTCCGGAGTGTTGGAAATGTTTATGACAATTAGATTAAGGTATCAGCAAACCTAAAATGCTACGGGAAGGGAGGAAACAGGTCCGCGACGTAGGAAGTGATGAAGGAAGTAGTCAAGGTGAGCTGTCCGGAGTGTGGGGACTGTTTATGACGATTAGATTAAGGTATTTGCAATTCTAAAATGCTATGGAAAGGGAGGAAAATAGGTCCGCGACGTAGGAAGGGGTGAAGGAAGTAGTCTAGGCGAGTTGTCCGGAGTGTTTGAAATGTTTATGACAATTAGATTATGGTATCAGCAAACCTAAAATGTTACGGGAAGGGAGGAAAACAGGTCCGCAACGTAGGAAGTGATGAAGGAAGTAGTCAAGGTGAGCTGTCCGGAGTGTGGGAACTGTTTATGACGATTAGATTAAGGTATTTGCAATCCTAATGCTATGGGAAGGGAGGAAAACAGGTCCGCGACGTAGGAAGTGGTGAAGGAAGTAGTCAAGGCGAGTAGTCCGGAGTGTGGGAACTGTTTATGACGATTAGATTAAGGTATCTGCAATCTTTAAATGCAATGGAATGGAGGGAAACAGATCCATGACGTAGGAAATTGTGTAGGATGTAGATGTGTGGATTTATGCATCTCCAATACTACGGTGCTTTCAGAGTGAACTAATGATTTTCCCCGAGCAAAGCTCGGTCCCCAGGTACTATAATCAAATGACGACACTAGCTTGAGGTTCGTGACGTATGAAGAGGTTAAGGAAGTAGTAAAGGTGAACAGTCTGGAGTATGGAAACTGTTTATGACGATTAGATTAAGGTCACAACGTTCCTAAAATGCTACGGAAAGGGAGGGAAACAGGTCCGCGATGTGGGAAGTGGCGAAGGAAGTAGTCAAGGCGAGCTGTTCGGAGTGTGGGATCTGTTTATGACGATTAGATTCAGGTATCTGCAATCTTAAAATGCTATGGGAAGAGAGGGAAACAGATCCGCGACGTAGAAACAGGTGAAAGAAGTAGTAAGGTGAGCAGTGTGGAGTGTGGGAACTGGAAACCGTTTGTAGCAGTTTTAATGTATCTGCAATGCTGAAATGCTATGAGAAGGGATGGAAGCATGCCCAAGACATAGGAAATTGTGAAAGAAGTAGTAAAGTCTAGCAGTACGGACAGTGGGGATGTTTGTTGCAATTAGATTAACGTATCTAAAATACTAAAATGCTATGGAAAGCGATGAATACAGGTCCACGACGTAAGTGGTGAAGGAAGTAGTAAAAGCTGGCAGTGCAGAGTGGGGGAACCGTTTGAGCAGATGGATAAATGAATTTGTAATACTTAAATGCTATGAGAAAGGAAGGAAACAGGCCAATGACGTAGTAAATGGTGAAGGAAGTAGTAAGGCTAACAGCGCAGAGTGTGGGAACTGTCTTTGGCAATTAAATTAATGTATCTGCAATCCTAAAATGCTATGGGAAGAGAGGGAAACAGGTCCACGACGTAGGGTGTGGTGAAGGAAGTAGTAAAGGTGAGCAGTGTTGAGTTTGGGAATGGATTAATGTATCTGCAATGCTAAAATGCTACGGGAAGAGACTGTAGACTGTAATATGTTAAAATGATTACGAAGCACAAATCGATACATATTTTCGATACATGCAATCGTTTACAATCGAAATTTACAACTGAGTTGACAACAGCTGATTTTTACTCCATAGAGGCTAAAAACGATTTTTACTCCCTAAATATTAAAAATGCTACTTTAGACCCGCAGCGCATGCATGAAAAAATACTGTTTTACTGCAGTAAGACAAAAACAATATAATATGAACCCTTGATGACTCCGCTCAATTTTGTGGATGCCTCTGCGAACGCCACCTAGTATTTATATTAAACTCTTCTTTATATTAAATTACAAATCCTTTCAGTTTTTTCACTCACAATAAATCATTAGCAAAACTAAGTCAGCTGTTATAAACTTTAGAAATATTGCTGTGCCTTATCAATACAGTCTTTTGAAATATTAAAGAAACTATATCTATAGGTACTATAAAAAATTTCAAATAAATAATTTAGCATTAAAGACAGCAGGCAAAACTAATATGATTATCAAATCATCAAGGACTAAAAAATGAAATAGCAAATACAGTATATGTTTCATTGCATCTCTGATTCTACTATACAAAAATATCAACAAACAACTCAATATACAAACCAGTTCTTTTAATTAGTTCCATCGTCCATTGCCTTTGCATGTTCACACTTACCTTTAAGAAAACATAGTAATAGATATTTCATTGATTTTTATAAATAAAAGAACACTGTGTACTGCTTAGTTTTAGTTTTATGATATTTTCCTTGGTTTAATTTAATCAGTGGTGTGGAAAAACACAAATAATAAATGTATCAAATAAAGTAAATGTGAACTGAAAGCTATGTTAAGATAAAATAAGAGTATTTTGTATTACCATTTGATAATTAAATATAGTTACAGATATACAACAGATTTTAGAAAACAAAAATAAACGACAATTTAGTTATTGATGATATTTTTTTAGTTTAATTTAAGCATAGGTTTAGCAAAACACAATAACTTAATTTACATAAATATACATTTAAAAAACAATGTGATGTGCAAGTTATGTTAAGTTAATCTAACACATGTGAAGCAGTTAGAATTTATTTAAAGTAGTTTCCAAATTCATACAAAACATCTATAGGCTACATTGTAATTTTCATACTGTTTCCATGAAGACATATCAATAACATTATTTTCATAGCTTTAACACTTTAAAATATCCAAAGCAGAGCCGGTGTTGATACAGCAACGGTTATAGAATCTTTATTTTCATAATCATTGAAATAGTTTAAGAATTAATAATCCATGATAAAAGATTAGATTGAAATAAACCTACCTCATAGTTATAGAAAATATTATGTTTAATTTCTTTGTATCAGCTGTCTGAAATTGTGAAATATGCAGTTTAGCAGTTCTTCTTGTTTATGTTTAAATGTCAAAGCAAATGTAAACAAACATTGTTAGTGTTCTCATCACAGCCATGGAGACCAATCAATATTTACTTTTAAAATGTTCACTTTAGAACGTTTAAAGCCAAAGGGGCAAAGCCTACGGTCAGTATCGAAATGTGAATAGTCCTATAATGGTCCTTGGTATGGTAGTTATATTTTTGTAAAATTGAAGCCCAGTTGGTTCAGTAGTTTTTGCACCTATTAGTAATACACATACAGACACCATTAGATTTTTATATAATAGTATAGATATAGATATAGATTTTAAGA